ACCCCCCTCTCCCCCCCCCCCCCCCCCCCCGCCCGCGCCCGCCCCCCCCCCCCCCCCCCCGGTCGACGACACGCCATGGATTATATGAGAATATTCGCGACAAGTTTTCCCGCGCCGCTACTGGAACAGCGAAGACGCGTCATGATTGGAAAAGCTGTTGGCATAATTCGCTACACGGAGTACATGTTACCGAATCGTGTATCGGTTTGAGAAAGAGGCTTCGGGGAGATCGATCGCACAGGACTGGATGAGTTTATGATGATTTGAAATGTTTTGTTAAGAATAGGAGCTTTAAAGTTTCGTACAGCGCCCCTAGGCGCCTACCACTGTTGGTAGCTAATTTTGAATCGTCCACTACCCCCACATTGTGGCGCCTTTTTTAGTGGCTGAGCCCCTCTAACCATCACTAAAATCTAGCGGATAGATGTAGATGAATTCTATTTTCAACGTCTCTACCTAGCATTTATTATCTTCATAGCCCTTCTTCTTTAATCCTTCGTATCGCATAAGAAAAAAAACCGGTGGCAGTTTTCAAAGACCAAATTCAAAGCTATTGAAGCTCAAACACCGGACTGGGGCTCAATATTTTATCTGCGATGTCTTCTTCGTGCCGTAAAGTTGCAGGTTGTAACCTTGCCCTATTATTGCTGTCGTTAAGAGGCAGCAAATTGGCCTTGCTAGGTTTTGTCGTCACTCCGAATCCGTTATCTGTGTTGTCTGCATTTAAAGAAGACATGTCGTTGGTCTCACCCTCCTCGCCGTGCTCGTTCTCATCCACAACCGTGAATTGCTCCACTACATCGCGGAATCTTACATGTTTCTCGCTTCTAGCTGCTGAGACATGCCTCTGTTCTGGACGAGATTCCGCTGGCGTCGAGTCTCCCCGGGGTCTATGCGATAATGCAGTTGAGAACTTGATGGCAGCAGCCATAACCCGATGAATAAATGGTCGGCGTTCTTTTTTGCTATTGACCTCCTGTCTCTGGTCAGTCGGGGCTATGGGTATTTTCAGATCGCGGCGTGCAAAATCACGCAGCGCCTGAGTCTCTATGGCCCTGTTGCTCTTTAAAATAGTTCCGCCATTGATTGACTCGCGCGCTGTCATTCGGGCGCTATCTGTTGTTGTCTCTTGGGAAGTGGCGGGAATTTTAGGGGTAGGCATTGGGCCATATAGCCAAGTAACATCGCAATCCTTGAGCCTGTCATACATTATCTCATTAGACAGACTGTCTTTCTCACGGCTGTGTGAAGGGGTGAAACGGACCAGTTCAGAGATTCTGGGGTCACTTTCGTTAGTTTCATTTTTGACTGCATCCATGCCCTCCATGAAGCATTTTCAAGCCGTTTAGAGTTGTGGTAAGCACCTCTCCTGGCCCTGACGTATCTCCACGATGCCCGAATATCTTCTTCCTCTTTTCCGAAGGATAGATAATTAACGTGAAATGGGGCCGATGCGCTTCCGATATCGTGATCATCTCGGGTTCTCTTAACGTCATATGATTCATATCTATTATCACGCCTATCGTCCCCTCCATCATCACCTCCATCGTCTCTGTTGTCTCCAGGACTACCACAGTCTCGTCCGCTTCTGTTACTATCACCTGCATCGTTATTCCGCTGATTATGTTCATCGTCTCCGTTGCCACCCTTTTCTCCTCGAGAAGGTGGGGTTAAACAAGCCTTCCGTTGAGATCTGGACCCTTTTTTCTCTTGCCCTGCTCGAAGACGAGCTTCTTCAGCAGCTGAAAGGAAAAACTTATCTGAAGGGGGAAGACGGGGTTTTGGGGGAAAGATCGGTCTCTTCCGAGAATACACAAGACACAACTCGTAAGATGACTTGGTGCAATTCTGGCTAGTTGATTTGTGTATTCTGATTTCTAGTGACATTTTAGCCATTCCCATATGTCATTGACGAATGAGTTTTGGCGTCATTGGACTATCTAGGGTGTGCTTAGAAAAGATTTCGAAGTTTTGAAGTAGAAATGTGTTTGGGAGTAGGTGGGTAGGTGATGAGAAGGCAGACTCAGCCCTGGAAAAATGCCCTCCTATATGCCCTGCCTGCTAGGTAGTAGTAGGTGCGTCGCAGTAGTGCCTGATTGGAGGTTTATTGAGGCAGTGCTTCAATGCTTCGATAGTGCTGCGATCAACCACTAAATAACCCTAACTTTCGAACCCCGCTTTATACTAGGAGGTACCTACGAGTAGCGATAGTCAGCACTATTCCTCTAGGTACCTAATAGTATCATCGTAAACATTTAACGAAGGTGCCTAACCTACCTCCTAGGTACCTAGTACCTAATATGCTAACTTTTCGTAGCGTACCTAGTAGGGACTTGGTAGAATTCCGAAGAAAATAAACCACAACCACATAAGTAAAGAATAAACTTCAAGGCGGTGCTATGTGAATACTAGGTATGCCGACCGTTGTTCATGCTGAGTCGGGGTTGAACCTCACCCATGTCCTCACGCAAGATGAAATTGACGAAAAAGCATGGTATGCAGAAGCTTCAGGGGACATGTACTCGCTGTGGCATACTCACTACTTGCCAGGAAATACACTGGATATAGAGGATTTACGAATTTTGTGGCATCAGATCCAGACTTCTTCGTCGTTCGTCGGTTTGACACACTCAATGCCCGAGTCCTGTTAACCCTACAGGATCATCTGTCAGCTCTTGAGGAACGCTTGAGCAAATTGGATGAGAAGTATTATGCAAAGAGCGCTGAAGATGTCAATAATGGAAGCATCAGAGACGATCAATCAGACCGGGCAGCCTTGACGATGGAAATATGCGATAAGCTTAAGGACTATAGTAAGTATATTTTTGCATCATCCATCAAACTCCCGAGAGTCGTGTCACCAGTTATTGATGAGATAGACGAAATCCTACTAGCGCACTCTGAACTACGCTCGCGAGGTCCTGCATCTGCCCATATAATCTCTAACGTGAATAACTGGTTTCATAACAACGACGGGGCAATCATGGAGGAAGAAAGGCGCTTCATCACCCATAAGGAAGACCTCATAAATGTCACCAACTCTGATAAAGCCTCCATGCGTCGTTTTCTGGAAACTCATATCGTCTTCCGTTTTCATTGGCTATGGAAGAAGGACCTCCCTTCTGATATACGGGAAGTCGATAGAAAAGTCCGGAGATATGCAGATGATAATCGGATCGATTTCATCACAACCATTGCGCTATCGATCATTGGCATGCTCATGCTCATTGCACCTATCTGGATCCTTGCGGCCATTAAGGCGCCATACACTAAGTTAGGGGTCATCACAGCATTCATAGTGATATTTCTAGTGACCGTTTCATACGCCACAGTAGCAAAGCCATCAGAAACCTTAGCTGCTACCGCTGCGTAAGTTACCTACCCGATATCAAGACTGGGCGGTCGATTAGCTAACAGAATCAGGTATTCGGCTGTTCTAATGGTATTCTTGCAACTCGGCAATGCTGATTCCTCGTCTCCAGGATGAAGATGTGTAGAAAATGGGTGGTGGTACAGGTCCAATGCGGGGCAACGGCGCTGTATCTCAGAAGGTCACGCTAGAGTCAGCAAGGAGTAATAGGAATAGTCCCTTTAAAAGAGCTAAAATACATCGCAAGTTAAGATGTACTTTCCATTTCGAAAAAGGGAGGAAGAAAATATAAGGACAGAATATTTGCTATGGATTCAATCTCTTCATCTTAGTCTACGAAGTTGGTAGGTGAAGAACATCATCTCCATGGCTGCCAACTCGTACCACGTTTCCACCGCAGTACACTAAATTTATAGCGCGAATCTCAAGCATCTATCGTTTTTTATTCAGTGACAGATGGACCCAACATTGGCAGGTACTACTGATATTATTCCTTCTCAATTTCGGCGTACTTGAGTACTAGGTAGGTGGAAGGATTTGTTACTAAGTCCGAAAATATGCTCCGGAAAGATGTGGGACCACCGGACTCGGCATTTTATTTCGGGAATCGGGCGTTGCGGTCGCAACCCTGTACAGAATACTCCTGAGCTGAACACCTAGCAGGCAGAAACACTTACTTAAAGACTCGAACTCCCTCGTGTATTTTTCAATAAAATTATACTCAGACTCATCAAATCTCATACTTACAATCCAAGGACATAGCTCTCAGTATCTCTATCCAAATTCTGAAAACTATCTTCTTTACCCCTATCCGTCACAATGGCACCCCTGAGATCCATTTCCGAGCTTGCGACAATCATCGAGCGCAACACACGGATCATTGAGGACGGATTGGAAGGATCGCCTACAGCCCAGTTTTCCCTTGCGTTGGGAGCTCCGCCGCAAATTGAACTACCTCATTCTTTAGAAACCACTCGTGGTGAGCTCCTTGAGACTCTCGACGAACTACACTCCCGTCTATTAGGCCCATTAGGACATCTCCTCAGATTGTTATTTCCCACTGTAAGTACCTAGTATCAAATCTTGAGTAATGGTGGTTAATAATTTCCTACAACCATAGCCCGCTTTGATAGCTATTTTCCAAACACTATATGAATTTGACATCGCTTCTCATGTGCCCCTTTCTCCAGGAGATGAGATCTCGTACGAAGATCTTGCGAAGAGCTGTGGTCTCCCAGAAGATAACACGCGTCGTATAGTCCAAGGTGCTATCGCTTTCCGCGTCTTTAAGGAAGTCACCCCAGATGTGTCTATCAGACACAACGCTATCTCATCCGCACTTACTGTACCCCAGCTGAAGGACATGTTGGGTTTGTTCATTGACGAGCAGCTATCAGGATGCTCTAAGATAGTTGAGAGTATCCAGCGATTCCCAGATAGTGGCGAGCCAGGACATTCGGCTTCAGTATTGGCGTTTAGAGAGGCTAAAGCCGTGAAAGAGAATGGGATCAATAAAGAGGAAATTTCTGATCCGAGCAAGAACATCTTTGACTATCTTGCAGAAGACGAGAAACGGGTGGCTCGCTTCCGTTCAGCTATGGGGATGTCGAATAAATCCCTAGCTTTGAGGTCATCATACTTCGTTGACAGTTTACCATGGGCAGATAAAAGTCAGTGCCCAGAGACAATTGTCGATATTGGAGGATCTGGCGGCGACCTGTGCCATCTAGGTAAGAAACCCCGATTCCTATCGTGTCCGGCGGAAGGTGCCTGGCTACCAGCCAGATGCTAACAGTAACTTGTAAAAGTACTTCGGACCCACCCTCACGTCAAGAAAGCCGTCGTACTGGACCTTCCAGAGGTCATCGCCGATGTCGAGGTCCCTGAAGATTTGAAGAACAGGCTGGAGTTTGCAAGCTACAACTTCTTTACAGAGAAGGTGACGCATCAGGCAGACGCATACCTCTTCCGCCACATTTTCCATGACTGGAGCGATCAATATGGTGCTAAGATCCTGAAGAATTTAGTACCGGCCCTCAAAAAGGGAACCAAGATCTGGATATCCGAAGTTGTTCTCCCTCCCTTGAGTGAAACGAACCATACGAAAGATCAAATGCAAAGGCAAGTCGGAATTTCTACGTTCATTCCTTTATTAAAATAATCTTTTTCATTCAATACAGTTTTCTAACACGGATAATAGGGTTGCGGATATCTTCATGATGGCCGGATTCAATGGCAAAGAGAGAAGTAAGGGTGGGTGGGAAGCTCTACTGGCTGCGGCTGACAAGAGATTCCGCATTGCCAACATTACGAGGCCTGATGGTGCTCATGACTCGGTCATTGAAGTCGTATTTGACGCATAGTGTGCGCGATATAGGAAGTAGAGCGAAGGATATTGTCAAAGCTATGTTATTACATCTCCACTTACATAAACAGTAAGAACTTGTTTTTATAACGGGCTTATGGGGGGCTCTAGGTGCTGTAACTTTTATTTAGCGCACCTCTGTATAAAAATGCGTCGCGTCCAATCGCCGCGGTATTGGCGGTTTGGTAAATTTCTTTTAGCGATGCATGAGCTAAGCGTTTAGGTACTTACTTATCACTAAAATAAGAAATGATGTGCCTAAAGATTGATATAATAGGTGTTAATGTACCTATTGCATTCAGCTGCCCCTCATCGCCTCTGGATGGAGGGGCTATGCATTGGTTATTGGTGTTGTCATTAGGTAGCTACCAAGAACAGATATTTAGATGTTGTCGAGAGATTATCGAAAAAACCACACATCAACATTGAATGGTCAGATAATTTAGATAAAAAGGCAGCAGATATAGGCATTTATGAGATGTTATATCAAGAAAATCCTGAGTAGCCGTCTTGGAGAAAATGCATAGATAGGATTTGTTTTTTTGAAATTCGGAATCTTACGTACTCTTAAATAAAGAGAGGCTGCTTACGTGAGTGTGAGACCTTACTAAGCAGGCGATAACCTTTAAAATATGCCTTTGTCAGCATATTACCTAATATCGTGCTAGTCTCTTATCGATAATGGAGGGACCTTCCTAGGTAGATCTTTTCTCTCTTTCTAAATCCAACTTTTCTCAAACTTCAAATAATTTGGCATTGAAGACGATGCGAATTTCCCATCGCATTTCCACATGGTTGCCGAAGACGCTATGCGCGATGCGCCAAGCGGCGATTCCAAACAATCGTCTGTACTCAACAGCAATTCATCCGAACCTACATTTCATGTCTCCACGAACTCAACCCCGACGACACATTCAGATGCTGCGGGGCCAAATCGTCGTGACGACCGAAACAAACACGCAAACGGAAAGTTCAATGCCAATGGCCGTCGAAGAGGTCAAGACTTCAAGCGCAATGGTCCAGGGCGGGGCAAGGAGAGGTAAGTTCCAACCTCTGCCAACTGGCTCAAGGAACTTACGCCAATACCTACTAACCAGCTAGCAGCCGGGGTCCTATGAGTAAACGCGAGCGCAACGAAAAGGAATGGCAAGAACGAAAGCGCAGAAGACTAGAAGACAACGGAGATTCCACGAAACCTAGCGAACCCAGTTACATGAGTATCCAATTCCCCGAGGAAGAGATTGCCGCCGAAGAGCGCAAACCGAAGCGCAAGGTAGCTGTTATGATTGGGTATGATGGTACGGGATACCATGGTTTACAGATCAATCATAAGGAAAAAACAATCGAGGGAGATATATTCGCCGCTTTCGTAGCCGCGAATGCTATTTCGAAAGCCAATGCCGATGACTTGAGAAAGTCAAGCTTTGTACGGTGCGCAAGGACCGACAAGGGCGTCCATGCCGCGGGGAATATGATATCATTAAAACTCATCATTCAGGACCCTGACGTCGTAAAGAAGATCAACGAAAACTTGCCTCCCCAGATTCGCGTATGGGGTATTCAACGGACAAACAACTCCTTCAGTTGCTATCAAGCTTGCGATTCAAGGTGGTACGAATACTTGATGCCAAGTTATTGCCTATTACCTCCCCATCCCGAAAGCTTCCTAGGAAAGAATGTTCTTGAGTCCGCTAAAGAGCATGGTGTCGAAGAAGAATACGCAAAGCGATTAGGTGAAGTTAAAGACTATTGGGATGAGGTACGAAAGAATGATATTCAGCCAATCTTGGATAGCTTGGATCCCAACGTCCGAGAGACTGTCATGAGGCGCATGAATGCAGTGGTCAGCGAATCCTACGATACGAAGCCCACAGAAGAGACCGAGAACCCCGAATCATTAAACGAGACGTCAGAAGATATCTCAACTGAGACTAAGGAAGAAGTCTCTGTAAGCAAGCCAGATGCTGAGCCAACAGAAACTTCTAATCCCGCGCAACATGATTCCGTGGAAGAATTGAACGTCGAGGTAGACACCACTTTTACTCAAACCGAAGGCACGGGAGTCTCAGAGGTGAATAAGCCTAAAGAGATACACCCCGTAGACCGTGCTTTGAAGCAACTCAAGGCAGCCTACGTAGCTGCAAAACGACGCTACCGAGTCACCCCAGACCGAATATCCCAGCTTCAGCAAGCGCTAGATCAATACAAAGGTACCAACAATTTCCACAACTACACCATTCGGAAACAACATTCGGACCCTTCATCCAAGCGGACCATTCGATCCTTCATCGTCAACCCTCAACCAATCCAGATCAACGACACGGAGTGGCTTTCTCTCAAGGTTCACGGGCAGTCCTTCATGATGCATCAAATCCGCAAGATGGTCGGCATGGCCGTCCTTGTTACCCGATGCGCCACACCCTTCTCCAGGATCAAAGAGACTTACGAGTCTACCCTAGTCAGCATCCCCAAGGCGCCGAGTCTTGGTCTGCTCCTAGAAAGACCCGTGTTCGAGACCTATAACAAGCGTGCCAGGGACCAGTTCGGCCTTGCGGAACTCGACTTCGGAAATTACGAGAAGGAGATCCAGGAGTTCAAGGACTCGCAGATTTACCGCCACATCTTTGAGTTGGAAGAGAGGGAGAATTCGTAAGTTATTCCTCGTAAATTCTTATTCTGGGAATGCGAGTATAGTTTATTAACACACTGCAGATTCCACACGTTCTTCCACCAGATCGACAACTACAAGCTAGGCTACTTCCTCTGGGTTACGGCCGGAGGTATCGACGCGGCGGTGACGAGAGTAGGAGGTATACCCAAGGAGCTAGAAGATGAGCTAGGAGACGATGGGGAGGAGGATCCGGAAGAGTAGGTGCCATCACTTTCCATGTAGCTTAGAATCAGCTCAAGGCATTAGCATCTGCGTGTAACAAGAATACGTTCATAGCTAAAGCAAATTTCCATCGTAAAAGGTCAATGCTTTGATTAGTCCACCCATGTAGTAGGCATTGATATTGAAGGCCATTAGGTATCTCGTCAGCCATCCAATCTCAACCCAAACAACCGCAGCATCGTAAACGTGTGACCAATCCCACGAAAATCAATCAGCTTCGAAAGGACGTATATCGGGTAACACCATCCTGTCATCCTCCCCCTCCCCTCGGCGGTAGGGGTCTTAGTGATTACGGATCCCTCTCCTTCACCGATACGGATAATACTGAAAGAGGTATCTAGGTTACGATACACGATCTCCTTCGCGGAAGAATAAACGGTCGTCTCGGCACTATAATAAGCATCTGCGTAATCACTATAGTCGAAGGTATCATCGACACCCAACTCATCAGCCTCGGCTTCGAGAGGCTCCCAAGAAATGTCCAACCAACTCCTACCAGCTTTTTCTCCTCAGGTCACGCACGTACTTCCGATTTTGGGGCAAGAAGGTGTTATTCTCAATACGCAGCACCGTGGCCGTCCTTGTCCACTTCATCAGGGCCGAGTAAACCGTTAAATTCCATAGCGTGGAAGAACTCCACCTCGTACATCTAGGCGAGACCGTTGCCGTACTCGTCGCGCATAAGGCTAAGCTGCGCGTGGGGTGGCAGGGGTCGCGTGGATCACGCGCGGTCCAGCCTAAGAGTCAACGTTGCTGTGCGCGCCGCCTTCGGCCTTGTCCTTCATGATCTTGGCGATCGCAGCGTCGCGCATCACGAGCGCTTGGTCATACAGCTGCACTACTGAGTTGGCCTGCGCATCGATCACGGCCTCCCGCGCGTCCTCCTCGCCTGGTTGGCGGAGTGGGCCGCTCATCCAGAGAAGCTTGAGCTGGCGGTTGAGAGAGAGGAGACCTTGGATCTCGGAGACCTGGGGATGGTTAGTTATGTGTACGTGTATGGGGAGGTGGGTGATAGTGAAGGAGAAATAGAATGGGCATTTCTTACCAAGGCAGAAGCCTCGGTCTGCATTTTCAGACTGTTTGAGGAGGCTTGCTCGATTGTGTTGGGGTTCTCGTAAATTGATGCAGTAGCGGCCGCAACGATGTTGCTGAAGCGTCCTACGATAGTCGCAATCTTGCGGTTATGCGTGTCTATGTGAACTGATGTTAGCATCGAACTTCGCAATCTAAGAATATTACAATCTCAGAGATGAGCATTGCGATTTCCGAAATAAATTCATGTTTGATGATTGAAATGATCATCTAACTTTGTGCTGGATGAGAGTGTCATTCCTGTCCGACATTCAAATGTGGTTATGCGGCAAGGGATCGTCACGAATGATCTCAGTGTGTATGTAGATCACTGAAATTAACATGAGTTGACTTACCAAGAAGGTGGGTAGTATCCCTATTCATCTTGACGAAGAGCTCAATGGAGCGCGCGTAAGATTCCGGACGTTAGATTATTGAGGTTTTAATCAACGTAGAATTTCCCGTGGTTGATTGTAGTCGAGAGGTTTGGTAAAGTTAAAAGACATGTGGTGCAATATTTTTATCTTGACACTCGTTCATGCCTGGATAATTCATCTTTTGTTGAAGAGTAGATGGATTGATTTAGGTTAGTAGTAACGGACTGTGTTACCGTCAGCTCCATCACGTGACTAAGACATGACTAATTCAATTACCTCATCAATATTACTCATCAAAATTACTCATCAGGATTACCTAATGTTACTTACATAATACCTACGGTGGTTAAGGGGTAAAAGGGGAAGACAATCAACTCTACCTAATCAGTATCCTACATCTAGTTGGTAGAAATAGTATCCATTTATTGACTAGGTACCTAGTTATAGTCTAAGATATTAGATATAATCTCCCCATTATTTGAGGCAAGATGATGCTGAAGTGCAGAACCACGAATAAAGTTGCCCTTCCATGACTTTCAACGCCGCCCTTTACAGAATCTATCTGCTCGCCACCTTGTGGCTCGTTTTCTACAACTATCCTACCGATTAGCAAAAAATTATAAAATAAAGGAAGAGTCTATAGGAGATTTATATCTACTTACTACCAGCGGCTGGTCCAGATCGTATCTCCCACCACAGCTCAGCTGCGGAATCTGGGAATACTTCTGCGCAAGTTCCTCTCTGGTATTCTGGAGGATCTACAAGATCGTTAGCGATAATCCAATAAGAATCTATTCTCTAAACGCACATTGATATAGGACTGTTCGGGATTTTCTCTCAGAGTCCTAACCAATGCCCAAGACATCGCTCCGGTCGGCGCGCCAGCGATAGACGTGTCCGCAGATGTCTGGTTGTCCGCGCATCCGGAAAACATCCAGACATCCTTTCCTTCAGTCTCCCAATGCTCCTCAAATTCTTCTGGCGCGAGTCCATCCTCGTCGACATCTTGATTCCGTCGATGATGCAGCCCATTGAAAAAATCGGTCGCACCACCCAGTAGCATCTTAGCGTCGTCGATCTTGGACATGGAAAATCCACCTTCGAAGAGCCCCTCTGCTGCGCGAATCAGTCCGATGCCTTGCTTAATCGTGTCGACCATGTTGACATTGCCCTCCTCGTCTGGGCGGTAGACGTAGGGTAGCTCGCACGCGGAGCCAGAGTGGCAACAGTCAAACAAGATAGTAAGGCGGCATTCGGGGTTCATTGGAGAGACGATTGCCCGATGCAACTACTCGGAGGTACAGGTTAGATTAAAAAGCAGAAAAGGCAGGCTGGTGGCTTTAGTGAGCTCACCTTCTGACTCGGGATCTGCCCGTTCTCCATAAAGTCAACGGGACATATTGTATCGTCGAAACTGTTGGAGATTAGACACTACTTAGATTACGCAAGTATTTACCTTTTCTGTGCTTACCCCGACTCTCTCTCATCATTTCTAACCTGACCTATACAGAGTTATTAACTTGAGCCTGTATTCCATCGCGGGGTCATGGAACTCTTTGCTAACCTCCATGGCCAGAATAACTCAGCCAGAGTACGTCACCAGGCTGGTTTCGCGTTACAAGCCAGTTAATACCAGCCATTATGTTGGCTGCTGTGGGGAAAAATGGAGTCCCCTCATTCTCTGGACTGTCAGAAAGCATCACCATGTCGTGGTCACTTGGTGAAAACCCCCTCTCCTCGACGAGAAAATTGCGAATGTTTTCAGCATCGTTAATGCAGCCATTTAATTCATGGTCTGTACCATAGTAATTGATGCCGATGAGCAGGGCTTTCCTACGCGACATTTTATGAGTGTGATATACGCGCTGAGAATTGATTGAAATTAGTACCAATGATGCGGGGTCAGATACCGAGCTAACTAGGAAGTAGGAAGTGAGAAAGCACAAAAATATAGTCACAGAATGTGAAATGCCATATTTCTGTGGCATTCAAGTGATTTGGAAAGATCAATGACCTTATGGGTGAGTACAGGCGGGGGCATTAGCATGATGCATGAGGTGTATCGTGTTTCAGGTGCAAGAAAACAACCAAATTGTTGTTCACCCCCTAAGCCCAATCCTACTAAACCCTGAGCCATTTTCATTTCCTTCAATGGACCAGAACACCGTCACTCCTATCGCCTAACGCCTAACAAACCAATATCAGCATCATTAAAAAACGAGCACAAACCCTCCAGCCCTCTTCCAAAGTACGACGAGTGATGGTAGTAGAAAATATCATCGTTCCGACAAGCCATTACCACAAGTTGCGATTACGGGTATTCCAATATTCTCTCCATTTTTTAACTTCTTCCAATGTCTGTTTAGGTGAATTAGGCTGCTTCAAGAAAAATGTTCGTGATTTGTCTGGCTGGACAATGCACAAGCCTGAGTCTTCGCTGATATATAACAAAACCTCCCCCGAGAAACCGTAACATAAAAGAGCCCCATAGAGGAGTTTCATAGTTTGGGAATCCATAGACGATGGTAAGGCATTGATAATATTCTTCATGCCTGACCCCCGCCTCATCTCTCCCACAAACATACCCCGATAATACTTGTATTTACTCATCCATAAGAGAGATTCAGCAGACCGCTTTGATAAATCAGATTGATTTAATAAGACTCCAGTCATACTAAATTCATTTCTCCTGCCCGAGTATTTGAGTAACCGCAAAAGACGGTCGACGGTGTCCTCTGGCCAGTTTGATTTAGTTTCGAGGATTCGGGTGACGCGAGATTGAGAAACCTCGTCTAGGCCTTCAAAAGTATCTAGAAGAGATCTAGCGGCTTCTTGTAATAGTTCTGATTGCCTTTCAAGGACCTTAGTAACGTCAAACGTAACATATTTGCTTTTGAGTGCTCTTATTATAACTGGGATGATTTCCTTTGGTAAGTTTGATTGATTGCTTAGGGCCACAAGAGCAGCAAACTGCACACTTTCTTTCTTATCCCCCAGCAGTTTTATCAATGCGGAGACTGTCTCCTTTGATAAGATTGATTGTTTACTGAGGGCATAGCCAATGGAAATTCGAGTTGAATCATCTATATCTGCCTTGTTGAGCCACAGTGCAAGAGTTGCAATATATGGTCCTGGTAAATTTGATTGTTTCTCCAAGATCTGAGTAGCCCTAGAGCTGATCCTCCGATCTTCGTTTTGAAGGTGTGCTAAAAGAGTTGCAATGCTCTGGTCCGATAACTTCAACTGCCTTTCCAAGAATATAGCCGCGTTGGCTTGAACATCATCATCCTGATTCTTGAGCAGCTCCATAAGACCCGCAACAGTCTGTTCTGGTAAACTCGGCAGTTTTCCAAGGACGTCGGCGGCGAAAGATTGATTAATCACATCCGCATTTTGAAGTAATGTATCAAGAGCGGTATGGGTTTGTTCTGATAAGTTTAATTGGGCTTTCAAGCTTTTAGTAGCGGCTTTTCGGACCTCCCAATCTAGATCTTGGAGTAGTTGTACAAGGACTATGGAAGTTTCTTCCGATAAGTTTGATTGTTTGTCGAAAGCTCCAGTCCTGGTTCCCATCGCGATCCTACCATTAGAATCATTAATTGATGTTACAAGCTCTGCAGCGGTTTCCTCTGATATATTGAACTGGCTCAATATAGTCTGCAAAGTCGTATATCGCTTCCGTAAGTTTTCAAATCCCGGAATTTCGTCGAAACCTGTGATGGGATTTACTAATGCTGCGTTTCTTCCTTCTTTGAAAGACCTGGTCAAAGGTTCTTCTGAGAAAATATTAGAAGTATTTCTAATTAATTTTACTAGAGCTGCAGCGACTTTCTTTGATATATTTGACGAGATCACTATAATCTCCAAAGCTGTATATCTTTTCTGTTGATCTGGATTTTCCAGCAATGTTATGAGAGTTGTGGCGGCATTTTCCGAAAAGTTCCGTTGATGTTTCAAGATGTTACCCAACTCACGTAGCCGGCTATTTTGACTCTTACAATTGCTGCTTAGACTTTCAATAGTATTTACCAGAGCTGTAATTGTTTCCTCTGGTAAATTTGATTGCCATCTCATGACGAAAGAAAGAGCAGATATGGTATCCGCATTCGTATTCTCGTCTAGGAATAATCCTACTAGTCTCATGAGGGAATCCTTTGGTAGGTTAAATTGATGGGATAAGGCTTGAAGTGCCCATTTTTGGATATCCGTGTCTTTGTCTGATGACAATGAAACGAGATATTTGATAATCGGATCTGATAAATATCTGGGGGGATCAAGCATTTGTAACATTCGCCGTTCTTTGCCTTTCTGAACAGCTTCTAGAGTGATGTACAGAACTTGGTCAGGGACACCAGATTCAGAAACCAAGCGTAAGTGTTCCGTTAAGTCACCTTCGAAGAGTAGCCATTGCGATAGCTTTTCTGCCAATTCTGGTCGAGACTGTGGATCAACCACTTCGCTAAAACAATGCATAACTAGTCGCTGATGAGTTGGTCCTAAAAGGTCGCGTGGTTCTTTTTCGAGCTGTTGGAAAAACTTGGTTGCTTCGTCTGCTCCCTCGGCTTCAAGTAATCCCGTGGTAAACCGCCACATGATGTTGTATCGTGGGTCATACTTGTTCTGGTTCAGGAAATCTACGGGACTAGATCTTTGCTTGTTTCCAGAATTCAGATCTAAGTATTCGAGATCTTCGGCCAACATCCATTGCCTAACAAAATAATGCGCTGCAAAGAACTCCTGGAATGTTAGGTGCAAGAAGTGATAACTTCGATTAGATGTGTCTATCGAGGGGTCTGACGATCGCAGGAATGAGAGACATCCAAGCCGATCATGAAATGAAATTTTCACTTGGGTAGGTAATGCGGTCCAAGATGATATCAGCCCATACACCTTATTTTGATGTTCTGGTTGAAATTCAACCTCATTACTGTACATTCCACTAAAGGCGAAACATCCAAGTAGTTGACTATCAGGGTCGCTAAGATCCCATATCTGGGACGGAAGGGTGTACTTTGTTATAGGATACTCCGGATCACCCTTTTCTCTAAGTCGTACGATATCTTTCTTCCACAAGCGGAGTACAATAGCCTTGTATACGGTCGTCATAGTCTCTGGGGTAGGGTTATTAGGTATCTCGTCCCAGGCGAGGCAGAGCGCATCTAACTGAATCGGTATTCGAACAAGGCTCTGAATATGCCAGTGCTTCTGGATGGACGATAGGATACCTTGGAGAGTGGGCAGGTCTTGCACGACCTTTTCGAGGTAGCATTGTACTTGATACGGGTAAAATCCAATCGTTTCTAATTCAAGGTCAAACTGTCCAGAACCTGCTGGAAATGTAGCATGCGGTCTGGTCGTGATGATTACGTCAGGCTGCTTCAGAAGGTCTGTCAAAACCTGGTACTCATTATTCTGTTCGCCACCCAGATTCTGAACTTCATCTAGACCGTCGAGGATAAACAACGTTCTTCCACCATTGGGAATTGGATGCTGTATGACATCATTCAGATTGGAAGCATGATTCTTCCCTTCTGGACAATGAACAAAATACTGGTTATAGAGCAATGTTTTAAAATTGCAGGGTCTCGTAAATTTCATATTTCGTAACGGTATCCAAAGTATGCGTTGGAACAAGTTCTTCCATGTGTTACTGTGGATAAAGTCATGGACGATTTTTTTACATAAAGTAGTTTTCCCAACTCCGGCACGGCCACGGATTAGTATTCTTCTAGGTTGCTTTATGCTACCGTCGGACATTTTGCGAGGGTTAAACAAGGCTTGGAGCTCGACTTGGAGTTTTTCGTCCGGTTCCTCAACTCGTAGTCGACTAGAGAGTGAAAATGGGGAAGACTGGTGAGCAATATCCATAGAGCTATCTTTACCAATCTGCCTTACGATGGCAAGATTGACATAGCACTGGTCCATCGGTAAAAGGTCGCCTGATAGTCGCTGAATTTTGAGTGTTTCTTTGGTATAGTAATTGTTATGTATCCAAGTATCCGCTTTTTCGAGTGGTGTACCTGCCCGAACCTTTGCAAGGAGGCGTTTAACTTCCCTTGAAACCGCTTTGTAATCCGCATCCAAAGGGCCTTGGAACTTATTCATTAATACATGAGGTCGATCGAGCGGCAGTGGATGGTCATCAATGTCTAGAGTCGCAGAATTTACGTCAACCAACTGGTAGACGTTAGCGAATGAATCAAGTAGCTTCAACCTGCGATTCTTACCACTTCTGGAGGCCCAAAGACATATGATAAGATATATGATGGGATAAAAGGCACTTTGTGAGATAAATTGGAGACGCCTTGTTCATAGAAAGTACAGATTTCGTAGTTTTGCTCTATACATATCTGCGTAAACCCGCGAACAGCTTCTCTAAGGTCGGAGGTTGACTTCGTGTTGCCCAGTAGTGTAGTCACATGTTTGTTTTGGATGGAAGCCCAGTTTCTCAAAAACGGTTCTCCCCAATGAACTATATCTGGGGACGATATACCTCGAAACGGTGTGGCAAGGAAGATAAAACCACGGGCAGACGTTTTTATGCAAGAATACTTTCCGGTAGCCATGCAAAGAGCCTTTATGAGGATGATGCCACCAAGACATGATGTAATGAAGAGGATAGGCCGATTTTCTTCTGAGAGACTTCGGATGCTGTTTAGCAGAAGCCGAGCAAATTCGTCAATCATTTTTGGGACCAAGTTCGAATCTTCGTATAAGTCGGCCGGCCAGTCGCAAGTGAAAATGCGAGCGCGGCCGACTAAGTTGGGGAGCATATCCTTGTCTTGCAGCCAGTTCACCCCAGACTTGCTAGGATTCTTGGGATCTTTCCAGATCCATGTATCGGGCGACTTTGTGTCTAAGCCATGGATGGCAATGATATCGATGTCTGAGTCGTCGCTGTCGTTAGGAGGGTGAATACAACGGAGCCGGACGGCGCACTCTTGTCCTGGAGATTGAACTGATTCGTCTCGAGTGGAGGCTTGGGACGACAGCGACCGGTGCAGGTGGGGCCGTATCTCCGCCCCTTGTTCCGACTCCTCTCCGCATCGGTTCATCGTTCGTAGAGTTTCGAGGTCATATTGAGTGATTTGAAGTCTATAAGATTGTTTTGAAAGCGTAAGATATCCCGGGCTTTACGGGTAAATTACAGCTCGAGATCGGTCTCAGAAACTATCGGGCATGAATTGTGCCTCGTGGAGGTAGCGAGGCTGTGGTTGCGTTGGATTATGTAGGAGATACCTACGCCCTGTGACCCCGCCACCTACAAAGTACATGTAGTACGTACCTATTAATCTATTTAATTGATGTTCTCATTGGACTTCATACATATATGTATGTCGTTTGCGATATTCTAGATTCTGTATTGTACTTCCGAAGGGTTTTTAATATGGAAAGGTACATTTACGGTTCTCATCAACTAATCCTCAAAATGAACCTCGAAGCTCAGCACTTCAACCAAACTGTCGATTTTCTAGACATTTCTCGTAACACTGGGAAATGTCTCTGAAAATACCTGCTACCACGACGACAAGATAATGAAATGATGTGATAGCAACGACTTCTACATGGGCAGATGGGAGAGTGCGTATGCACGAGCCACTCCGCGATCTGCTAGGGCATTTCTAAGTTCTATTTACGACGCGTAAATGCATCGTGGAATATTTCACGCTGTGACATATTGTATTCTCTAGTTTATGAAACTAACACCTAGATACCTAGTACATCAGTGCCTCAACCCTTCTTTGTGTTATTCATGGTTCACTATATTATTCAATCAAAAGAACAAAATGATAACAGTCATCACAGAAGAGGTACTTGAAGCTGCCCGAGAGATGAATAGGCGCGATATTCTTAGGGCAGAGCATAAACACAACATTGAAAACGACAGCGCAGAACCGTTTGATGTCGATGATGATGAGATATGGGCAAAGTACAAAAGCATCCAAGGTTTGAAAGGTGCAGAGGGCCAACCCCTTAAAGTAGGAGGCTCCCATTATTCGTATGGACCTTATCCTCGCAACCGTCGCATCCTAGCAGACGTCGCGCTTGCCGCCGGCTGGTCGGTCGAAAAAGCTAGGATTCTAGAGCGCCGCTGCGTCAATCGGAATGCGAAACACATGAGCAGCCCGCCGAACGTCATGGTCGATCTCTCGGACCCGAACCAACCGAAGATGAAAAACGGCAGGCCTCTCACTTTCCAGAACGTATCCTGGTCCTTTCTCCGCAACTACATAGAGCTGGAGATGAAGGAGATGGATCCGACGAAGCTCAGCATCGTCAAAGCCGCTGTGCTAGACCTATACGAGACCAACTCCAAAACGGGCAAGAAAAACATCCCAGTGTACCCACCAGGCACGAAGCGTAGGAGCGACGACACCATACCAGTTTCCGACGACGACATAAAACGCGCGCAAGAAGAACTCGATAAACGGGAGCGCTACATCAAAGCGTCGCGCATGCAGTTTCTCGATAGGAAATCGTACGTGCCGCCGGACAAAGTCAAGGCGAGGATCAAGGCCTTCCTCCAATCAAGCAACATGTCCGAAGAGGAGTTCCAGAAAGCGATCGATGTGACGGAATCCGAGTTCGAGATGTTCATGAAAGAGAAAAAAAAGCAGCCGCTACTGGAAAGTAAGGTCTTCCATAATGCGCCTCCGTTCATCAGCGAGCAAAAGGGAGAACAGCCAGCACGAAAAAGGAAGAGAAGTATTGAAATTTTAGACGACGCCTAGCTGTAGTAGAAATAGACTATCGCTTGATGTTTGTGTACTTACTGGTTAGATACCTCGTAATCTATAGATGGTTCTGTGTAATGATGATTAATTTTTGGATAGAAGTCTGTGTGGACCTTAGATTTCGATGGTGTTTTGATCGAGTTAGTAAATATTTTAGTATGACGATCACCCTCAAAAGATGGTAAACAACGAGCAAGTCCTATTATGACTATTTTTAGTAGGTGGTAGAGCTTCGTGGCTGTGTGGTGCTAGGCCTGTCAGAGCCCCAATCAGCATCCTTTTGGCAGCTTTGGCGGGACGGGTCGATTCAGCTAATGAACGTGTCATCCTTGCAGCTTTTCTTTAGGAGACTTTACGGGGGCTGCGCAGGAACGTCGGCGCACCTATTCCTTCTTCGCACATCATTCTGTAAATTCTTGTTAAGCTCTTAGTCTCAGTTGAGCTCTCAATTCCATCGCAGCGCATCTTGATCATCACCGAAACCGGAATTCAACAATGGAATCCGAGTCCAACATTCCGCCGCGCCGCCGAGTCCCGAAGTTGGGTCACAAGAAATCCATGTTTGGTATGATCTAGTCCGAACTCCGATTCTTAACTCCTAGGTAATCTGACACACCGTAGGTTGCCAGCGATGCCGTTCCAGAAGAGTAAAGGTGCACTTCCATGCTTTCTATGATCTTGATAATTGTATAAAAAGTGAATTGGGATAACTAAGACCTTTGTCCCATTTAGTGCAATGAGGAAAAACCCATCTGCTATAATTGCAAAAGGCATGGTCTTCCCTGCAATTATGACCGCGACACGATCGCGAAGAAGGTATCCCCGAAACCGGCAGTAGCTCAGGTGTTCGTCAATGAGCCCGAGGAAAATGACCCACCGGAGAGTCGATCACGGCGAATGCTGGAGGCAAGGCTTATGCATCAATATGTGACCGAGACGGGTTTGTCCATTGCAGCCGACGAACGCACACTGGGGTACTTTAGTCGGCTGATCCCAAAGCTTTCGTTTCATTCCGACGCGCTGTTATATTCAATGTACTGCCTCGCAGCCCTGAATATAGCGAGAGTTTATGGAGACGGCGAACTCGAAGACGGCGCCGAGAATGTTGCTAACAGATACTTCTCGATGGCTGTCCGAGAGCACAACAAGGAGATATTCCAAGTTAACAAGGACACAACGGACATAGTCTGCTTGACATCGTGCCTGATGCGCGCAGCTGCGCTCATCCAGATACAGACTCGAAACCGGGAGCCTTATACACCCCCATGGCAATGGCTAGCTCTAACTCATACCTCAACTGCTACCTTTGTGGAAGCATATAAACAGATTGGTCCGGATCCAAATTCCGTAGCATTCCAGCTGATAAGAGGGACATCTCACCTCCATGATAATGGAAAACTGCCACAGTCTGGGGATATCCAAAGATTGCAACACCTGCTGGATCGCTCGAAGGAACTCAGCATAGACGAGGAATGGGATTCGGAGATTCAAGACGGATATGAGCGTACCCTCACCTATATATGCAATGCAAGCAGGCTATCGGATGCCGAAGGATCATCAAGCAGTCTATTTCGAATGCTGCTTATGTTTCCGATGTTGGCAGACGAGAGATACATCAAGCTAGTGAAAAAAGAATCCCCGAGAGCTTTAGTAGTACTCGCCCACTACTTCGCCCTGCTTTCGAGGTTTAGTGACGTATGGTGGGTTGCAAATATAGGGGCTGACGAAGTCCGCGCGATTGCCAATTCATTGCCTGAAGAATGGCAGGGCTTACTTGTATGGCCACTAGAGAAAATAAAACAATGGAATCCGGATGCTCAAGAACAAACGGGTTCGAAAGGTTTATCGATTTAATCTTTAAAGCCACCTGAGCTTGGGGGCGGATTTTAGCGGCTTCGCTCTCGCTCTCGTTCTCGCCCTCGGTTACATAACCGACAAATCTGGTGTTGGCACTGAAGCTGAATGACCTCAACAACATCCTACTTGGATATGACATGTAAAAAAGCACTGCGCCTCTTGTTATATCATCATGCGGTTTACACGCGATATCGATAAATATATCGAGGGTATCAGAGATGGAGTATGAAAGAGGAGCCAAGAGATCGAACACGTTCCCAGAATCAAGCAACATTCACCTCATCTCGCTTCGAGCCTAATAAACAGTACCTCCCATCCACATCCCTTAAACAAGATGAAGTTCCTTAATGCGCCGCTACTTTTTCTTAGTTGCTCTAGCGTAGCTCTCGTAAGTATCCAACCCGTCTCAGCAGGATGCCTACTAGGTACCTACCTAGGTAACTATCCGTCTCGCTAACGCGTATTATCAGGGGAGTTCATTCACAAGATCTCGAGGATTCCACTCTACGAAAAGGGACAACAGCACAAATGCAGGCTCTATGCTTCAACTAAGCTCCGACGCGGACTTCCACTTCGAAATTCTTCGGGCCTTAGCACTTGCGCCGTACCAGGGCAGCGACATAGGAGAGGTACTAGTCGCCGCGAACCAGATCTCCGCAGGAGACTTCGAAAGCTACTCGACCGCATTCAACGACCTCGCCGACCGAGTCCACGACAGCGCGAATGCGATAGACACGAAATCATATCCCGTATCGGCGAGGAACGCGTTCTTTCGAGAAGCGACTTACTATCGGTCAGCAGACTTCTACCTCCATGGCAATTGGAACGATTCCCGAATCTACTCGCTATGGGACAAGCAGCTCTCAGCCTTTGACTCGGCGGTCGCGTTGCTACCGACGCCCGGGGAGCGCATCACGCTCCAAGGCAAGGGCTTCAAGATCCCCGCTATCTTCTTCGGCAGTGGGTTGCCAGGCCCCCGGCCTACGCTCCTCATGTGCAACGGCTTCGACGGATCGCAGGAGGAGATGTACCATGTTATAGGCGAAGCGGTCTTGCAGCGCGGCATGAACGTGATCACGTTCGAAGGGCCGGGTCAGCCCACGGTGCGGCGGTATCAAGGGCTTGGCTTTATTCCCGAGTGGGAGGACGTCGTTACGCCTATCGTCGACTATGCCTCCTCGCGGCCCGAAGTCGATGCTAAGAAGATAGGGTTATGGGGACTGTCGTTTGGTGGGTATCTCGCGCCACGCGCAGCGGCGTTTGAGCACCGTCTCGCCGCCGTCGTCGCCTTCGATGGAATCTACTCCTTCGCACAGGGGATCTCTGATCAATTTGGGCCACAGTTAGCCGCCATATACGAAACCGGCAACGAGACGTTATTCAACAATGTTATTTCCCAGGTACTCACGAACTCCTCCTTCCCGACGAGTGCTCGTTGGGCTATTCAGCAGGGGCTATGGTCTTTCAACACGAAGAGCGCGTTCCAGTGGTATAAGCAAGTCCAGCAATACACCCTAGACGGAGTTATCCAGAATATCACCGCTCCCGTCTTCGTTGGCGACGCTCAGGCCGACATGTTCTTCCCCGGACAGGCGAAGATGCTGGCGGAAAAGTTGGGTGATCGCGCTACCTATTATCTGTTCAACTCGATCGACGGGGCAGGGGAGCATTGTTCGCTCGGCGCGGCGGTGTTGAGTGCTCAGGTTGTTCTAGATTGGTTCCAGGGAATCGTCTCCTAACAGATATCTCCCTATCAGTAACTTAGTCTAGGGAGATAGGAGGATATGAAAAGGGAAATATTCAGTATCATTCTATATCAACTTTTACCAATATTACCTACCTCATTCATCATACCATGTCCAATATAATGCCCCCCTTTTCGTCCGATCCATACTCGTTAGGTGTCGTATTGACATTGTGATGATACCAAAATCTTCATCATTCTGGGCACTTTTGTTATCACCACCACCATCCCGTCATATATGTATGCACGCTTGATGAGCCAATCGCATCAAAGTACCAATTTCGGTGATATTCTATTATCAAGCCTCCATTCGTCATCTGTGTGACATACACTAGAATCACGAGGATCCTTACTAGATTCGGCATTGTCCTAGAAAGCGAACCCGAGTCCGAGGTACGCCACAGTACTTGAGAAATAGCAATCCCAAGTCTCTTTCAATCATTGAGACATAAATGAATACCTCTCTAAATATACAGTTTTATCGCGTTATAGGATACTGGCATATATGAAAGCCAAGTTCCTAATAAATATTATTTTTGTAAGTTGAAGTTTGAAGGCTAAAAGAATAACATGCCAAGACTACTAAAAACTACTATGATTGAATTCGACGATGGGGCTGAATTGACGGCTTTTCCCGTCTTGTTTCCCTGCCACAGCTGCTAGAGCTACCTAATTACAATCGACCTAGGCCTTAACTCCACGAGGACCCAGCGAAAGACCCTTAAATCTGGGGAACGAATGCGAGGCTAATTCTCATAGCCCCGACAATATGTCCAACCAGCCAAGTAGTATTCTTAATGGATCTAGTCCAGGAACTTGGAAGTAAGGGCTCCGTAAGTATTTTCGAGTTACCGAACAAGCTTTCAACCAGCTGACTCCTCTGCTCCTTCAACTTCAGCTAGGCTCCAAAAAATCATCACGGACGCGAATCAGATCAAGCGACCATGCGGCGGCACAGCAATCGACAATAATCCCTGGTCAGAATCATGGCAAATACGCACTTGCTTACAAAGATAGGACCATGTTACCATGTTTAGCGCAGGCACCATGTGCTAGGGGGACTTCTTTGTAGGCACAGAAGTTCAAGGCAGCCCAATCGGATCAAAATGAATATTAAGTCTCTACCTACCTTGTATACAGCTCAAAGCTTTCCAGCTACGAACTTAGCTTTAAATACAGCTCGTCAGCCAAGATGGCAACTCATCTCGACGCGGTGTTTTTATAGTGAGGTTATCGTATAGGACCATTCTATAAAACCTCCAAGCGGCTTCGTCGTTCCTGTGTAACCAAGGTTACTCCTTAGTCAGTTCAAGATGCACCTGAGGAACACCATCTTGGCCGGGCTACTAGGCCTCGCCAGTTCAGTCGAGTCCAAGATCGTTCAAACGAACACCGGGACATTCCAAGGCGGGAAGTGTAGCTTGACGGACGTGAACTACTTCTTCTCTATCCCATACGCCAAACCCCCTGTTGGCGAACGGCGATTTGCGCCACCAGAGCCCCTATCGAACTCTTCAAGCAAAGTAGTCAACGCCACGGCCCCGGCTCCTTCCTGTTTACAGTTTTCGGGGGGACTCTTTGATGAGACGAATACACAGAGTGAAGACTGGTAAGAAGACTATTCATCCCATTGAACGCTGAGTAACAATAACTTACATAAGCATATTCACCCATAGCCTCTTTTTAAATGTTTATGTACCTGCTACTCCAAGCCCAAAGCTGCCTGTGAAGGTATGGCTATACGGAGGGAGCAATGCGGCTGGAGGAATCTCAGACGCAATATATAACGGATGCTTCTCTGCCCAAGATTCCATCATCGTCACGGTCAACTATCGTGTGGGTCCCCTGGGCTTCCTAGCACTGGAAGACCTGGGCTTAACCGGCAACTATGGCATCCAAGACCAGCTTCTAGCTCTACGCTGGGTAAACGAAAACATCGCCGAGTTCGGTGGCGATCCGTAAGTTCAACCCATATTCTTAGGGAGTAGAAGATCAGCAGGGTTTCAGGGTTAACAGATATCCTCTTCTAGGCAAAAAGTACTCCTCTTCGGAGAATCCGCCGGCGCCATCGACACTTTCGTACTTTCCACACTACCCGAAGTATCGCAGCTAGTCCGCGCTGTCGCCATGGAGTCCGGGGCTGGGAGAGATCTAGCGACATTAGCCGACTCCAAAGTCTGGTACACCGAATTCCTCAACGCAATGAACTGCACCACACCAGACGTAAGTCCAACCCCCTCTCCCCTCCCAAATCCACCATCCCAAATCCTCACCCACAACGCAGCTCTCCTGCCTCCGCACCGCCTCCCCATCCGCCATCAAAGCCGCCGCGAAAGCCATGCCGACGCCCAAAGTCACAGTCGTCAACACCGCGCTCGCCAACAACGGTACGCGAAGCGCCTGGACGCCCATCCTCGACGGAACTGTGATAAAAGCACAGCCCTCCACCATCGGGGTCCGCATCCCCGCCATCATCGGCTCCAACGCCGCCGAAGGCGCTCTCTTCGTACTAACCACGTACGGCGCCGCCACGCTGCACAACGCACTCACACAGGCGCAATACGACGCCTTCCTGACATACAACTTCGGGCCGCTAGCGACGCGCGTGAACGAGACATACTCCGCGACGAGAGCCTTCAACGGCTCCGTGCTCGCCGCCATGACGGAGATAACAACCGACGTCTCGTACCGATGCCCGTCGTACCGCGCGCTGGTACAAGCGGAGAAGAACAGCGTGCCGGTATGGAGCTACCGGTTCTCCCACGTGCCCAGCTGCTCATGGTACACCGGGTTGCAAGCGGCATGGATCCCGTACCTCGGGGCCACGCATACGACGGAGATCCCGTTCGTGTTTAACTTCACGGCGAATATGCCGCCGCCGGATGGGAACTGTACGTTTACGCCGGCGGAGCAGACTTTGGCTCATGATATGAGTCGTGCGTGGACGAATATGGCGGAGTTGGGCAGGCCGGGAGAACAGACCGTGTGGCCGGAGTGGAGGTCGAATGGGAGTGTTGGCGTGGTTATGGATGGTGCGATGGTGCCTGGGGTGGTGGATTATTCGACGTGCGGGTTTTGGGACACGGTTAATTCGGAGTTGAACGAGTATTGGAATACGCGGGGTTGAGGAGAGGGATATATAAGAGTCATTATCACAAGTATCTAAAAAGCCTATATGGCTCCTAATTCTTCGGCGGACCCTCAGTAATTTGCCGGCTAGTGGTACGTACTAGGTACTATGGGCCATGCAACAAGATATCATACACTGATTACAGGGTACCTACCTAGGTAGGTAGGTATTCAGTGTTTAGCTGACAACCGACACACACTAGACACTAGCTAGCCTGTTGTCTTTACGTTTCCTACTTTTCTTCTTTAATTCCCACCTACGAGTGCTAGATGCCTTCATGGATAGTGGTTTTGTTTTAATAAATACCTGTACTAGGTACTCATCAGAAGTTGTTGATAGCTTATATGTCGAACGACTAGGGGCATGATTGAGATCTAACTGACAATCGAGGTTTGTGGTGATTTCTTATATTCCATAGGAAATATACCATAATCGAATTCGAGACCGAAGTGATCTTAGAAATTGAAACGATTCAATGTAAAGTTTGGATCAGTTAGGAGCAACGCTTAGGTGCGAGCAAAAGTTGCGGTCATAGGAAACTTGCAAGGGATAGCTCTCGGAGCATCGGCTAGCTCTGACAGGGGTTTGAAGGGGGAGAGACCGGCTACGCTGTAGCGTCCTTAGGGCGCCCCCAGCGCTATAAATCCCGTAATGATTAGGGCAATCCCACCTGTGTTTGAGGAGGTAGAGATCAATCTTTAGTCACTAAATTTACTTGACTTCAGACTCCTTTTTCAATCAAACAACCTACTACCTAATGGCTATCATGAACCGTGCTCTCTTCACCCAAACTCCTAACCATATTCCCTGACGATTTACCAACTCCAAATTATACACTCAAAGTGCTCAACCATACTTCTTGACACTTACCCAACTCCAAAAATGGATTGTATCATTAATTCATTCTTCAACTAACTCATACCACTCCGGAATCTCCTTGATGAGAGTCCACATGTATTTTTCCAGTTTGACGGCACACTTGTTGTATACCGTTGTTTCGTCATTGTACTTCCGACAATTATTAAAAATCAGTTTGAGATCGTCGACGAGGTCTTTCGGGGCATTGTATTGAGCCTGGTGTAATCTTTCTTCCATAGTTGACAAATCCATTGGTGATGTAATAACGTTGTAATAATCAGGAACTTCGTCTCTATTGACCGGATTGAGGAAGGGCCATGCCTGTTTGTGGTTTTGAATTTGATATAGAAAACGTCGAAGTTGATTGAAATAAGGTCCGCGGCGTGGTTCCCGTGCCAACACATCCATATCTGGAGACCAGCTAGTTGCCCGAATGGCAGGAAATGAGAGCGGATCCATTGGAGTAATTGTACCGTTGGCCCATTGCGTAGGTGGTTGATGGACGACGTGGCTTCTGCTGACGGCACGAATTTTGGCGAGTACAGTTTCCTTCTGCTTGAGAAGCATACGACCAACTTCAAGATAACGTACTCGGGGAACCATAGAACATTGCATAATTGTCCCTCCTTCGTAGTCTTTAATATATCCCATCCAGATAGATTTGTCGAGAGTAATCTCTTTGGTAAAGCCTTGCTTTTGGAAATATCCAGTAGCGTAATTATCGGCGTAAGTTAGAAAATGCATCACTGGGGAAGTAGCTTTAACATAGTCTTTCAAATGAGCCATAAGATGCGCTCCGTATCCTTTCACCTGCTGGTCTGATGAGACGGCGCAGAAAACGATCTCAGCAAATCTGCGGTCTCGAAATTCTCGGAATGAGATGCCGCCGATAACTTCAAGGGGATTTTTGACGATAGCGATGGATAAATGCGTGCGATCATAGACGAGACGCGCGATATAATCTTTGGGCATTTTCGGAAGTTGTTTTTGGAACAGGCATTTTAGACCTGTAAGAATGATCCAACTTTCTCTGGCGCCATCATTATTTACGACTCGGAATTCGATCTCACCAGCTCTTTCTTCTAAAACTGCAGGCTTGAAATCAATTAAAATATTTCTTGACATTCGAAGGTATTAGCATACTTTGTCTGGGAAAGGAACCCTCCAGCTTGTAGCTGGACGCTTAACACCCCCCTCTATAAACCCATCATGAAAGCTTTTGATTCTTTTTGTGATGGGTGGGGTATTCGGTTCTTCAGAGGCATTGCGCTTCGTGAGAAGGGAATTTTGCTCGTAGTTGACTGGAAATGATTGCAATGTTGCGGTGTCCATTTGTGTTGAATATCAGCAAACCAAAAGAAGTCTGTCTTTCGTTAATTCAAACTGGTACTAGTCAGCCTCCGGCTCTCTAAGCAGCATGTTTAAGCCATCGTGAATAAGCGGACTAACCAGATTTGCTTGGAATTATGGATTCAGTCGGCGTGTGCTGAATTATGGCCGATCATTCCCTTGAATGATACAATTGTCGAATTCAACTATAAAATGATCAGGTTTTGAAAATGTCTCTGCCCGACGTACTCTTTTGTGACTGCTCTTTCGCGAATGAATGATTTCACAGCAAGGCTCTAAGATGCCTTTAAAGCGTTTTAAGTTGTTCGATTAATGACTTGATTAAGGAAAAATGTTCTAAAATTGGTCGTTAACGTCCGTTTTAAAGTTGGCGCCCATCACGTGATGGCTTCCGGCACCCCGGTCCCTGCACCTGCTAAGCAGACTAGGACTAGTCATTGTGCCGATGCCCAACCCTCTTCAAAATTTCGACTATCCGAGCAGTGCAACCGACGCTCCCTAGAACCAACATAATTCCATTAAACAGGATTAAAACGCCATAGTTCGAACCGTAATTCTTAGGCCACCAAGATGTCTTGCCAACACCCTCAGCTATCAGCCGCTCGCTGATAGGTCCGCTTGCGATGCTACCGACACCTCTCGCCGCGGCTGCAAATCCCCACAGCACGCCTAGATCAGCGTGGGGGCTGCGTTTCTGTATTTCGAGCCCTATGCCAACCCATGTCGAGCTCCAACCCCCAGCAAACATGCCGTAGATAAAAGCAAACCCACACAGAGTTGCGAAATTTCCCGCGAACCCCCAAGCGAAGAAAACCGCGACAGCTGCCCCTAGTGACAGGAGAAACAATGTTACTGAAACGTGGTAGCGGTCGACTAGGTACCCCGTGCCGATGGCGCCTATGACGGATGCCACATTATAAAATGACAACATCCCCGCCGCAGCCAAGGGTGAGGCGCCAAAGCGTAGAGCAAATGCTAAACCCCATGTTAGCTGGAAGAACAATGATTTGTGAGTGATACCTTAGGCAGGTAGGTAGATAATTCATACACGGAAGATGGATACCAGGCAAGAAATTCCCAAGGGCCTGGAAGATATTGCCAGCTTGAAGAAGCAAAAAGATAGGCGTGGCAACGAAGCCCAATGTGCCAATCTCGGAAGCATCAGCCGCCCTGGGCCTCACACGTTCCCGGAGGAAGTAAATAGACGGCAGGGACAGAATAGTAATAGCGAGGAACCAAGCTATCAAGATATTGCGATGCCCGTACTTGTCAAGTCCCCATGTCATAAGAACGCTGTTCATCCTGTCAGCCACGGGCTTCGATGGGTAAAGCTTGTACACGTACGGAATTACTACGCCGCCCATAGCAGCGCCCGCTTCTTGAATCCCAAAGGCGAGGCCCTTGCGCTCGATGAACCACTCGTTCAGAAACTGGATAGTTACCGTATTCACAACGCTGGCGCCAAGTCCATACAGGATACCTTGGGTTAGAAGCAGATGCCAGACTTTAGTGGCAAACGCAGATGCGAGAACAGCTAAGCATGTGACAACTGATCCAACAATAAGAGCTAGTCGTCTGTGCGACTGATATCGCTGTAGAATGATGAACGACGGAGGCGATGTCAAATATAGAGTCCCCTAATAGTGAGAACCAAAAGTTAGGGACATGTTTGGCTAGGAGACTATTCCGACCTACCAACGCCGTGGTTCCAACTGCGGGTAATCCTTCAGGATGATCCGAGAATGGCGGATGAGTAGAATAGTAACTCTGAAAAACGCCATACGAGAAAGGGAACCCCCATGTCAACGCTATCATCAAGAAGCAACCAACCCAAAGGAAAAGCCAGGCATGTTTTCCACGATCTGGCGGGTAGGCATGAGCAGTGTTTGTGGGCTGGTCGTCCTCCAATTGACCAATCTCAATCAATTCCAGATTTGACTCGTCACCTAGCACACGTTGCTGGATATCCATAGCGCAAACTGTTTACGTCGTTGACGTTCCTTTGCGTCTTCAAGTGAATAATGTCCGTTAAAACATCTTATAAGAAACGTGTATACCAACGTCGGCTTTTCCGTGCGACCTAGCGTGGGGACCGGAAAACCCGAGCCCTAGACGTACCGAATAGTAAAGCGCTTGGCAGACGCCCTTCGTGAGAATCTGGGCCGCGATCGGAAATCTCCATAGAAGAATGTGTTTGGTTCGCTAATAAATTACCCTATTATCAATGACTCCTCTTAATTGGGGGATTTGAAACTAAGGGCAGCTGGTTTAGCGTGAAGGAATCAATGTTGCGAATAGCTGTCTCGAGAGGTTGAGAAATAGGATAGGTAAAAGGAGGATCTTGAAAACACAATAGCTAGTGGTCTTACTAGGTACATTAGATGAATCAATATAACCATCAGCAAATCCTTGCCATGATATTATGCCTGTACGTATAAGTTAGCAAAATGATCCCTTAAATAACCAGAGCTTCACCCCCCAAGCACATCCCAACACAAGATCACAAGCTCGGTCAAATCACACCAGAACCAACCCCAGACTCCAGAAAACAAAACAACAGCAAACCAAGCAAAGCATCAGAAAAATCATAAGTTCGGAATTGTACTCCGTACGGCCGGGACTGCGCCGACACAATGCAACCGAGTCCCCCACGCACACGCGCGAGGCCAAACTATCATACACTTGACACCCTCCCCTCCCCTCCAAAACGAGAGAAAAGCCCTCCTAAAACCATGAATGAACCCGTCGCAGGAGAGTAGAGAGCAAGTATTCCCGTCCAACCCCTCCTCATCCCCATCTGCCCCTCCATCCATAGAAACCCCTCCCGCGCACAAGCGCAAAACCTATTCATAATCGAAATCCGCCAAATACCGCATCAAGCGAACCCGTCCCTCGCGAACGCGGTCCATGTAATACGAGCGGGGTCCGTCGGGGATCTGTTGCGCGTGCGGGCAATCGTAGAGCAGTCTGCGGTCCCGAACCCGTAACAAGTACACGCGGGAGACCGGTGGTGGCGGCGGCGGTGGTGGTGCTCCGCCCTATAGAGCCGGCTGGGCCTCCTTTGCGAGCGCCGCGCTGACCTGTTGGGCCGTTGCGTTGTCGCCTGCTGTGAGAAGCTGTGATTGTATCTGTTAGCTATGATCGCATTCTTCTTTTCCCCCGTTTTAGGTTTGAGGTAGAGCAGGGGAGGGAATGGGGGAGAGGGAGGAGGAACATACGTCGCCGCCCATCTCGCGCATCTTCATCTCCTTCTCCATCTCGATCACCTGCTGCTCCTCGACCCAGGCGAGGGCCCACGGTACGCCGATGATCAGCGCGGAGGTGCCGAGGACCCAGAGGGTCTTGCCGCTGAAGGAGAGGACGCTGCCGATGGCGTCTGTGGTGGCTGTGATCTTGTTGGATATGGAGGTTCGGGTGTGGGGCGGGATGATGTCGCGGAGAGCATAAAGACGCTCAGTAAGCGATTCGTTCAGAGGGTCGTAGTCGGATTCATTGGAGATCTCGGAATCTGAATGGGTTATTGATTATTAGCTTCATGCATACGGGGTAAGTAAATAGGATAGGTCTTGCGACAATTATTCCACCCAAATATGCAGGTGGATGTGAAAAAAATTAGATATTTTCGACAAGCTTGTGACGTACCTGTGTCTGTGAAATCCTCGTCATTCTCCTCAGGACCGGGCTGACCCTCCTGGAAATGCTCATCGACGACCTCTGTGAGTTGGACCATCGTGTTAGGTAGTGAGAAGTGATCGATTTGTGGAAGAACGCCGTCGGGAGCTGGTTGCAATACCGGAGTGTTAGGTGGAACTTGAGTAGGCAATTCTTCAAAATCTTCTTGTGGATACGAATTGGAGTCCATCTGGGATCTATCTTTGACGAGTGCTTTGATTGGTCTGATTGTTGGGGAGTTTCTGCTTTATGCAAACGGTCGTTACGATTATTTTGGTGGTAATAGAGGGGGTGGAGTAGATAGAGGAGTAAGTATTGTGGAAGCTGGTAGGCTATGTTTTTGTGTGTAAGTTGAGCGGTAAAGTACTGGGAACGTTAACAATTTTTTTGGGCGGGACTGTACTTTTACGTGAATGATGTTCAATCAAGTGCACATGAAAATAATTATAAGACAAACGAAATCAAACTCTGACAATATACAATATAGTAATAGTACTATATAAGTCCAGGACAGTGATCTCAAGTATGCATAGGCCATTTTCTGATTTAGAGTCAACATAATACACAACTTTTTTTTTTACAAATACTATGTACAAGACAAACGATATCGTGACCATCTTCTCCTAATTTTGCTTATGACGTCATTTTCCCTAGCAACAGGTAGGTACATATTTATTTGTATTAACATCACAAAATATCTTCACATAACAGCTTCAAAGCAATCAATAGTAATAATACTGACCAAAAATATACGTACACATATACAAGTATATATACTACTAAAATTAAATCTTATCCTTATACCCCAAATATATAGGTAATAGGCATGTATATCCATATCCATATCATATCCAGATCCTCGTATGTACCCGTGGATGTCGTCGCGCCCGGAAACCCGCTACGCATATAGTGCCGGTCATACTAACACTAGCATAACATTACTTAACATTAGGGAAAGAGATCGTTTGCTCTCTAAGTACCTCATGCGTACGACTTCTACCGACTTCCCGCTGCCAATCATCCACTCTCGTTCTGAACCGTAAGGTACCATAGCTGTGTATCATATCTCTTATCATTCCTAGCAGGAAAAGGCAAATATAAAATAAGTAGAAAAAAATGCAAATCCTAATTCTCGCTCGTACAAACATGTGTACGTAAGGCATGTGCCAACCTAACCCTTATTCGGCGGGGAGTCCGCGAACCGGATCCCGCGCCTAGCGGGCGGTACTCTAGGGGTATCGTCGTCATCGCTGTCGCTGTCGTCGGCTGTGCCGCTATCCACGCCCAGCGCTGCCTCCCTTCTCCGTCTCTCCGCCGGCGTCTCCTCCGTGTCATTATCCTCACGAACGCTCGCAAAAGCAGCTAGTCTACGGCGTCTCTCCGCTGCCGTCTCCGGGGCGTCCAATGGTACTTGGTCCGAACCCACTGTTGCGCTACGTCCGCGGGCGGGCTCCGGGCGGGTGGGTGATTCGCTCCCGTCTCGCGAGCTAGTGCTAGCCTGAGTTACGCTGATATGGGGGTGGACCGGGGGTTGTTCGACGTTGGGTGCGCTCGTCCCGGGTTCTTCCGTTGCCATCGACTTGATCGCTGGGGGAGCTGAGGATTGGTCTACCACCTCGCGGCGAGTTCTGGCATCCAACTTCTGTACTTCGCTGAGGAAGTCGTCTTTGTTCAAGCGCCGTCCAGCACCACCAATCGTGAATCGAATACCTCGATCATCCTCTGACCTTCTTCCAGTGGGAGAGGTAGCGTCCCGTCTTCTCTGTTCAGCAGCACCTCCACGATTGAAACCAGGCCATCCGGCAGTTCTTGCCCTAGCTGGAGGCTTGGGCTCGCCAGCTTGCGCGGCAGATGATTCTCCGGCTTGAGTTGCAGATTTGTCAGATGGCTTAACGAGGCCACCCATTCCCATGTATTTCAAGCTCGTCGCGACATAGTCTTTGCCGTCGCTAGGTAAATCGTACTTTCGCACGACTTCTCCGTCGACATCTTCAACAATAATCTATACATACATGTTAGCGAATCTACTCTAAGGGTGGGTATAGTAGAGACTATGCTTACCGTATTGCCGAATTGATATGCTCTGGCTGGCTCGTGCTTCCGCTCAGTCTTTGTCTTCTCCTTGCGCTTTTGCGCTTCCTCGTCACGCCATTTTCCGATACTCTTTTTGAGGGAGTCATATGTCCAACCAGGCTTCTGGACCTCGGCTCTGGCCTTTTCCTTTACTTCATGTAAATCCTTGCTTTTATGTCCAGTTTCCTGGACTGCGAGAACCTGGCCTTCATGATCCTCAATCACAATGTGGTCGCCCTCGTCATACACCTCTAGTTCCTCATGTCGCTGTCGCCTACGTGGCCCCTCTTGACCTGCCTCGCGCTCTAGCTCATGCACTGCCTTAAGCTCTGCTTCTTGCTCTTTTCTAGCATCTAAGGTTTTCTCAATGTCTTTTTCGCTATCCTTCTCGGGGCTTTCGTCAGAGGGAGAGCTAGGGCTTTCCTGCCGTGGTGACAAAGGCGGTACGGAATCGGAAGGTGACATAGGCTCTGTTATCTCACTCGTACTCTTTCGCTGTGGAAAGATAGCGGACTGACTAACAGGTCCTCCAGGGCCAATGCCGTCATCCCACTTCTTTCTACTACGGCGTCGGCCAGATAGAGATGAGGCACGGCTTCCTGCCCTACTTGGGTTATCTTCTTCACGCTGGCGACGTAGAAATTGCCCAGGTAGCCCAACAGGCCCTAGAGTACCAGGAGGGAAGTCCGGTGATTTGATCTCTTCGAAATCAGTATCAGAATTAGTTCTTGCTTGAGATCGTGATAGTGATGAGATTCGCGGTAGTCGATTCATCCAGGTGTGTCCATCTTCTGGGGCGGTCGTGAAGGACATGGTGAGTTGAAGTGTGTTGATGCGCTTGCCCAGAGTAAACACGGCCACCGAAGAACCATGAACCAATATAGAGGCAACTACCATGAAGGTGACAATAGGCCAGACCAGGAGGATGACATTATAGAACTTAGTACCAGCCTCCGGAAGTTCGGCTTCCGGGATGCTATGCTCAGTCTCTAATTCGGCGCGAGCAAGCAAGGCAACGAATATCGCACCTACACCAATAGGGCCGAAATGTCCAGCGAACAGAGCTTCACGCCAGGTCTTGATATCAGGAATGAATGGCTTAAGTAGCATCATGATCGGGATTCGTCGAAACAAAATGACGAATATGGCCATCACAGTGAGCCTCCAAGCGGAAAGGCCAATGCTGTAATCATTGTATTGCTCCCAGGGAATGATGGTACCGAGGTAAACGAAGTAAGCCAAGTTGAGCAGTAAGTCGATAACGTTAGATACGTGCGACTCTTCGGTCTTCTCACTGAACCAACCATCGTTCGAAAACCCAACACCAGCGGCGAACCCAACCAACAAATCGTCCACACCTAGAATACTACCCGAACCAGCGCAGAAAAGAGCCAACGTAAAGTAAAAGACTAGAAAGCTCTCGCGATCGATCAAATCGTGCTTTTCAGCAAATTTGATGCCGTGTCTTGCGATATATCCGATCAGGAAGCCGTAGACGGCACCAAATATGCACTCGTAGAGGACGGTATAGACAAGCCAGTGGTATGTTGTCTGTTTAGCGTCAAGGTTTTCCTGAAGTAGATAGAGAGAGAGGTAGATAAAGGGGAAGGCCATGCCGTCGTTGCAGCCGGACTCGGCAGAGAGCACATCTCTCAAGTGCTTCGGCACTCGCTTCGCGAACTTTCCTTTACCTACGACCGAAGAAGCAAGGACAGGATCCGTGGCAGTCACGCAAGCGGCAACGACCAAGCTCTCGAGCCATGATAGAATCGGGAACAACCACCAGATGATCAGACTCGTAATCAGCCAACCAAAGGTCATGACAGGAATCAACAGGAACACGACGGACTTCCAATGCTTCTCCATATAATATTTTGGCAATTCTACTCCGACGGCAAAGCACTGAACAACCAGGACGATTCGCGAGAATTCGAGCGTGGTCTCGTCAACATTCCCCCATGAGTCGGGGTTGATTAGATTCGCAGCATGGGGACCAAAGATGACACCGCACAGAGTAGCAACAGTCGCTTCACCAATATACATGCGCTCCTTAATAACGGAAGAACAAAGCATAAAAAGCGAAGTGAAACCCCCCAAGATGATGTACACCAAGTGGGGTTTGGTGATCGAGAGGTGATCCCAAGCCATGGTTTATCGCCGAACCTCGTGGGGCAAACTCGGTTCGGGAGCCCGTGGAATGGGAAGAGAGAGAGGGACGGGACTAAAAGTCGCGCGACTCAAGGAGGTCGTTGATCGGATGAAGGCGCAAATACCGGATCCCTAGTAGAAAGCGAAGAGAGTCCAAGAGGCGAAGAAGAGTTCGAGAATCCCCGACTTATGGACACGGACCTGGGGAGGATATTCTGATCTAGATGCATTCAGGAAGACGATTGCATGCCAAGTAACTGGCAAACTAGCTATACAATGGGCTATGACGAGAAGAGAAGCCGAGATAGCCGCTAATTGCGAGATTCAAACGAAATCTCTTTAATACATTTGTTTACGCGTAGTAGGCGCTCATGAGGGGTGATGCGCCGTGTGGCATGAAGCATTAAGCAAATAGAATGTGCAGGTAAGATCAGATCAGTTTACCGTCTTGATGCCCAGCAAGGGATCACAGAAGAGACGGGGAAAGGAAATAAAAAAGCCAAAACGTGAGGATGAAAAAAATAAATATTGGTAAAAGAATAATCCGAAGATGGGGAGGGGGGTGCAACTCAAACGAGCAAGTTGCGGTACAAGTTGGAATTATAAGGAGACGAAGAAAGAAGTGGCAGCATTAAAGTTTTTGTACTTTCTAATAAAAAAACATTCATCATGAGTAACAGGCTCTAGCTGCCCACAAGCGATGATGAGATTTGGCAAGGATGTTAGCAGAGGCTAGTCCAGTTATAGTGGAGCTAGTGGGGGCTTGGGCAATAAAGTGCAGGGACCCATGCGACCCGGATGGGTCTCTTCTGCTTTTGACTCTGCTACTACTCAATGATAGGCTTGAAGACGGATTTGGGCGGTGTGTATCTTTCAAGTACCGCGGACTAGGTTCGACTCTTGCCGCTTTTCTATCTTGTTAGCACTCAAAATCTATCCATATCCCACACTTATCCTCGGCGCGGAGGGTGAGTACACAACCCGGCTTACCAACACGAACCAATGGCTTAACACAATTGAGGCTCAACCGAACAAAGGATTAGAGAAAAAACTTAGCGTCGAGCGGGTTAAGGCGGGGAGAAGTTCCAGATGAATCGCATTCATTCTCCAAGATTGCGGGGAGTGTTTCGTTGGATATTCTTTGTTTGCGTACGGATATAGAAGTTCCTTAATGTGTTACATGCATACCTCCCTAACATAAAAAGAGAAGAAGTCCGGCAAACTGAAATTTTGAGAAAATGAAAATGAACCGCCGGAATGTTGTCGGCACGGGTTGGCTTCTCCGATGTTGTGAAACTCCACATCATTCCACAACAAATGTTGACAAATAATACACACCTGCTTGATGAGTTAGGTGCCTACCAGGTGGTCAAAGTGGTGAAAATGGTCGAAAACTCGGAAGAGGGTATATGAGATTTCCTTCTGCTTTAAGCCGAGTTGCCGTCCACTCCCGGATGATAGGTATTGACATTGGCGGATCGGGTATCTTAAAGTGCCATCAACGTTCCGCGCGGGGTGCTGATGATGCTGAATAGTATACATACCTATATGTAAAACCCCAGGTGCGTCGCCGGATAGACATGTGACTGTAGTATTGGATATGATGAAATGTCAGAAAAATATATAGTAGATAGATCTTCTTCCGCAGATCACACCTACTATATTAAATTTTTCTGTTCCTTCAATTAAACGTACGATGAAGAAAACAAGATTTTCCCTATCTGATTGTCGAAGTGAAGACTTTTGATCAAGGCAAGTAAAGATAGACGGTGCTAAAATGGCAGAAAGCTAAAGCGGCATGACGCTAAACCAGAGTCGGACAAGCCCGCTTTTAGTCTAAGTACGTAGAAGGTACTTGTGTCTCAATCTCTCGTGGGATACGACGTCTGAAGACCCTTGTCTTAAGAATTGATTCTTCAATCAAAAGCTTCGAATGCTTTTTGATGTTTTCATCATATTTTGAAACTTTTTCCTATCATTACCTTAACCGTGATTGGATTTCCTCAGAAATGTCAAAAATTTCCTCACTTACCACAACGTCCGTGTCACCCATAAATCTTATTTCGAGAACAATCTTTTAATTTACTGTACTACATATTAGGTGCTGAGGTGCTAAAGTACTAGGCAAATAGGTACGCATCCATCTGTCAGTTTGTCGAGTTTTAGCTTAATGACTCGTAATAGTGGCGTAACAAATGTAACAAAAAAGCAGAAATGTCGTGGCGCAGTTCGACGGCCAGCTGCTGTCTGGCAGTCTGCCAGTATCCAATGTCCAACGTGACATTTTTAGTATTCTTGGCGGCTCTTACGGAAACTGGCGAGACCCCATCTATCCCAACCATCCCAACCATTGACTCCGTCTTCTCTCTCGCTTATAATGCCTAGTATGGTATTCAGCTATACGCCGTTCCGTATTATACCTATCATCCCTATCGAACGCCACCCTAACTGGACGTCTCATGCATGGAACGGACTCGGCATTCTCGGCATCAAGACTCAAGACATTGGCAAAAACATTGGCAAGCGACAATCTTCACCGTGGTCGCAATGTAGCTGCACAGCAAGCTTTGTTCAAGCTTCTTGTATGATGTCTGCCATTCTTGTACCCATAAACAAGCAATAGAGGCCAAGACACTACTACGTAATTACCTAGTAGGTAATTAAGATTCTTTATACTAATTACTACATAGTAATACTAGTTACCTATCACGAATCCACGATAGAATATTCTTCATAGCACCATCGGGTTCTCCATGGCCTTCACCGCTCTCCCGACCGGTTCCCCGGCTGCCGGAGTCCGGTTGGTCTCACCGGCGGCACGTGGGGGTTGTCAAACTCCCAGCCTTGGGCGTCCCACCACGCACGTTGGCGCTTTGGGACGCGCAGCACAACAGTAGTCTAGGTCACGAGGCTATTTGGACGTCTCATACGTCCGCTTGCGGCACGCAGATGCATGCCATTACATGGTTCTTGTAATCACCGGGTTCGCTGCTCGCTGTGGATTATGTAAATGCCCAAACAGAATCGCGACCGCGGTCTTGGTAAGACCGGTATGATATGATCCATGCAGATTCTCAACCAAATAAAAGTCCCTTTTTTGTTCTCCGCATGAATGAAAAATTTCCACATCTTTACGCGGTCCGCGCCACATAAGCCCAGCCCTGGTATCTTTTCATCACCCAATCAGGTACTTGATTCCGAACCTCATCACCTCTTATCGGAGATATCTCGAGCTACACAAAAAATCAACCTCGATGTACCTTGCTTACTCTCCGGGATCAATTAAAGTCGATCCTTGAATCATTGATGGCGGCTACGTGAAAGTACTTGGATACTTTGCTCGAATATCCCCGTTAAGCCCTTAACTCCATATTTTGAAATATCCCAACACGTGGATATAAACCAAGTATCCCTTTGACCGCCAGACATGGGTCAGTTTTTACCCCGCTGAATTTCATGGGTGTCTGGCCTATCAGAGAATGATTTAAGGTCGTATTGTTCTCAAAAGGGCAAAACGTTGCATAAAATGACTAGGGAGAAGCCAGATCTTGTCATTTAATTGGCTAATCGGCGGTATCCTTGCTTCGATTCGCCTTCTGGTAGGTCGGATACCCATGAGCTTTAGCGGGGTAAAAACTGACCCATGTCTGGCGGTCAAAGGGATAAGCCATGACCTTGTCGTCGGGCTGCAAGCAAACCCATCATAATATTGATATTAACATGGGTGCTATAATAAGAACATTCAGCCTTGAAATATGCAAGGGGTTTTTTATATTTATTGAAATTGATCTTGCGACCTAACACCTTATTTCATGGGTGAAGTCGAAAAATTTTCAAATATGACTTCTATATTTAACTTCCTGTTCTCCAATCATTACCGGCAGCGTTTCGATACGAGATGTGACGTGTACGTCAAAGCACACAAATGTCATTATTGACAGGAAATCGTAAAGCGCGTCAGTTGCGCCAAGTCACATGAAGCGTCGAGTATGTGGGTTAAATGAACCGGTCTCAGCCTTAAGATCTAGATGCCAAATGCAAGATGCGATCTTTCATGTCTCATCCACCTCGATGTAGGCAAGTCTCATATTTCAGCTCAATTTATCAGGGCAGTGTATTTTGTGTCATATGTATCAATTCCTTGCCTTGGCTAAAAGAGACAGAGATCCAATGATTGGTTGTAGAAACACACCGTATGTCACGCGGTATCAAGTAAGTTACGGCAGCAAGATGTTGAAGACTATTCGGAACGTAAGAATAATCCAAGCCAGCATGATTATAATCATACACATGTAATGTAGGTGCGCATAGATAGAATTTTCATATTCCAACCGATGGTTCATTTTACATATCCAGATGTGTATTTCCTCGTCGACCCAACAGCCAACCGCAAACCCAGTTGTTTCTTCCGGTTTCTTCGCAATATTCATCCAACACTAGTACAACCCCTAGAGAACAACCACATATATCTCCCCAGCCATCCCTCCCTCCCCCCCTCTTTCCCAATTCCACCAGAAGGCACTCATACCTCAGCCGCGACCCTCTCAACCGTAACACTAACGCCCTGCGCCTTCGCCGCAACCTCCTCGCCAAACTCCTCACGGCCGCCCGCAAACACCTGATCGAAATCATACTCGGTGAACCTAATATCCGGGTACAAGCCCGCGAACTTCCACACGCCGTCCACCTTTCGGTACCAATGCACATTCGTCGAATGCGCGTGTCCCTTCACAGCGACGGTCTTCCGGCTCGCGTCCGTGTACCGCTGATGCGGGACACGTAGCTGATGCGTCCCGACGACTTCGGTGTCTGAGATCTTCTCCCACTTCGTGCCGCCGATGAAGTGCTGCGTCGACAGCAGCGGGTCCCCGAGAACCGCTGGGCTCGATATCATTGTGATGAATTCTTCTGCTGGCATTGCTTCCCATACTTTATCTAGGAAGGAGCGGTAGTCGATCTAGTTTCGTGCGTGGTGTTAGCTTATTCAACCCTATGAGATTGGTTGGTTGGTTAGACATACGCGAAGAGTGGGCGCGATGCATTTTCGCAGCCTGCTCCAGTCCTTGCTGTCGTAGCTGTCAGCCCACTCGACCAAGCAGCTCTGCAGGCCGAGGTAGTCTAATCGCGATCAGTACGGATGCGCTGCAGATACGCAAAAAGTGGTGATATTCTTGGACATACCGTCGAAGCTGATATTTCCGGTAGTCATCGTGTAAGGCTTCGAATGCGAATCAGGCGAGTTTCAATTCAGAACCAGTAGTAGAGCTGGCTCGACCTGTCTCAACCTTAACCTTGGTGATTATTTATCTATGGTATTCCCGTAGATTGCCACCTCGAAACGGAGCTCCGACGTGTCCGTAGCTGAGACAGAAAAGTCCGTTTGGATTTCCAACGTCACCATTAAATATCATAGGCGATCATGTACGATCCTTCGGGACGGGGTGGTCTGGTTGGTAGTTTGGTAGTCCGTACATAAATGTACCGGAGTTCCCCACCCACGATATCGGAACTCAGGGGCTTGAGACAACCACCGTATAATACTTCCTCTTCGGTATTAATTAACTAACTCCCTACCAAGAGTGTAATGCCATTTTTAAAATCGCTTAGAAATTCTATTTAGCAAGAATTACAAGTTATTTGCCCAGGTAGAGTGTAGGACAAATATGTTCAGGAATACGCCATGTGAGATGACCGACAGTTAGCGTCGCAATGAGAAAGCCTGCCTGATATTTGGGGTTACACCAGCCAAAATCCCACAGGAAAATCGAATAGTGACTCGTTGAGTGGTCGATCCTTTTCCATTGATGATATGATGAGGGGGTGAGACGCCATGTCTCAAGTTTTTTGGGGAGTATCTTAGACCGATCGATAAAGCAAGTTCTTAGTACTCGACAGTACTGGGATTTTTCAACAAATGCGCACCTAGTTAGACGGAGCACATCTCAGACTAAAAAGCATTAGCATTTTCATCAACATCTCAGCCTCTTCAGCAGAAGACTTGCAGATTTTAGCCGATATTCGTTTACTCGGATATGAACCGATGCTAACCGCTTCATGGAACTTCTCAGTGTAGTTCATAGTTGTGGATATCTTCATAGGCACTGTGAGTTCCGGACTTCGCGACGTATTTTAAATAGTGCTTCGGCTATTGGTCCGATTGAAGTTCACCGGTGGTTCATTCTCATTGATATAGTGCGGGACCCAAGAGTTAAGCTGACCATATAAATGTAATGGTTCATGTGTGACGTTTCGCAAACTCTGATTGGATCTAATTTGATGCAAGGCAGTTGGTTTCAATTAATACTTTAATATTCAATAGGTGGGCGTAGAAAGAAACTAAGGGTATAATGTCTAAGGAGAGTACGCAGTAAGGGATATGTGCACTTATACAGGGAACCTACCTACATTGTAGGTAGTTAGAAACATAAAGCCTTACGGAAGAGCAGTTTTTCTCTCGTTCGTCATAGGATTCGTTGCAGAGGCGTCCTTTTCCTTATATGCCTCATTTCCAGCTGCATTGACAACCAATTTGCTAGCCCCTGATGCTCCCTTCTCGCTGGTACTACCCGGGCCGTGGCCTCTCTCGGCGGCATGGTCACCGGTAAGGTTCTTGGGTGGGACCTTCCTCTTGACTGTGAGCCACTCCATAGTAACAGCGCCCAGGATCGCGAGACAGGCCATGCAGAGAGCAACTACGAATACCACGCGTAGCGAATCATTATAACTTTGTAGCGCTGCTGCGCGGTACTGCGTGCTGATGCTATCGAGGAAGTCAGTAGCCCCCACGCTTTGAATAAGCTCGGAGCTGATGCCCGGAATGTCGGAGAGGCGGTTGGTCAGCTGAGCGTTGAGCACATTCTGTCCGACGGAGACGAAAACTGCGCCAAATAAGGTCTGCCTATATATAGAAAGATATAGGAATTAGAAAATGGACAGATGTCTTGGTTAGTCTTTGGAGATGGATTTAGGGGGTAGCTTACCCGAAAAACATCAGCGATGCACCAATGGCCACGTCTTGTTTCGGTAGCACGGTCTGAGCAGCCATGTTCGGGGCCTGAGAGGCTAGACCTAGACCAACACCATATAAGATCTGGTAACCGATCCATTCCCCCTCCGAGGCATAGACCCCGAGGGTAGTGAACAAGCCGGCCCCAATTGCAGAGAAGCAGACCCCGAATATCAAAGACGGTGTGTAGTAGCCGATATATGAGACCAATTGACCGTTTAGAATTGATGTCGCGGCAGTGAGCAACACCATGGGAAGAAGGTCTATGCCGCTTTTGACGGCCGATTGGCCCTGAATGGCCTGGAACCAGATGGGAAGATAGTACACTGTCATTTGGTTTTTGCAGTTAGCAAATGGTGTCTACTTGATATATATAAGGCACCTACGAATGATTGTCTGATGTGCACCGATACACATGCTTGCCCAAACGCCCGATGCGATGCTACGTTGAAGAAAGAGGCGCGGTGGTAGAATGGCTTGCTCGGGTAACAATATTTGGACCAAAATAAAGGCGATCAGAAGTAGGAAAGAGACGACAAATAAGGCGATAATCCGACCATTGTTCCACTGGATACCCAAGTTAGCCATATGTGTTCGGGATCGACGTGTACGAGGAGAGGCCTAATGGGAAACTCACCGAGTACGTGGTACCACCCCATTGTAACACAAGACAGAGACAGATAATTCCTGGAACTAGGCAAATGAACCCTAGCAAATTGGCCTGGTACAGCTTCTCTTTTGGAGAGATCTTGGTCCCTGGTTGATCGGGTACGTGGAGCAGAAGAAATACTAGAACCATGACCGCACCTCCGATGGGGACTAGTATGGGAGTGTCAGTCATATATCAGTCATAATACATCACGGGACATCTCAGAATGCGCTTACGGTTGATATAAAAGCACCATCTCCATGTGACGTTCGTGGTGAAGGCGCCTCCAACAGTAGGCCCAAGAAGTGAAGCGACACCGAACACGGCACCAAATACACCCTGATATTTAGGCCGCTTTTGCAACGGGACAGTATAAACAATGATGACCATCTGGAGTTAATTATTGTTAGCTGATTGATACGTTGAAAAACTGCGACGTTTATCTCGGGGAAGGGGAAGAGCCTACAACACCAGGAAGAACGCCTCCAGCTCCCAGACCTGCGATGACTCTACCAAATATGAATGCAATGGAATTTGGAGCTGCACCACAGAGGGCAGAGCCAACTTCGAAGAGTAGCAACGACGCCAAGAAAGTAGTCTTGACAGGGAGAAACTTATACAGCTTTCCGAACACTAGCTGGAACGAACAGTTGGTTAGCAGATACGCCGTACCGTACCAGCCAATATCATCCTTCGAGTTGAACGTGTCGGTGATCTGAGGGATGGCGGTCGAGATGATGAGTTTATCCTGTGGTTTGCTTGTTAGCTTTAACCCTCCTCAGTTGACAAGTAGGTATAGTTCGAATTCTAGTGGAAGGTTATCTTACTAGAGACACTAGGAACATTGCCAAAAACGCGGACAGCATTACCAACGCAAACTTGAGCCCCGATGGACTTGCAGGATTGCTGGCTTTGTCCTTCATGCCGCCCATCGCGCCTTTGCTCTGGTCTATCTGCCGCATGATTTCCCCTGTCCCGTCTTTGGAGGTCATATTGAGGATGAAGAATTGAGTCCAGTGTACGGAAAGACAACAGCTGAAATGAAGAGCAAAGGAACCTCAAGATATAAAAGTAAGGCAAGACCGCCATGGTCTCGTAATACATGAATCCCCCAGCGCCGACGTATCGGGTGTTGATTTGAAAAAATGAAGATACCGGCGCCGAAATTGATTCAAGGCCTCCGATTGGCAGAGATCTGACAGGCACCCCTATATAAGACCCTTGCCCATTGCTGTTCTGGGAAGATGAAATTGATGCATGTCGAATACTGAGCGCACCATAACCTGTTATCTCTGTAACTTGAAGCTGTTAGATATCCCCATGCTCATTTATCCCATAGATTTTACGTACCTATTGACTCTCTTCATTAGTTTGAGGTCTGTCAACCTCAGTGACCCTGGTTACGTATACCCAGGCTCTCATTGTATTATGATTTCATATTACATTTGCAAGGGTAGCATAGTTATGTAGTTGTCAGCTCGCTTCGCGGAGCAGGTCCTCTTGGGATATTTTATCCAGTCCATCGTCTCTTGGGATTGGATGGCTGGAAGTCGGATCACTCTGGATTATCAAACGCACTTTAAGAAGTATTCGGGGTCCTAAGAATACTTCTCGACGCATACTATCAGTAAGAACGTATGCGGAGTAAAGATGCGGCTGCGTGTGGCGTAGAATCGAGGCGTTACCTTCTAGAATCATGATCCAATGTCTTGGCATTTGAAAAGACCGAGCCGACCGAGCACCGAGGTCAATTGGAAGTTCAAACCTGTGCAGCTCGTGTAACACAGTACTATTACTTCTTCTTACATCGTCAAGATGTCGTTGTACATCGAGGCACTCCGCCAAGTCTTTCCTGGAAAGCCCACCTACACCGAAAAAGACATACCGGACTTGTCTGGGAAGGTATACGTCGTGACTGGCGCGAACACGGGAATCGGCAAAGAAGTTGCCCGGGTCTTGTTCTCTAAAAATGCGGCCGTTTGGGTAGCGGCGCGAAACGAGGAAAAGGGCCGGGATGCGATTCGATCTATCCGGGAAGCACATCCTTTGTCCACGGGAAGGCTAGAATTTCTACTCCTGGATTTGAGCGACCTATCAACCATCAAGAAATCGGCTGAGTCATTCCTAGCAAAAGAGACACAGCTGCATGTCTTGTATAATAATGCCGGGGTCATGATGCCTCCTCAGGGGAGCAAGACGGCTCAGGGATACGAATTGCAGCTAGGTACCAATTGCCTGGGACACTTCCTTTTCACCAAGCTTCTCACGCCGACGTTGGTCGCGACGGCAAAGGCATCTCCTAAGGGTAGCGTTCGCGTTATTTGGGTATCGTCAAGCGCAGCTGAACTTCTCTGTCCCGTGGGAGAAGGCATCGATATGGACAACCTCGACAACACGCACGACATATTCTACGCGTATAGATACGGCGTCAGCAAGGCCGGGAATGTGTATCAGTCGACCGAGTACGCTCGAAGGCACCGCGAGGACGGGATCGTCAGCCTTGTAAGTCGCTTGGAAATTAGACCCCATTTCCCCGTTGCGCATCGACCACGTTTTGGTCTGGGTAGACACCTGAGCTAAGCCTTGCTGGCGTCGGTGGAGATTTAAAAACAAAGGGGAGAGAACCCCTGGTAAGCCCAGAATGTTCTAACCTGATCTGCAGTCTTTGAACCCAGGCAACCTCGCCTCAGAACTTGATCGCTACTGCAATCCGATCGAAATGCTTTATCGGAAACTGACCGTGTATCCCGTTATCAATGGAGCATACACAGAATTGTTCGCCGGCCTCTCGAACGAGGTGACGCTCGACAGATCAGGCGATTGGAGTAAGTTTTTCTTTGTCTCATCGCGGGTACTTTAGGTATTGAGTGCTGACATGGTCCGTTATTAGTCGTTCCATGGGGACGGTTTGCCGATATTCGCAAGGATATTCTCCAAGGATCAAAACCCCAGTCGGAGGGCGGCACCGGTATTGCGCAGAAATTCTGGGACTGGAACGAGGAACAAGTAAAGGCTTATGTATGATTGAAGCCTACCTGGCCAGCCTGGCATAATTATTTTCATTTTTATTCGACGAGAAGAACGGGCAGCAGCATTGCATAGGAGAATATAGTATTCGGAACTCCACCGACCTTTGCGACACCTGCATACGCTGTAGCTGCGTAAGATTGACCAATCCGATGGAGTCGGGACGCTTGTCGCCGAGGGTTCTTTGTATGTTTGTAGTAAGGCAATTATCCTTGTCTTTTCATTCGCCCTACCGTCACCAATTACGAACCCTGGCTGATTCCAACCGGAAGGATTCCCTAGGTACATACCTAGTACCTACCTGAAGTCCCTTCCCTTTCATGCAGCTTACCGAGCCGGGTAGGAGGGTGCCTGAGACCGACAAGGACTTGACTAGGAGAAACATGTTGGCTAGGTAGTATTAGAAACACTTACGTATTTAGTATTGAACCCAAAATCTTATCATACAGGATTTCGCCTCCTTCTCTTCTTTTCCCTCTCCTTTTTTGTGTTGGTTTCAATGGCTGTCTACGTGGACAAGTCAAATATTCATGTTGCTGCAACTGTAAATGTTGTAAGTATTGACAAATCCAGAGCCTGCCTTCGTAGGATCTCCATCCTACTGAGAGACGAGAGAGACCCCTTCTAAGCATTTAGCCGACGTTGAATGCTACGCCAACATTACTATAGAAAACAGTTGTCGGATTGCAGGGCGCATACGAAGATAGGCACCTTCTCTATCCAACCAACGAAAGCCACGGAAGTGGTTGAAGGGTTTGTTCTGCATTCCTCGGCGAATCCGTGACGAAAAAGACCGACCCCTATAGAAGTGCCGACTCGCGCCGGCTCGCACAATTTCCAAGACATTTTTCTTCTTCTCATTCTTTCTACTACAGAACTCTTCCATTTCGTACGATTTGGGCGAATTGAGAGAAGCCATGAATTCGGATAAAGAGGGTTCGGTACGGGTCGCGGAGTCGCCTCAGTGTGATAACGAGACGGCGCCGATCGATCCACCTCCGGATGGTGGCCTTGGATGGCTTCAAGTTTTTGTTGGACAGTAGGTCAATATATCCACTTTAACCTACCTCACCTGGCGCCATCATTAAATGACTAAGCTAACAGTCACAAGTCTTGCCCTATTCAACACCTTTGGTTGGTTCAACAGCTATGGCATCTTCCAGGACTACTACACGGAGGAACTACAGCTACCTCTATCAGCCGTATCTTGGACCGGGAGTGTGCAGGTGTTCCTGTTAGCCTTAATTGGCATGTTCTCGGGCCGCCTATTCGACGCGGGTTACTTCCGGTCGCTAATTGCGATCGGCTCTGTGCTCCAGCTCTTGGCCATCTTCATGGCATCCTTAGCCACAGAATACTGGCAACTCCTCTTGGCGCAAGGGTTCTGCGGAGGGCTCGGAGCCGGCATCTTGTACTGTCCAATTATCGCGAATGTAGCCACTTATTTTCGCCGAAAGCGTGCCCTAGCAATTGGCATAACCACAAGTGGTGCTGCGACGGGTGGCACCATTTTTCCAATCATTGCTCAGCAGCTGCCAGGCAAAGTTGGATTCCCATGGACGATGCGAGTCATGGGGTTCGTCGTGATGTTCAACGCCACCGTGATGCTTCTCTTTGCTAGGACGAGGTTGTCACCTCGGTCTAGGGGCCCGCTTGTCGAATGGGCCGCATTCAGAGAACTGCCCTATACTTTTTACACAGCAGGCGCGTTTTGTCTTCTGATGGGTGTCTATTTAACGTACAATTATGTGAGTTCCGTTTACCCTTTGGTCCGCCACTAGCCGCGACCACCTACTAAGCGCTCTGGCTAACATTTTCAGATAAACACATATGGCAGAATAGTGATAGGCATGGATGCAGAGACTTCTCTGAATACGCTCTTCATCGCCAACGCCGTCGGTGTCCCAGGCCGAATCATTCCAGCACTTGTTTCCGACGCCTATTTCGGGCCGTTCCGGACATTAGTGCCGCTCTGCGTCGGTTCGAGCGTTTTGTACTTTGGCTGGATTGGTATCCGGGACCAAAGCTCGCTGTACGTATTCGCAGTTCTATCCGGTCTAGTCAACGGCGGTGTTCAGGCCATATCAATGGCGGGCCTGCCGTCCTTGACCAAGGATCTGAGCAAGGTTGGTGTTCGCAGCGGCATGATTATGACCATTGGATCCATCGGATGCTTATCTGGCCCGCCGATCGCTGGGGCGTTGGTAGATGCTGCAGATGGACGATTCATGTATATGCAAATATGGGCGGGTTGCATAATGTTATTGAGCGCATGCTTTGTGGCTGCTTCGTGGTTTGCCCGCACAAAGCAAGGTGGATGATGGAGCTTGCATTAACACTTCATTAATGCCGATCTCTAGTGTTCTAGACCACCAGCGTATGAAATATGTTCATTGAATTGACCTTATTCGTCAAGAGATTTCATATCTAAGATTCAGCAAAGAGCGTGCAAGATTTTCCAACGTCGTCGCCACGTGAAGCGACAATTCATAGCAGCAGCACAATGAGGCCTATAGTGGAGCTCGGAAGATACCGAGTACCACGCTGCCAAGGAAACTCATTGGACCCCAATGATGAACGCTTAAAAGGAAGGGGACACACATTGGATAATCCCTAACACATTAGAGTTGTGATACGAATGAGGACAACATTGGACAACATGCCAAAATATCTCCTATTCTGATCATACAGACAACTTACCTATACATTTCAGTGGGTAGTGGGTGTTAGCTGTGTAACGCAAGGGAAGGTTGTCAGACTCTCGAGATGGGCCAAAATCTACGCGATACGAATCAGAGGTAAAAATCAAGTAGCTATCTGTTATTTACCAGTAGAATAGGTAGAAATAATCAATATTTAATACCTATTACCGACCTGAGTGCTCATTTTTGATATGATACGCACGACTGCGTAATTAAATGTTATGTCCCTAGGTAGAAAAGGTCACTTTCAAGACTTTCATGAATCATTTTCTCTTTATAGAGGAAGGTCTTCACGCCTATAGACTTTGCTTGATTCTCCTTATCGACTCAAAAAGGGTTAATTGATTTGACTTGCGAGCATTGGTTCAAAGGAAACTACTTCCCATTAATTGCTTAGACAAGTAACAGAATCATTAACATTTCACTCCATCCAATCAACTAATTCAATTAGGAGACCCACATTCCTTTTCTGGTATTCCTGACGTAGTCTCCGACCCATTAGACGAGCCGTTTATGCTAATTTTAACTGTCACAAGAAAGTTATTTTCAAGACACTTTAATTATAGCAAGCCTTTTTCATTCATCTGCGGTTAAAGAAAAGCAAGTAGGTCCCGGGTCAGGGCATTACGCATGACGAGCCAGCCCTGAGCAGACCCGACAGATAGCGTAAAGTGCTGTACTATAGACCGCCTCCCTAAACGTCTTTGTCAAACCTCATAAACCGCATCCCTATCCCCAATCCGTTTCTAGTGATGAGAGCCTCATGTGTTCTAGATCACTGCGGCAATAGGCCCATGGAATGAATTATGAGGCCGGGACCGACGATAAACACCGTATAGATGAGAAATACTTGAAGCTCCATCTCGCATTCTTCAGCTGACATTCCACCTTCGCAGAAGGAGAAATCGAAGAGACCAAACACGATAAGTCCCGCGAGAACAAGACGACGGAGAATGATAGCCTTCTTGTGCTCAGATTGCGCGAGGGGAGAATCCTCAAGCTCGTCGGATTCCTTAGCCATCTCCTTCGGCTTGTCGGTGCCACTCTCCACCTGATCGTGTACCTTTTGGTACTTCTCATTGAGGTTGTCGATGCGATCACCCAAGGTGAGCAAGGCGGGAGTCAGGTCACGGATCAGCTGACTTGCTTCTCGGGATGCCTGGAAGGTAGTCGCGATGTCCTTGTTTCGGTCCGAGTTCTCCATAGAAGAGAGGCCCTCTTCGGCAGATGACGCCATCTCGAAAGTCAAAGAGTTATTTGCAGTCGGGGGACTGTAGGATCCTACGGTCGCAAGATCCTAAATTATATATTAGCAAAAGTAAATCCTGATAGACAGGAGAGGTGAATTTCGAAAGGCCAGACATTGTTCGTCTTTATCGGCAGGATCGTAGCAGATTTTTTTTTTTGCAACAAGCAGTCATAGAATCCCCAAGTGATGATCAAGTAGAAAAAGAGCCTGGGAGGAAAATGATAAAATCGTGGTATTGTTTTCACGTGGATGATGCTGCGTGAGACGCGTGGAATATTTCGACGAAAGGGATATAAAATGGATAATCTAGGAATAGAGAAAAAAATATGAATTATTGGACTCACTTGACGTTTCTGGTCGTCTCCAGCCAAATTCTTAGGTGCCATTGTTAAGAACGTTGATCGATACAATTGCTTGGGAAGACCTGTGCTAGGTAGGTGATGTTAGCTAACATGTAGCAATAAATGAAATTTCGTTGAGCGAAAAAGGCATTCGGTAGTAATATTGAATATATATATCAAATATAGTATAACTAGAATATACCTTTTAAGATTGAGTCGATTTGTTAATGAGTTGAGTTCGCGATCTGATTTTTCGTGGTAGGGTGAGGAGACGCGATTGTGAAGTTCGTGAAGAAAAAAAAATATGGGAAAGAAAGAAAGAAATGTTGTGGTAGAGGTGGGATTAAATAGAAAAGTTGAATCAGATGAGGCCTCGTCAATAAAGTTTGTTTGCTGGGAACGCGCAAGTATCTGTGGAAGTAGAATGGTAGGTGACGAGAATGGTGGGTTGACGACTCGTCTCACGGGCAACTTCGACCATGGCAACGCACACAAGTCGCAGCTATCAGGGCATTTACACTCCCTAAGTAACTAGGTATTTGTTGGAGACAGAAATACATTCTATTCGAATTGAAAATGTATATTTTTTACTTATACCTAGGTACCTAGCTGAAGATGTCAACACATAAAACATTTATAACAGGTGTAAAACATGTACCTTTTGCTATTAATACTCTTTTTATTGAATCTCATGATAATATAGAGCCCACCAATGCCTACTTACATAGGTAAATCAAAACTCATTTCTACACACTGTTCTACCTTCGTCTTTAAAAAAAAAGTTACCTAGGTGCTTTCTAAGATTCTATCATTATGGGTTAGGGACATCTTCTGCTTTTCTACCTGGAACTTTCTTATAATATAATGGCCTATATATATCAAATGAATAGTCAGTCATTTAAAATGATTACAGCCAATGGTTTTATAGATCTAACATGTTACAAACATGTACTGCTATAACTGGCACTCCTTGGTCGCCACTAAGACACGATGGGGGGGAAATATGGACTGATAATTAGGTACCTTAGTGACTGGTAGTGGAGTACTATCTCCATGGTAGCATATTGCCGTTCCTTCTCTATCTGCTTGGATGTATATATTTGACGTTATTTACACCGTTGTCCACCTGTCAATGTCGTCAATATCCTCGTTGACTACCTAGTACCCAATTAGTAGCACAATAATAAAGTACCCACTATAATAACTACAGGGGGTTTTGCGATTTAACGCGCTATAATTCAGCCCTATTAATGATCTATTAGCGCGCCTCATTACTAAAACCTCCTATATATATCACCTTTTTTAAGAATCCATATGCTATAAATACCCAGAAGCGAGTCAAAATAAGCACCTTAAAAGTTCTTGTGAGATATTAATAGGTATACGTCATTTAACGAATTTAATTGGTTAACGAATTCATGGTGGGAATAACTTTGGAAGTCTGCTAGCACTAACTGCAAACACCACCTGGACAGGATGCTAAAAACCCACTATAAATTCCTAAGTTTTAGTTGACTTATTCCCCGAAGCAGGACCTATGTTCCAAAGCAACTTCCCTTTAACAATGCACCAATTTTCAGTAGACCGTGAAATGGGTTGACTTCGACCAGCCAGGTTTAGATATTTGCTATTCTTGTCATTATACTCAATTATATCAGGGAATTCTATAGATATACCTTCCTTACCTAGACTCTGAAGACATACTTGATGTCGCATGCATCAGTGATGCGCATTAGTATGCGGTATGAAATAAATCATGATCCCTTCAGCACATTTCCATCTTCACATCACGAGCAAGAGATCAATTGTCATAGAAGAATATCTTATGATATTAGGTAGTCAACGTACCTAAACAGGCACCTATACTTAGCGAAGTCCGCTTAGTTATTCATACACCGAACCCCAGGTGGGTTAACTAGGAATATTCAAACAATTTTTGTAGAATACACCCGCCGCGACAGCGCGAAGCTGTTGTCCAGCTGTAAGTAGCACCATCCATGTTAGAACGCCAGAGCATGCTTTGCTGGCAACCAGATAGCCCATCCCATCCCATTCCAAACGCCAGAAACCGAAGGAGTTGTTTTTCCCAATCCGAACACCCGTGATAATCAATAATTCCATCCCTATTTTTTTCTTCAATTGCTTCCAATGCGGGGGTTTGAGGATGTCTTGTTGAGACGATGCCGTCTCGTCGGTCGGCCGGACCATATTCCCGTTCCCAGCGAGCGCCGCTAGCTAAGACGTCGGTAATCCGCCTATATAGATGTGGCGGGCTGGACGAGGTGAAGGTGAGGTCCGGTAAGTGTGTGTGCATATGCGATCTCTTCCCCGCCGCATTTCAGGACCAGCTGAAAGCGGAAATCCCGTTCACTTCAGATGGGGCGCCGACATTCTTCTGCGGAGGAACATGGGGAATTCGAAGCCGTCTTCGAAGCTCAGGGCGTTCCTTCGGTGGTGTGCAGGTAGGTGGTACATGTCGTACGCGGTATCGTCTTCGTCCAATGCGGACTCGCAGTCGCTGAGGGCTGGACTGCCGGGCTCTAGTAACGAGAATAGGGGTAGTTCTGGTAGAGCTCCACTTGAGCTGGTCTTCTTGCTTGGCGCTGGGATGGTGATAGGTTGGGTTTTGGAAGCACGGACGTGAGAGGTTGTTTGTGCCATTATGATTGAATAAGAATTGTCTTTGGTATAATTGATGATTGTTTGTAGTTGGTAGTTGTTCAATAGTATCGTTGGAGGCTTGTGCTTATTGTTGTACTGTTGCAGTAATCTGGTTGATAGGAGATAGGATGCATGAACTGGTGGTTGAGGGATGGAATATATACCCAGATACATCACAAAGAATCATCTGAGGGAAATTAGTGATCAAATTATGTTACTATAAACCACCGAGCCATTCTCGTCTCATCGGATAAACGTAAAAGGTTTCAGAGTCATTTCGCAATGCACTCAGATGCTTTCTAAGAGCATAATTGAAAAAACGAGCTCAAATGGCATGTTGTTTTCGGGTGTATGTGTTGAGCATCGTACGATTCGGGATCGCCCGGTCGTCGATGGCGGCGCGGAAGACCAGTGCGAATAATAATACGATATTTAATTGAACTTTACACTGCAGACTTCCAGATCGTTCCCCACAGTCGAGGGATTCCCCGAGAATTTCACAATCCCACTTTTAAATGGCCAAATGGCTGACGCATATGCCAAACTTTTGAACCCGGTGGACAATTTTCTTCACTTCACGAGTTGATCCGATGACTGATACATATATCCCGGAATTCTAAACTGCTTCGTTGCCACTGATCAAAGTCGGGAATTCGGAAAGACTCATTGAGGTCATAACAAAGCCAAGACCACAGGATCAATTGGTATACTTACCTAGTTCCTATCTACTAGGTAGATACTTGACAGCTCGAGTTCATATGGTTCTGGAAAGATGTGGGACTATCCTCGGGAAGACAGATTCAAGATGTCGTTTCACTATCTAGATCTAAGAGATCGAACCATTCCACGCGGAAACAACGAATTGACCAATCGCGGAACCGGGAAGCTTCATTTACCCCAGGTAACTAGAGTGAATAGAGTGAATAGAGTTATGCACCTGACGGGAGATCGATATAAAAACGTCTTGGCGTATGATTTTTCGATCATGAAATAGATGAGATAGATGAAAACAAGGCATGTATCGTGTAACTATCATCAGAGTCGAAGAGGTCCGTGCAGTCGAGACCCACCCGATCGTGCTTTCTTCATGCGGGGAATTCCGGGAGGAAGTCCGGCTTTCGATCGTATCTTAAGATCCAGTTGTCGTAAGAACAAGACTAGAAAATAAAAAAGGTTTATGTAGGTAATAATAATTATTGAGTAGTTCGAGTGGGTGATTGAATATTTTGGGTTTGGCCATATTTTATATATGTACCTTCACTCACCTGCTACTTAAAACTTAACAACACTTCATGAAAGCTGTCAGTAAACCCTCGAATAAGCATAAGTAGTATTAGGAGATGTGGGGTTGGCAATAGAAGTTGGAAAATTGCATACAATTTTGCTCGACCCTAATTCTTTTTTTTCTTTCGCGAAAGTAAGTAATTGTAGGGATGTCTTCAATGTGGAGGTTATCGAGGCTATATAGGGACACCTGCGACACTTATCATGATAATATTATCGCGAATGGAGACCTTGTCCGGCGTCCGCGGAACGGCACGTGTGGGTGTCCCGTCACAAGCCTCGGAATTATTGACATTAAATTGTCCGACATACCTAGAAATGACTCGGTTTTAGGGGTCTTCCCGGGAATATAGATTATTTCCGATAATCCCATCAACGTCCTCCAACATAATATCAAATGCGGTATCATGAATTACGATTACGAGATCTACAGTCACGGCAGCAAGGTTCTGTCAAGCTAGACGCCAGCTGGTCTACCGCATAGCCGCAATGCCGACACTGTTCAATTGGCATCCATGGATGCCTTTGCGTGGTATTGCAGCGACCTGCCAGCTGCGTGCCAGATTCCACACGATTACGTATGCAGTATAAGCTAGTGTAATACATGTTCGTGTATCACGGCAACATGTTGGGAGGAGACATTTGGCATCTTCGGTATCTTCGATATCGGAATTAAGAAAAAGTGTGTATATATACAGGAATATATTTCGATCTATGCTGGTATCATTCCCAGTTCCAAGTCAGTCCTCATCGTGCTTCCTCGAAATCGTTGATATTCACCTAAGAAAACTACCCCTTTATATTGAATAAGAAGTCTAGATACATCCAACATCAAAATGACGGCCACAACACATAACTTCGATCAGAGCACCGACGCTTTGGAAGTCGCCAAGGCCTTTGCCGAAAGGGTGCATGGGAAGACCATAATCGTTACAGGCGTAAATCTGAAAGTAAGTTAGAAAGATTATCAGGGGAAGCCATATTAAACTAACATGTCTAAAGGGTATCGGATTTACGACTGCGCAAGCATTTGCCTCTCAGTCCCCGGCCCATCTTATCCTTGCCGGCCGCAATCCCGCCAAGATTGAAGAGGCTATCAGCGCGCTTAAGTCAGAATTTCCCGATGTTGACTACCGCTCCATTAAACTCGATCTCTCTACACAGAGAACTGTCCGGGCTGCAGCAGCCGAGCTTCTCTCTTGGTCAGACGTACCTACCGTCGACATCGTTGTCAACAGCGCCGCCGTGATGAATTTACCCGAGCGAATCATCAACGAAGATGGACTCGAGATGCAATTTGCCACCAACTACATCGGGCACTTCTTATTTTCTTGCCTGATCATGCCGAAACTCATCAAGGCCGCTCAGAACAACCCGAAAGGAGCTACGCGTATCGTAAACGTAGTTTCCCTGAGCCCTACTATGGCTCAAATGCGGTGGTCGGATCTCAACCAACTGAAGATAAATAAAGATCTGCCCGAGGCCGAACAGCCCAATTACACGACACACCGAGCTTGGGGAGAGACCAACCCAGAGGAGAAGTCGTACCTACCCCTCGAAGGCTACAACCAGAGCAAGGTGGCTCTGCTGCTGTTCAGCATCGCGCTAAGCAAGAGACTCTACGAAAAATACGGAATCTTGAGTGTGGCACCGCGTACGTAGCATCAAACGTTTTCTTGACCCCTATTTTACCCCACTAACCCCGCCCCCTGGAAAAGAAAACCATTGACACCTATCGTTTAGACCCAGGCATCATCGACACTGAACTCTCCAGGGATGCACCGGAATACGTGATGGAAGCAATAAAGGGCATGATGGAGAAGCGCGTCTTCACAGCCAAGACACTCGGCCAGGGTTCAGCGACAAGCCTCGTCAGCGCTTTAGACCCCAAGCTAGGGTTACCCGAAGAAAAGGATGGAAAGGAGAACTACGGGGCATTCCTGCTCGACTGTCAGATCTCCAACCTTCCACTTCCGTCTACGCTGTCAAGCGAAGGAGCTGAAAGGCTGTGGACCATGTCCGAGGAATTGGTCAAGGAGAAATTCTCTTGGTGAAGGAAAAATGATCATGGAAGCATGCTGGCGATGTAAGATATTGATTTTCGCATTATGATCCCCAGATGTTAAGTCTAAATCGCCATGTTTAGCCCGGGCGCCCCCCTAGGTAGTAAATAGTTTGAAAAGTTGTTGCGCGGGCGCCGCTTTTGTTACTGGTCCTTATATACAAATGAAGCCGTACGAGATAAGGCTATCGAAAATTCTTAGAGCGAGGGTGATGTAGATGTTTCAATGCGTGCCCTTTCTTGTCGTTCTTTTCGGACACTAAATCTTCTAGCCTCTTCAAATGAAAACGAGTTATGAGGTACTTGTATTCGTACTAAGAACTTGGTAGTTACAAAGAGATAGATTGTATTCACCTACGATCGAAGAGATCCCAGTCCATATCTATCACCCATACTTGGCCAAACCGGCCACCAATAGCAACCATCGATCCTACTATAGCTGATGATGCATATAAATGCGGTAACAAAATCGACTCTTTTCCATTTTTCATAATCCATCTACCGTCCGCGCTTATGCTGCAACGGGAGCCAGAATCCTCTGGCGGAACGGTCTTAACTTCCTGCTTGCTAATCTCTGAAAACGGATCCAGATATATGACTTCGGTATCGTTATAGAGACAAGAGTTATTCGTTGGATCGAATGAAAGGCGATTTAACAAGAAATCAACGATGTGTGTATATAGGCAGTCGCCTGTTTTTGCATCCCAGACATTGACCCTCCTCGACGAATCACCTGACGCGAGCCGCTGGCTATCTGCTGAGAATACTAACGACATTACATCAGCGTTACCTAGCGGGTGACTCCACAGGCGTACACCTGTTGCCGTATCCCAAACCTCAACAATACCAAGTGAACCTGACGCGAGCTGCTTGTCGTCGGCTGAGAAGGCTAGTTGCGTAGCCCAGCTGCTTTCGCTTTTAAGCAGCTGTAGGGTTTCGCCGAATATCGTATCCCAGATCTTGATGGTCCCCTCCAACGAGCCCGACGCGAGCCACCCACCATTGGCCCCGAAAGCCAATGATTCTACCCGGTCGTCATGGGCAGTTTCTTTACTCAGTCTCAACCTGATCTCGTTACGCTTCTCCTCAAAGAATGGCCCTCTGTCTAGGCTATCGATGGGGCTAAACATTCCTGCTAACGCATACATTTGTAATGGAGTACTTTCTATAATTAGTTTGTAAGAAACAATAAACTCGTGTGCGGTCTTGAGTAGTTCCTCTAGTTGTCGCGCTCCATTGCTTTTCTGCAGCTATGTCAGGTTGTCCCAATGCTTATATAAATAGGTACTCATAATAGCTTACCGCCAACTCCCAAAGTCTATGTATTGTATTGACTGCCTTCGGCATCTCGCCTATTAGAATAAGACATTCTAGCCAATACAAATATGTTTTCTGGATGAATGTATGGACTGGGCCACCATCTAGTAAATATTTCATTATCTCGATAGGATACGAGTTGATAAGGTGATCAAAGATGTAGACGCAGGAATATCTCATTGAATTCAACGGGTCGGGGTCAGGCGATAAGACCCCATTTATGAGGATCCTCGGACCGCTTAGACCGTAAATGTTACGTCTAAGATGAAGTGATAAGTGCTGCTTTAAAAGAAAGAAGAAATTGAGGTGGTGTTGCTCTGAGTTAGGATAAATAATGGAAGCATTCGAAAGTAAGATCTCTTTGGTTATTCCATTGGGAATCTGGATATGATGGTCTTTGATAGTTAAGAGAGAGCTACACAAGGTTATAATTCTTGTGACATCGTCTTCGGGATTCCCAATATTGGGATATAGTAGGGAAAGGGATTGTAATTCCTCGAGGTGAATGGGAGCATAAACCATGTCAACCATATACAGAACGTGCCGGCAAAACCTGCGATCATTCTTGTTGAGATTATGGATCATTTGCTCGTATAGCCCTCTCAAATCGGTATTTTTCTTACCAATAATCTCTGCTATATCCCCATTGTCTATGTTTTGAAGCTTTTCATAGACTATAACTACCCATATGAAATTACCGCTGGAGTAAGAATTCAAATAGCGTTGAACTTCGTCCTTTGTCTCGCTGTCATAGTGCTTCTGTTCCGCCAACAATTCTACTTTATGTTGGATAAACGCACGTATGGCGGTGGAGTTCGACTCCCGATTCAACTCGAGATGAAGCACGGCAGGCTGCTTTACATTATCTATTAGGTCATGGCTGGATACAACCCATTTGATATGAGGTGGAGAGTTGGTAATTAAATCGAGAAGTCCCGCTCGATTGGTTGTACACTTGTCGATATTATCAATAATTAGAAATGCGCTGCCCAATCTTGGATCATTGAACATGGCTTTGAGGATCTCGGACGTAGTATCCCATGCCATCGCTTCTTCGAAGGGAGGCAATCCGCCAAGGTCGAATATTTGCCGGACTTGGGAAATAAGCGGCGGCTGTCTGATGATCAGCAGATAGATCAGACCGCGAAGCACGGCTGTTGCGTTATTCCATTCCGAATTGGTAGCTGTGCAGAAGAAATAGGCTACATGGTCGTCTAGCTCTGTCTCTAGATCGTAAACGATGCTGCATAGAAGCATTGTCTTGCCTGTGCCAGGTCCACCCGTGATCCAGAGTGGTCGGCCTTGCGGATCTTGCTGCCATTGCTGGAAATCGGGATCACGGTGAATCCAGTTATTGATATCGGGTAATAGGCCGCCTCTTATATGCTCGACGTAACTCTTGTCTCTGCGGGGGTCAGTGAAGCCTAGGGATCGTAGGAATTGCTTGTCTTTATCTCCCTCCATGGTGTTGTCATCATCGCCAGTGTATGGCACATCTATAATTAAGGGTGAAGAGTCCAATATAGACTTTGCTGCGAAGGCTTCAAGAGTTAGATCTACTCCCTCGCCGCCCATATTTCTATCCAGGATGTATTGCCATCGTTGAGTGATGTTTGAGATCGCTTGCGTGTCAACCATCTCCCAAACATCAAGCCCAGAGTCCATGGGCCAGTCAGAGCCAGAATTCTTATTACTTTCCTTACAGTCGCAAGAATTATTCTCACACTGCAGCTCATAGATTTCTCCGACTCCATCGAGGTCACGTTCGCTATCGCCATCTCTTTGGGCATCTGACTTTGTATCGTCGAGGCCGTCGCCCGGTTCTCCCATTTCCACTGGGGCTAGAATTAGAGCTGTGGAAACGAGATGGTCTCTAACATGTTTCTCTAGAACCTCGCGGGCTTGTTTGCTGTCCCTATCCGGATACGTTTTCTCGATCTCTTCGGGGAATCCACCGCAGAATGGGCACTCCCGTAAGGGATGTTGATCACGGACCAGGCTATGCTTTACAAGAGTAGGTCGAAGAGATTCCGTAACCTCTTCTCTGTGGTGCTTTACTAAATGGCTTTCCAACTCTGCCGCAGTCGAGAACGGACTAGAAGAAGTCTTGCAATGCCAGCAGTGCCACTCGGGTTGGGTGTGTGTGTCGCGCATGTGGGCAAGCCAGCCAGTATACGTATCCGTACAAGTGAATGGCGAAGTACAGTTGTCGAATACGCAGAAAAATGGCTCAAAGTCATGTATGAGATGGCTCCTGGTTTAATCGAATTATTAGCTCAACGCCGAGAAAGAGATGCCGCGGTAAACTCACATCCATTGACTCTGTCCACTGGCTTCCTTCGCTGGGCAGACGAGGAAACAGTACGGACAAGTAAATGAGGCACGCCCAGGGTCTAGCTTTGGTATTGAAGGAAACTTGCCAGTAGAGATCTTGACAGACGAAACAGACTCTGTGCGCTTTAACTTGTTCTGGGCGGGATTGAGTCCCTTTGGGTCGAGCTTAGTGACTACCGTGGTTGACAATACTACGCTTGGCTGCGGCCGTACTCTCAACCCCAAATCGGCCACCCGTTGCTGTGCAAGTTCGATCATTGGTAGCGCGCTTTCTTCCTCTTTCCCTATGGCCTCGTCCTGTCGTAACTCTGGAGCTGGCTCATTTAGCGTCGATGTCTTCTTTTGGTGTTGCTCGAGATACGAGAACCGCATTCGACGTGTCGCAATTGATTCTGCCATACGTTCTCGTAAGACTTTGCTCGCTTTTGGAAACATATGATCAACTTTTTGATGTGCGCATCTCTCAATCAACTGGTACACTTGTTTATTCCGATCTATGTTTTTGAACCGTTGGATTCGTTCTTGGCGATGTTGGGTCCCTGCTTGGCGTACAGACAATGCTAATTGCCGAAGACTGGTGGTTGTATTTTGGATCGATGTCCAGATGGTGGATCGAGGCGGAGAAGCTTCCAGGTCTTTGAATACCTGAGGTTGCCTATATGAGGAAATAGACGAGCGATCCGAAGAGTCATCAGACTCACTAGCTGAAGAGATCTCTTCTTTGCTATCTAATTGAAGCATAACCTTTTCTATATAAACTTGATTAGAAGCGAATCGATTTTAGTGTGGGTAATTGGAAACCAGCTACCAAGATCACGCTTCAGAGCCACAAGTAGTTGTTGAACTAGCTCGCTAATTTCAGGCGCACTCTTCAGCCGAGAGGTAAGTGACTGTCGACCTTCACGGAACACACCCATATTCGCTGCCCAGATGTTGAAGCTCGCCATCAAGTCTATTGCTTCGGGCCCCGCCGTGGCCGGTAGCTGGTGGAGAAGTGCTCGGCATTGAATCGACAACTCTCGGAGGTCTGACAACGTCTTATCTGATGTGTGATCAATAATCGGTTCTTCATCGTTTCCTTCCATTTGTGATGTTTGAGAATATTAAAGAGCTAGGTGTATGCTCCTTCGTCAGATCAGGCTCGGCCACGACCTCAAAGAGCAAGGAATCCCCGCAATTCAGCCGCAAATACTACCCTCCCCTCTCTTAGGACCAATAGGATCTGTATTATACGCCTGACTAAGCAGTTGCTGCGCACCATTCCATCGCACAATCTCAAGCTGAGGCTGCCGAAGGAAATTTCATCAATCTAATACTCAACAGCGACAACATGAACCTACTGTCAGCTTTCAGGTTTCAAGCCGCTCCGGCTTATGATACGGAAGATTTATACGATCTACTCGTTGCCGTCCTCCCCACTTTTGCCGCCTTAGCGGACAATGTGTTAAAACAGCTGGAGGCCTCCAATAGTGATTTAACGACGCAAACCTTTCATCTTCATTTCAAGGCGAAGATGGTCAATCTGTATGCCGTTCTTTTCACTTGGGACCCTACCGAACATGTGCAAAGGCTTTCCGCAGACGAAGACGAAGTTCGAAACAACCTTTTGGGGGTCTTGAGTGAGCTCGAATCTCGCTTCTTATCTTGGAAGAGTAACGATATTGGATTAGCATGCAAACGAATGGGCCTTGAACGTAAAAAAGAAGACGAGACTTACCTAAAACTCCGCGCTCTTAGGAGGATCTTACCCGAAGATTGTAACCCCGATGAAAAGCTTGTGGGCACTCTAACTACCATCATTCGGATCGACAACAAGCGCGCCGATAAGCGAGAGCGGCTATTGCAAACTCTTGACCGAGCGTTCGGCTTCTTCTTTAGCTTGCAACCATTCGGAACAGAATCCGACTCATCATGCCCGATAAGATTCTCGGATTATCCGTGGAAGCATCTGTGGAAACTGACCAAGACGCTCTTTAACGTAGTAGAGAAGAACTGGTCTTGTCAATGTTCAATTAGCCCATACCATGCTGATCGCAAAGCACGATTAAATTTAACCCATTATCAACGGTTTGAGACAGCCCCGACTCCGGGACAGGTCCTCTCCAATAGTAAAGCCCTTTTTCGAGTATTATTCCCAACCGCTAACTCACGCGACACCGAGTGGCAGGACACGGAAATCTCTGTCAAGAACCGAGAGTAAGTTTGTTAAACTTAGATTGTGGAAGAAAGCAAGAGCTCTGTCTATTCCAACGGAATATTTCTTCAACAATACGGCATCTTATCCCCTCTTAGATTTTCTGCAGTTTTAGGCTACTAACTAGGAACCTAGTTCTGAACGTGCCGAGCATATTGAAGTCGAAAATGGCCTCTGCAGGGTTATCCAGGGTGTAAAGGCAGGGATTCGGCCGAGGATGGTCGTTTTTTCAGAGAGGCTGTGGCAGCTAAATGCTGATGTTGAGATTAATCAGTTATCCTCTCCCCAGGTACGGGATAGTGAGTTTAAGTCCTTGAAGGACCTCCTTCAGCCGAGCCGAGATAGTCGTGAGTCCTTGCTCTCATCTATCGAAGGAAAAGACCGTCTTATCCTTTCGTTCGTGCTAGCGACATCCCTCGTGCATTTCATTAGAGGGCCGTGGTTGCAGGCAAGTCTTAACAGCGAGAATATCTGCTTCTTAGTGTCTCACTCGCGATTATTGCCTGATATTACCAAGCCTTATTTAACGACGAGATGTTCTTCTCTATCACCAAGGAAGTCACCACGGGAGCTCAACCAGCCGCATCGGTTCCCAGACATCCTTTCCTTAGGCGTCATCCTCCTCGAAATAGCACGGGGATCCCCCATTGAATTCAGAGAACCCCAAGACCACTGCGTCGTTGCCCTTGAGTGCATGGACAAATGGACTAGAATCTGCCAAACGGGTCGGTCGAGAACTGTTCCCGACGGGCTCCTCCGGGCGATTTCAGCCTGCATAGACCCAAAAGAATTTAGGGATAACGGCCTTGACAAGGCCGTCGTCAAAGACTTTGAGGTTAGGAAGTACATATTTGAAAGAATTCTATACCCCTTAGAAGATGCACTTTGTACCGCCTACGAGATTCAGTTGAATATGCTGCACAAGGACATCGCCCGGGTAAAGCAATCAAGAGGAGTTGGATCGTTTGACCACCGGGAAGAGAATCGACCGGAAAAGTATGACTTAACCTATACCCAAGTGTTCAGCCCGCTAATACTAAGCACTTTTCTAGGCGTGAGGCGGCCGAGGAATGGCTCGAATACTTGGAAGGTGTGCATGACCTGTTCGACAAGTGCCAGGATCAATGTGGAAACCTACCGAGGGCAACCCAAAAGGCGACGCGTGTCAAAATTGCCCTACTGGATACGGGTCTCCAGCTCCCAGGAGCCCTTCAGGAAAACTATGAAGAAGAGGAGAGGATCAACGTCCAACAGTCCAAGACATTTGTCCCTCCTGCGAAAAGAGGGGCTGTCCATGATTGGAGGATTGATAATGACGGCCATGGCTCTCGCGTGGGCCAGATCATCCTCGAATTTGCCCCGGGAGCTGATTTGCATGTTGCAAAGGTTTTCCAGACCAGGGATGACTTAGCGGACCCCGAAATAGCTTCTCAGGTTCATAATCGTATTGTTGAGGTGAGCATCCCAAAGAAGCCCACGTGAATTGGTCGCTGATTAGTCTAGGCTATCGAGTACGCAACTACCGAATGGAAAGTCGACATGATCGTGATGTGCTTTGGATTCGACGAGCCAATACGCGCAATCCGTAACGCTATAGATAAGGCTGCCAGTGCTAGCAAGCCGCCGCTATTTTTTGCAGCGACGCGTAATGATGGCGCTCACAAGCGAATGGCATGGCCCGCAAAAGACCGGTCAGTCATTGGGATTAGCTCGACCGATGGCTACGGTGACATATCCTCATTCAACCCCGTCGAAAATAATTCAGATCCCATACTGTATGCGTTTGGAGAAGGTGTCCCTGTTAGGGTTGCTGCTCTGGGAAATGCCGACACGAAGTATGTGTCCGGGACCTCGTATGCCACTCCTGTGGCGACAGCGTTAGCGGCAAACCTGTTGGGCTGCGTTCGCATGATGACAACCTCTTCACAAGAAAACCAAATCATCTATAAAAATGTGCCGGAGGACTTGCAACGATTGGACGGTATGTTGGCGGTTTTAAGGCGTCATATGCGAAAAGAGCATAATTGCGGTACAGAGAGTCTACTCCCTTGGGATTTCTTAAACGTTAAGCTGTTAGACAAGAACAAGATTCTAGAAGATGTAGCCAAGATTTTGAGGGAAGGATAGTGTTGTGGCGTTTTATCCGGTTAATCATGTTAAGATACCCCAAGATTTCAAAGCTTCGAGAAAGAGCGGTAGATGAAAGCGAAATGTACCTATATTGGAGGAAAGGACGTTGTAATTAGTGGTTAGGTTCTAAGTAAGTGCTAAACTTAATGAGTTTCCAAGGTTCAGGCCAAAACATGTACCCCGTGTGTGATTAGATAATCAATCACTTCATACTGTATTAGGTCTGAGCTAAAATCGAGGCCAAATGGTGATCTATCCGCTAATTTCTAGTAAATGACCGCCATGGCTCAAGCATATTTAGGGAGCTTAGCCACTAAAGAAAATATTCGCACGGTGCGAAAATGAGCTATCAGCACATCCATGGGTCGAAATTTGAAGCCTAATTTTTTAGGAGAATAACACTACAATTATAGCGGCTTACGCCCTATTAGTTGCATTTAGGTAGTAGGCAGGTACCTAATGTCCGCTATGGATACCTAACGACTTAGATGACATACCAAGATAAATATTTAATTATGTAATTAACTATATCAACGGACATCAATATCAGTCAAGTCTACTTGAGAGCAAGTATCTGGGAACCCCAAATCAACCTCCTCAATATCGAAAGCGTCTTTAACCTTCACCTCCATATCACCGTCTTTCTCTCCTTTCCCAAACACGGCACCCTTCACATAACTCTTGTTCGAGAATTCCTTGCCTTTCTTTTTTGGCTTCATGCTTGTGAGCTGGTATGCGAAGATATAGTCGGTAGACCCGCCGTATGAGATGCCTCTCTTCTTCTTTGACTCCCAGCTAGCCTCAGGTCCCATCTCGACAGGCACACCTACACTTGTTGCATCGACCTTCAACCCAGCCTGTGCCGATCTCTCAACATTGCTCTCGGTGCTTATGCTAGCCCCCCTGGCGATTTTTATCCCGGTGATAATGTAAACAGGCTTCCGCCAATTGTGCACCTGAAGGTATGCTTGTACGCCGGTATCCTCGAGCGCCTGCGCTAGGTAGTCCTCGTCTGGCAAGAAATACCTTGTCTCTAAGGTGGCGAACTTGTGTTCCTCCATTGACGACTTGAGTTGGCTAAAGCTCAGCTGTCCCTCGATGAACTGCAAGCATTTGGCCCAGAGTCCAATACTGCCTGAGCGCACCTGCTCGAGCGTGGTTTGCCAATCGGTCTTTTCTCCCTCGTAGATCTTTGGTGGTGGGATGGGGTCGTCACTACTCTTGAGAATCTTGCTTTGAGGATTCTTGGGATCTTTAATCAAGCGTCCAAGGACTACCATGTCGCTGTCGGCGGGTATGTCCCAGTTCGGAGATGGGATGTAGGTGGGAGTGTGTGAAGACATGGTGAGGTCTCAAGTACCTAGACCGCTAATGTGGGGGTGTCCAAAGATTAAGTCCGATCGGGGTCCACTCCGTGGGAGATCTCAGGTTTATTTGTTGGTGACGAATTTTGGAACAGAGTACTCGGACAAAAGGTAGGTGTCTTCTATCTGTTAAGTCCACATCACGATAGTATGAAAGTGACAGTAAGATTGGGATTGTCTTTGTGGAGGGACCAATCCAGCTCTGAAATAATAACCTCAGCCGCAACTTGGGCGTCGAATTAAATCTCACATGAATTAGACCAAGTCGCATCATATCCCTTGGACTACTATTCTAGGAACTTAACGACCAGCTTAGTAAGCAAAACGCGCGAATTACGCAGCGTATGGGATAGCGGCATAGAATACAATACTTTTCTATACAATTTAATTAGGTAAGGAGTGCTTATGTAAAGATGCTTAGGTAAAGCAATTTTACTTACTAAGCTGTGAGATGGTTACATAATCTTAAAAATCATTACCTAAGAAATCAGAGTGGAATTCTCCAGCCCCTCATTCCAATTGCTTTCTAAGAGTCTTAAGTATTTCATCTTAAGCCTTCTTAACTACGAATTCACTCTACTTGAATATAAGGATGGTATCTTTATAGTATCAATACCTAGTGTTGTGCTGATACACTATCCCAAAACTAGGTAACAAACTCCTATGTAAATGCGTCGCTAATGCGAAAAAAAAACACCGTACAGAGCCGCCGAAACAGAGGTCGGGGTATCCAGTCTCAAACACCCAAAAACCCACGATGAATGCAGTTTAAAACTTTAGTAAAATCACACGGCCCTTCCGTACCTTCCTAGGTATTGTAACTCCAAAGCATCAGCTTCCTGCTCATTTTGCGCCCCGGATGTGTCCGACCCTGTCGCTCGCGACGATGGCGATCCCCGAGCAGACCCCACCACAGTCACGCCGGAGTTATTATGCACGGGGCTGCCACCGCTAGTCTTAGGCATGTCTAGGGCGACATTGTTATTATTGAAGATGGAAAAGCCGGCGGACCCTATCCCAAGCGACCCATTACCACCAGTAATGCCGCCCTTGGCGATATGTTTGAATTCGTTTAAAACTACGAATTCAACTTGAAGCTTAAAGGCGTAAACGAACGAATGCAAGACGGCCTTCAGCGTGTAGTATCCGAGGTAGTCAAGCACGGTGACGAGCACGTCGGCTAGCACGACAAGCACCTGCACGATGATGAGAAAAGCTAACGTCGTCTTAGCTTTGCTGTTGAGTGACAGCTTCAGCAGCTGCATCGTACCCCACACATAGATAACTGAGATAATGGTCTCTTGGACGGAGAACCACATTATCTGTACACGCTCCATGATCTCCATGTGTGGAACGTATTTGCTATGTGTGTCTGGACCCGATACCAAGAATTGAAACACGATGGTCGGAACACCGATTAAGATTTCGTCGATGATGATCATGGCGAGTACATAACGCAGGAGTTTGGTGTGTCCAGGGATCACTAGGTGAAGCCTTGACCACAGGACGAGGCTAAAGCCGCATACTTCAGCGACCCAGCCAATCTCCGAGAGCACCGTACTCAGGACCCAGTTCACCTCAGGCACGCAGAATTTGAGGACGAAGCCAATCGCATGGATCGTTACCCCCCAAGTTGTCCCCAGAACCGAGTAGAAATAAGCCCCACGCCATCTCTCGAAGGTATAGAAGACCCAAAATGTGAGTTCGACGGTCGTCCAGATCCTGCAACATTACGGGTCAGCATAGTCTCTTTCGGGTGGAGATTTGGCGACTATAATCAGAACGCCCATCAAGTCGAACAAGTCAGAGCGTCTGGGAAAAAAAGAAAGGGAAAGAAGCTTACGGCAAAGCAGTGAAGACCGCTATGATGGACCTGCACTCGTTGATTAGTCACTATTTCACGATGAAGTAATGGGTCTCGGCTCCAGAGTCATCCTACCAGACAGTTAAGTTCCAAGGAAGCGGTCCGCTGCGCGAAAACGACCAATCGAACTCATCAAGAGGTACCCACGGCACCGTAATATTGCGTACGTTAGACATCTGGTTCTAGATCCGGACGTATACGGCGATGGGCAGCAGTAGAGACTTGCGATTGCTGCTCACAAACGAGTACCGGTAGTTTGGAAACGAGAAAAGCAGTGACCTTCGACCCTTATTGACTGAACCAAACGTTGATGACAATACGAACTAGCGAGTAGAAGTCATCTTGTTAAATAAATCAACCCCGTAATAACCTCACTTCCAGGTACTGTAGGGTTGATCATCTTCGCGAGCAGCTGATCGGCACATGCTTCCATCTATGGTCAGCTAAGCCCCTATCTGAGCTTAGTTCGTACGATGAATGCACATAGTCGTGAAGCGATGCCGTCCTACCCAAAAATTCGAAGACATAAATTCTCCGAACGGCATGCCCGTCCTTTCTCCAGCTATTATATTTAGATGGGAGGGACATGGGGAAGCGATCCAACCGATTGGATAACCTATCCATTCGGTGGGGTATAACGACGGTCCGCTATAATCCATCGCCCACCAAGGGATCGGGTCCTGGCGCACCAAAATTGATCTGGAGTTATCACTACAATCACATACGCAGGCTCACCCGATCTCGGTCCTACTGCAAAATCGGGTGGCACTGCCTACGTGGAATGTCAGACCTGCATAGCTATTGAACGATAATTATGCTCGGCGTCCAACAAAATCCGGCAACATCCTGCGGACCGATGTTCCAATTCGAGTGATAGTCGTATCACGTAAGCTTCCATAACCACTAAAACATCCTGGAACTTGCCGCACTTAACCCAGCGTACGCGTGTCTCGGTAACACGCTTATGTGATGGCTGGTCCAAATGGGCTAATTAACAAAAGAACTCTACTATTTTAACCCTTTATTGAAGAATTGCGGCAATCCTACTAACTATTTAGAGTTATGACAGCGTCGAAGTCTCTATAAAGAGGCTCACTTCCAGCTCAGTTGGAAACTAGCCAATTACAATCAATTGAGCTTGAATATAGTCAGCCTCCATCCAAGTTTAAGTCTAAGAATGACTAAATAGTAGCCTATATCGATTTTTATCTATCTATAAGATACCCAATTATGTGAGAGCGCGGCAAACAACATTGGCATACTGATTATTCCACACAAAATGTGGGGGGCCAAGAGACTGAAGAATAAAGCTCCATCCTTCCCGTTGCTTGATCATCTGTTGTTTTTATAGATTCAGATTATTAAGACCCAAACCTAACTAAACTATGCGGCTGAAAGGATTTCTATAAACTTGGCAAAGGAACTAACGGTTAACCAGTACATATCGAGAAGCCTCCGAGATTCCTTACTAATCCCCAGTCGATATATTTTTATCCTCCTTTATGGAGCCCATTGGCAAAGTGGGGGAAACTCCCAAAACGAGTACGTATTAACGACTAAGTTTAGAGATCTAAACAATTGACTTCTTCGAATAACCTCAACCTAAACCGCCTGGGTACCTAGTAGCTAATCCGGAGGAAAGGAACTAACGATGAGTATAATTACCTAGTGACGAAGTATCGATAAGCCCGAATGCAACTGCTTGGCTCACTACTCTTACTAAGTGAGCAAATTTCGCTTCTTCGGTGCTATTACGCCCGAAGTAATACATTTCGGTTCTTCTTCACTTGAACCAGGGTGGCATTTATATCTCACTCGGAAGTCGGCAAGTCGAAGCCAGGAGCACGCGATCAGTAACCACATAAGACATAACCCAAGGTAAACAAACCTCCAGCCCTCAAAAATCTCAAGAAAATCTATTCAGAACAATTTTATTTTAACCCCCAACCTAAATAGAATATGTACATAAATATAAATAAAGACCATAATTGTATCCAGTACAACATTTTAACCCCAAAGCCCCGCCAACAAAAGAGATGATGTCCTGCCATACCTATCCATGCAAGATGAGTTCTTCCAAAACCTTACTTACCTACCTTTTCCACACTTATTCATCTCATCCACGCATCAATGTCCGTGTTCACCATGAGCATGTCCTCGCCTAAGCCACCTACGAATACCACCGACGGGTTTACTAGTCGGATACGCATCCGTAGCCTCAGACCCCGCGCTAGCCGGAGCCGTTCCCGTAGGATAATTACTAGGGAACGGCGGCTGGACGGTGCTTGTAACAGTCACGTAGACGGTCGGCTGGTCGCACGCGCACGTGCTGAACTGTTTGCCTGGTCTAGTCTGAGTGACGGTGTGGGTGTCAGTGAGAGACGAGGTCAGCGTCGTGGTGTCGTCGGAGTCGGGGGACACGGGGTATGTAGACACTCCAGGGACTTCTTTAGGAGCAGCCGGGGATGGCGGTGCTGCGGGGTAGCTGGTTGGAAAGACCGTTAGTTTGGATTACTCGAAGAGAGCATTGATGAATATCAACGCCGAGCAGACGGCTAAGAAAAGGTAAGAAAAAGGAACTAACCTTGGAGCAGGGCTGGCGGCGACGGGGACTGAGCTGGAGCCCACGCCCACGATGCTGGATGCTTGGCTCATCTGGTAGCTCGGGACCTCGACGGTCGCTGAAGATCCGGTGTAGTAGCTAGTAGGGACTGCACCCGAAGAGACGGACGCCGGGGGCTGTCGCGTAATCGTGTCATACTCGATGAAGCTTGTGAAGTAAGTACCAAGTGAGATGGTTGTTCCCGGCTTGGTTACATGTGCGCTAGACTCGACAGCGGCAGTTCCTGCAGAGGTAGTCGTGCCAGCCCCTTGGGTCGGGTAGTACGAAGTCGGCTTTGGCGTGTCGACGAAGCTGATAGTCGAAGTAACCACGATGACAGAGCCGCTCAGTGTGTTACTGAATGTGATAGCAGCAGTGGTGTACTGCGATTCTGGAGCCGCGGGAACGCTCAAGCCTGGGATTTCCTTGGAGCTCTCTTCTACGGGACAGACCGTGGTAGACACAGCGACGGTCTCAGTTGTTACTGTGCCCTCTGCGGGGCAGTTAGTGACACCTGGGGCACAAGAAGTGACCGTGTAGATATTAGTTGAGTAGACAGTTGACGTTGTGTATGACGGCGCAGACGCTGCGTAAGACGGGGCAGATGCTACATAAGATTGTGCGGGTGTTGAATGAGATGACGCAGCTTGAGAAGAGCTCAGTTCAATATGAGATGAGCTCGATTCAACTTGATAACTGGATCCGGAAGACACTCCGTAGGATGATACAGCTTGACTAGCACTAGGTTTTCCCACAGAAACAGACGCAGTCTGACTAGTGGTACCCTCTGCCTTTGCTGTCTCAGTCTCCTCGACAGGGCAAATTGTTGTGTAAAGGGGAACCGTCTCAGTCGTAACCGAGCCAATCTTAGAAGAGCAATCAGCCTCACCAGGTTTGCATGAGCTGACAGTGTAAATGCTGCTCGTGTAAACGGTAGATGTCGTTAAAACGCGGCTAGAAGCTGTGACAGTGCCGTCCGTAGCATATGAAGAAATTTGCTGGACCGAGGCAGAAGACTCGGTAGCCACCGGGAGAGCCGAAGAGCTAGAAGCCGGACCGGAGGCCGAGTAAGTCAGTGGCGATAGTGTAGGAACGCTTCCAGGGGTAGATGCTGTGGCATTTTGGACTACGACGCTAGAGCTGAGTATCGAGGAGCTGGCTCCTGTGGATTTTACTGGGCTACTCATTACATAGCCACCGCTAGAACTTAGCACTGAAGAACTTGTCTCAACTGAGCTTACCGAACTGGCCACGGGAAGGACACTGCTAGAACTGAGCACTGAGGAACTTGCGCTCGCAGAATTTACTAAACCACTGGAGTGGGATAGAATACTAGAGCTAGGCGAAGCAGAGGACTCAACAGACGTCGGATGGAACGAACTCATTGAATAGGTGAAACCGCCCGTTGAAGGGGTCTCCTTTACAGTCTCGGATCCACCATAAGTAGTACCGTCAAGAATGGTCTGAGTTACCGGGCAGATGGTAGTGTACAAAGACTTAGTTTCAGTGGTCACCTTGCCGACAGGGCAGTTCGTAACGGAGGGGGCGCATGATGTGATGGTAACAACATTCGTTGAGTACACGGTAGACATGACCGACGTGGTAATCTCGCTACTAACGCTGTACGTGCTTGGCATCGTCAATGAAGAGGATGCCGGGGTCGAGGCCGAGGCCGAGGCCGAGGCAGAGGCAGAGATTGAGGCAGATATCGAGCTAGAGATCGAAGCAGAGGCAGAAGCAGAAGCAGAGGCCGAATAAGACTGGGATGAAGCCCCTGTCTTAATTGTTGATCCAGCTTCCGATGATTCGCTCGAAGACTTAGCAGAGGAGCTTGTCTGGATCGAAACGCTGGCCGAACTGAGTGCGCCTGACGGTGCTGACTTAGATTCCGCCTCGGTAGCGGAGCTTACCGTCGTGGACAAAGAGACCAACTCAGTAGTTATTTTACCGACAGGGCAATTTGTCACGGTCGGGGCACAAGACGTGACGGTGTATATATTTGTTGAGTACACCGTGGATGTAATATCTCCTGGTACATTCGTCGCGCTGCCGGGGGACATTGAATAATCATTCGCAGATTCGGTTGCCGAGCTAGAAGCACCAGAATATGTTGCTGAAAGAGACGAAGTCTGATAGCCAGAGCTCGACCCCAGTGAGTTCGAAGAGCCACTTGAACTAACCGCAGCAGTTCCGGCACTGCTAACAGGGATAGAAACGGATGCTGTTAATGAAGCCGTGGGATAGGTATCCTCCGCTTTGCTAGAGCTAGACACAACAGCTGCGCTACTAGATGTTCCCAAGATGTAAGAGCTCAAACTACTCAGAATTCCACGGCTACTGCTTGTTGGTGAACTCATTGGATATTCATCACTACTCGACGAGCTAATCGGATGCGCACTGCTAGCTGGTGGGCTAACGGGATATCCACTAGAAGAGGATTCGGAATCCTTTACCGACCCGGATGCGGTGGACGAGGTATCACTGGCAATCGATGAAGCCGATTCAACAAAGGTACTGAGATGGCTCTCAGATGATACGCTAGCAGCTGGATATGTAGCAGGAGACTCTACAACTGAAGATTCAGATGAACGAACCGCAGCCGACGACGCCTCAGCATTAGACGTAGGGTATCCGGAAGAAGCAGACAAATGGCTGCTGGATGGAGACTCCGCCTCGCTTGTGGGATACCCTTCCGAAGACGACGAAGGTTTCGCAGAAGGCGAGCTAGCTTGGTATGTAGGATATTCGTCAGCGGAAGAAGAGGTAGTCGCATGGCTGCTAGCGGGCAGACTAGCTGGAGACGCTTCAGAAGATTGGGCAAGAGAATACGAAGAATACGAATGGCTAGAGGTCAATTCGCTAGCCGGGTACGTGGGATATCCTTCAGAAGTGGGATAGCCGGTAGAGGGCGAAGAAGACGGAATGATCGCGGTAGATGGTTCAGCTTCGGTGGCAGCCGATGCTGGTGCGCTCATAGAGTAGTCCCTCCTGCGGAGCTCAGCATTTGGCAAGTCACAGCCGTCAGTAACCTTCCCAATAGAACTGATCTTCCCAGTCTATAAATCGTTAGCAACACCCCCATACCACTTAAATTTTAGGTAGGTTATACATACGTTGTCTTGATATTTGTATTGGCAGGCAGGGTACTTGTTCGTGATATTGACACTCTTTACAAGCAGAGTGTAAGGAGTGCGCCTCATGTTGATCTCACCGCCAGCCCATTGGATAGTCCGACCGTCATTGCCTGGCTCACCAGCTCCCCAGACACCAAGATTAAGCTTCATTGGAGACTGGGGAAAGGTGAAACCGGCGGGAGTGTCCTTGGCGTGAACCTGGCGAATAATCTTGTCGTCGACAAACCAGTGGATATGGGTTTCATCCCATTCCACGGAATACTTATGAAATTGCTCTGATGGTTTATATGACTCCTTCTGCTGAGTTGCCGCGCCATCCCACATCTTACCCTGTGCAAAGACATTGGTCTCAAGAGCCCACATACCATCTTTGGGTGGGAAAGGGGTCTGACCAAACTGGTTGCCGGAAAAGTCGTAATCAATTTCGTCTTGCGTATCCGACCAGAGAGTCGCGCTGCTAATCACACCTTTACCCGAAGCAACCTTCATCTCGATATCGTAGCGACCACCAAGCATGTAGAAGTCAGTCCACATATTCGGTGCATCACCTTTCCTCGCGTAGGAAAATTCGGCTCCATTAGATGTGAATTTGACGGCTTCCGAGCTTCCAATGGTCCATTCCGACGGCGGGCCTCTTTGCTTCGTGAAATCGATGTGGTAATCGTCTTTCGACCAAGCCTTATTCGGCTGGCAAGTCGCGTGAAGCGGATTACATTCGGGTTCGAGTTGACCACTGACAAATTGAGCTGTGAGGCCCAACGCAGTGAGTAAACTAATAATTCCTCCTTTTGGCATTCTGATGACCTAGAAATGGTCTATGATAATCTAAATTAAAATTTTCGTTAATAGGGAATACCCTTAGCGAACATTCGTCACGGGTGCACCAGCGCTGATCATATTAGCAACTTCAAGAATAAAGCTTCATTGTTGTGATTTCTCTCCAGCGTCTAAGCAACAATATCAAAGCAGGCGCTAAAAGGCTCCTTGACATACATCCCATTCCGGTAATAATTCGATCAAGCTTGGCTTTGATAGAAGACTACCATTGCCAATTGACTAGGAGCCTTTTGCCTCAGTAGGAGGGATCTGGACCAAGATAATAGCCACACAATAGTAGACCTGACGTGGCATATTATAAAAATAAGTTGGTCCTTTCAAGCCCCTGTATGGTCTTTCAAATCCAACAAGAGACGAAGGATATGATAATTTCGCTTCGCAGAATCATTGTTAGATGACTCGACAATCGCAAGGCCATGGCATTTCCATGGCTAATGGCCTTTCTGGACATCATCAGTAGCTTGACGAGCAGGTAGATATTGATGTGAAGTGAAAATTCACAAAGGAGTCCCTTGGTCCCTTGGAAATACCAAGCAAGGTAAACGCGACGTAGCCGTATGAAATCTCAAGAAATGGGAGCATCCCTACGTAGCACCCATCATCTCATCATAGAAGCGACCATAGCCAGGTAGCCACCGACTGATCAAATACTCGTATAAAACAATAATCCTTGTAGTCCATACATCAGGTTAGTTCAAGAGTATAGCTCAGTTGAAAGGATGAAAGAATATCAAGTCAAGACCCAAATGTAAAGAGCGTCGAGTGTAGCACGTGCCATGTCTTTGGTAATCGTTACATAATGCATGTCGATGTGCGGGTAGGTGCGGTACGCGATTAAATGAAGACAAACGAGATAATTGTCCGATGCAAGGCAGGCAGGCAAGGCAACCGGTCGCCAAGGCTTTTAACAGGCCGCCTAGCGTCCCGCTTCAGGTCGGCAGGAAAATGTGGGACGCGGCATTCGCCTTTAATTCGTACGGTACAGCACGTACATGGTACATGTACCTTCCGCGTCCCCTAGGCCCTCCCAGGCCTCACCTGCCTAGAATAATTCAATCAATCAATCAATCCAGTCGTCTTTTTTTTCTTCCTTCCTTCGCCTCGTCACACCCATCTTCTTCAAGTATTGCGTCGCACTCTTTTTTTAACCATTCATTTTTATGCATTGCGTTATAGAGCCTCATCCGTCGCTCTTTTCGCAGAATATTTAAATGCCGTACATACGTACCTGATATTACCTCTAAGTTAAACATCTTATCTTACGCTTTTTTTCTTTATCCATCCATCCCTTGGTTTTACATAATCCCCACCCGCCACGCCTTACCGCGCGCTCGTCCCGCGCCACCCGTTAGGAGACGATGGGTATTTTTAACCAAAAGTCCAAACTCAAACCGGCGCCGCAGGACATCCGCATAGAAAAAGTCGTCGTCCAGAGTAAACCTCGACCGAGTCTAACCCCGAACGGTCCGCGCGCTTCGTCTTCAAGCAAGTATTCCGCGTCACCCCGCCTCTCGCCGAATCCACGATTATCGCGGCCTAAGAGCGCGTCGCCGTACCCATCCTCTTCCGATGAGAAGCGGGGAGCCCTCGCACGGAAGCGCAAAGCCGTGACGAGTACCCCGCGAGACTCGCCCGCCTTTGGGAATGACTCGGATTCCTCGGACGAAGATAGCGACCCGTTCCGCAAACGATTACGACGTAGTGAAGAGAGATCTGCCGATCTAAATCGTAAGCTGCGCCATAAGAAGGCATTTGGCAGCGAGATAAGAGATTCGCGCATTATCCACGCGGCGGATGTTGCCTCAGTCGCCACGGGGTGCCCAATAATCCAGGGCACCAAACCGGAAGAGGTCGCGATTGAGCTGCAATATCCGTCGCGGTGCAAACGTGAGAAGTAAGGCCATCGATTGTCTAAGAGCACTGTATAATGACCCCAGCTAATTAGTTGAAAGGTATGAGTTGGTATGGCAAAAAGACAAGATCGACGCCGTCAAAGACATTTTGTCAGTTGTCGAACATGTAGCCGAGACATATCTCACCGATGACGAAGCAAAACCTTTCATCGATCACAACGGTAGCTTCAAAAGACAGATGGAACGTGCAATAAGCGAGAAATATAGAGATGTTCCTGTATTCAGAACAGCACTTCAGAGCTACAACGACAAGCTATTAGAATTGGTCGAGAATGGCACAGTAGAAAAGAATATACAAAAACTGCACCATCTCCCGCCCAGTCTAGTGTCATTCATCCTTACCCAGGTGTACGACCGCACTGTCGCGCCCAAGGTAGAGATGCTCACCAAGTACGAGGCGGGAAGCGATAACGTCTACGGAGAGCTGCTGCACCCATTCATAACCAAGATGCTCGTCGAGCAGACGAAAATGACTTCCGATCAAGTTTTCATAGATCTTGGGTCCGGGGTAGGCAACGTCGTACTGCAGGCCGCACTCGAGATTGGTTGTAGAAGTTACGGTTGTGAGATAATGGAGAACGCCTGCAACCTTGCCGAAGCACAAGAGAAGGAATTCAGAGCCCGATGTCTTCTCTGGGGCGTAGCACATGGGAGGGTTCATCTGGAGAGAGGCGACTTCCGGGCCAGCGCCAAGATAATGGAAAAGATAAAGGAGGCGGACGTAATACTCGTCAACAACAAGGCCTTTACTTCTACTCTCAACGACGCCCTTATCAACATGTTCTTAGATCTGAAGAAAGGTTGCAAGATCATATCGTTGAAGTCATTCGTTCACGAAAATAAAACCGCCGTCAACGATGTCGCCAATAGTATCCTCGACGTCGAGCACTACCGATATCACGAAAATTGGGTCAGTTGGGCAGCCGCAGAAGGCGACTACTACATCTCAACCAAGAAATGAGGCCGGGGGGTACTGGGCAATCTGGGTGGGAGAAGGAGTCAGCACAGTTTCTGTATAGGTAGACTTTGGGCGGCGGGTAGACAAGAGCAAGTTAGGATACCACTTTGTTTGCATAGATGATGAATGTGCGTTACTGGAAGGATACCAAATAAAATATTATGAAAAGCACTTACTATACAGGTCTAGGCTAGGCTTCATAGCTTCATAGATAGGATGCAGCGTTACAATGTAGCGAGCTAATGTTCTCTTGGACCATATCGAGGTGTTACCTCCGGTTCCTGCTGCTCGGTGTCTCGTTCTCCATATTCATAGCATCAGCCTCGTCTCTCATCCTTTCCATCCACCTCTTCACTAGGTCCTTATTCTCAGCAGTGAGCTTTGCTGCTTTTTGCTCGGTGACGTCTAATTGGATGTTGAGAGTTAAATTATCATCCTGAATATCCTATAATTATACATTAGTCGCGGCATAATATGTCTGCCTGATCTACCGCTGGCCCATACCTTCAACATTTTATTCTTGCCAATCAGCTCCTCATTGCGGTCCCCTAGTTTTGCCGCAATAGCATTTCTCTCGATCGTCAGGTCACTGATACGCTTCGTATCGACCTTAGTCTTCGTCCGTAACTTCTGCAATTCGTCTTCTGCGGTCTTGAGCCTATTCTGCAGCTGACCTTTCGACCTTAGTGCCTCGGCAAGATCTAGCCTAAGCTGTGCGACGCTCGAATCGGAATTTGTCGTTGTATCGGTTGTGGCGGGAGCTTTGCTCGACGATGGCTTTTCTGATGAAGACTGTTGTTTGCCTGATGTTTTCCATACGGCCTTCTCGGCCTCGAGGGCGGCTATACGATCCGCAAGCTGGGAGCCTGTGGACGTATCTGTCAGAAAAGCTGACAAGGAACAAATATTAGGTGGAAGGGAATTGCTGACAAGCTTGGACGAGGTCCTTGTTCACGGGGTTATTCCGCTCTGCTTCTTGCAGGGAACTGATATAGTCGCTTCGCCAGTCGGGCATGGTGGTCCCTTTCTACATAATAGTATCATTTGTGACGTTAAGACGATGCGCAGCCTTTAAATGCTGGGTGGGAAGTATCTGGGTAGGTACCTGATGGAGTCGGAGGAAGTTCCACAACCCCAGTCCCAGTCACAAGCATTAGGTTTAGATTGGAGGGGATTGGAGGGGTATGATGTCGAGCTTAATTAGACCCACAAATACCCGACGACTATCGCCAATTAAGTTCTTGGAAGTCGACGTTTATTATTTTACATAATCTTGAACCTGCAACTACAGCCTCATCCTCATCTTCTTTATAAACTTTATTCTTAACTTCACTTCACTTCACATTCCATCGTGGAAGGATCGAAGAGATTCAAAAGTCATCTAATAGGTAGGTTAAAAATGAACAGCAAGTCACAGAAAAGAGAAAATGAAAGAGCTCCCATCGAAGAAGAAAGACGTATCACAGGAAAAGCAAAGAGATAACTTGGATCATAATGGTCATTTTCTACGTTTAAGTACCTTCTTACAGAGCATGTATGCTCGGTACATTTATCTAGGGAAATTCCCAAGTAGTTCAAGAAGACTCTTTGTTAGGCAGAGGCAGAATTTCCTTTCATAAACCCAAGGCCCACGTATCGTACTGCCATTCAAGGCATAGCCAACCAGCTAAACCAGTTAATCGCGGTACGTAACCCCTTCTCCTTAGTCCACCTCGATTGCGTGAAAAGCGATGTTGCCCGCCGTATGATATCCACTTGGCAACTACCCATGAAGTGAATTGCCAATGTGAAAACCCAACGTACCTCAATCCTCCTCAGTAATACAAGCACCAAGCCCCTGACAAAAGAAATCCTCCGTTGACGCAAGACTGCCACTTGTGTTCCCGGACCTCCCCACCAGAACTCCCGTATCCCACCTAAAACTCCATCCCTGATATCCCTACTTCTTCTTGATATCCTCCTCGGAGACAGGATGCAGCATAAGCTTAGTCTCGGTCTTCTGGGTGTTCGCTGCATGACCGCGGCTCCAATCGTAGCCCACGGCGTACGCGAAGAAAGTGCCATCGCGATTGTATGCCGCGCTCGTGATCGATCCACTGGTTTTCTGGTAGGCCTTCAGCCTAGTGCGCTCGATGCGATCCCAGAACTGGTACGTTCCTTCCGATCCTGCAGTCGAGAATACATTGTGTTTCACGGGATGGAACGAGAGGTCATTGACCGTGAAGACCTTGGTGGTGGCTGCAGCCTCCTTCTCACGATGGCATTTAAAGGTAAAGTTGACCTTACTATTTGGCGGAAAGGAATATAATGTTAGAAGTGTTCCATATTGCTTAGAGTGGACTGGGGGTAATACTCCTTATCCTTTTCTTCCACGGCCCTCATTCCGCACCGTCCCTCAATGCTGGCCGTCGCCCAACCCTTTCCGTCAGGAAATGCGGCGACGACCTTGGTCTGGTACTTCAGCGGTGATTCCACAGTCTCGGATATGGTTGTCGGATTCTTGAGATCGAAAAGATGAATGTGGCACTCGGCAGTCGCAACGACCATGAGATCGGCCTTGGAATCCATCGAATAGACGCGCTCTTTGCAGGCGACAGTGGCGAGCGGGCCCTGCTGGCGAAGATCCCAAAACTTGACTGTCTTGTCCCAGGATCCAGACACAATGACAGGCGCACCAAATCCCGGGACCTCGATGAAGCGCACGTTGCGAATAGGGGCGTCGTGAGCGCCAAGAGAAGCTTGACTGCTCGTACTTATGTCCAAGAGATGAAGTTTCTTGTCTGCGCCTCCTGCGACGACCATAGAACCATCCTAATCCTCCTTCAGCCCTTCCAAATCGCCCTGACCACTAACAGCGTATTCCGACTTACCTATCGGAATCTTGTATTGGCATTTTTTCTCCCACAATGTTTTTTTAGCTGTAAAGTTAGAAGAATTTATGAACTTACCTTAGCCCAGTCGCAGTCGAGGACAGGGCCCTCCGCGTTGAGCAGCGTGACTCCACGCGCGACTCCGGTGCTGCTTACATTGTAGACGCGCACCTTTCCATCCCACGATGCCGCTGCTAGATGGTTGCTAGCATGCGACCATGAGATAGACGAGATGGTGTCCTCAGCGTCGCCTGGTAGAGTGACATCCTTGTCCAAGGAGCCAGTGTTGGGGGAAGAAAGAGAAATCTTTCTAGCACGACCGTATGGCGGCATCTTGTGTCGCAAAAGATAGATAATGTACTAGTAGAAAGAATGTTGACCTCGTAAGTTTGTTCAGCTAGTGAAACGAAGAAAATGGAACGAAGAAAATGGAACGTAGAAAAAAAATAAGGTGAAGAAAGTGAAGAAAGTGAAGAAAGTGCAGAACGTGAAGAACGTGAAGAAGTCAAGTGTAAATATAAACTGCAGGTGAACATTAAGTACCTAGAGGTAGGAAGGCAGCCCACGAATATCAGTAAATATTAACATGAGGAAAGAGCAAGTCATAGTAGCTATTTATAAGCGTGCCTACCTTGGAAGTCTTACACGATGCGCGCATGCGTAAACACGTCACTGGTCTACCTAGTAAGCGGAGCAAAGCTAACCTGGACCCCTGTTGCCTATAGCCTCATCCCATCTATCAGATTAATCTATAATAGAAGCTAGAGTGCACTACATATCACGGGACAACATGAATTTTCTAGATAGATGTATCGTCTAAACCCCAGATAGAATATCATAGAAGGCGGCACTCATAATATTAATGTCTAGCCTAACTTGACACTCTTGATCAAGCCGGGCTTGATACCAGTCAACTCTCCCGCATATCCACCCCGACCTTCGCCGCCCTTGTACACTGCCTTCATACTCTTCAACTTCTTTTGCTTCTCTGCATATGCCTTCCTCTTCTTGACTCTTGGATTTCTTACGTCCTTCTTCCGATGGGGCGTGAGTCCCTTATTCTTTTCTATCTGGTAAGAAATCTTGCGTTTTCCATCCTCGCCAACCACTTCCTTTTGAACAACCCGGTCCCTTGAGCTAGCTGCCGCGAGAGCTGCCGCCCTAGCTGCCTTCTCCTCCTTCTTATTGCTTGACCTGGCTGCGATCATATCATAGTATTCATCTTCGTCGTCTCTCATGGCATTGGTAACTCGACCGTCTTCTTCGTCGCTATCATCCCCAAGATCAGCGCCCATACTTGAGTTCTTCCCGCGCTTCTCTGCTTCGATATTGAGACGAGCTTGTCTATCCTTGAGGCGCTCTCTGTAGGGGATATCCATATCACCACCCGCGTCTCTGCCTGCGCCCGCACGGCGATTGGCTTTCTGTACGATCTGCGAAGTGTAAAACCTAAGACTCTTCTTGCGTGCTGCCTTTTCAGCCGCTGCTTTGGCATCGAGGGTTTCTTCTTCTCCAAAGTCCGAGTCACCATCCCTAGTCGCGATCTCGGCGCTTGGTTTCTTCGACTTCTTCTTTGTGGTAATAAGCGCATCAAGATCAGCAAGCGATTCCTCGATAGCCTTAGCCTTCCGTTGTTCCGCCTTGGCTTTGGCCTTAGCCTTCTTTGCAGACTGTTTATTCGATTTCTTCAAAATGTCCGTTTCGATATCTACATCTTCGTCAACTGCCAGATGTTCTTCCTCCGGTGGTGACAGCATGGCGCCAACTGCTCGTGATTGATCCGAAATCTTAAGGTGCTCCACCTTCTTCCAAGCATCTCGGCACTCAAGTAATGTCCCCATAACCTCATGATCCCGCAGTTCTGTTGGATCGAGCGATTTTGTGTTCCCGCTGGCGGCATCTCTGGCTGGCGATGTCATAGTAGCGAAATACATCGCAAGCGTAGCAACATAGCAACCAAGGACCCGGTACTTGACCACCGCCAACGATTTTGATGGTTGACCTTCTGCCTGTTTTTGAACATCCACGAGTAGAGGTTGTAATTGTTGGAGCTCATCCGCTAGGTAATCAAACTCGGGGTACCTTGTTCGTAAGAGACGATACCTCTCCTCGGCGCCCATATCAGCTGGAATCTCAACATCCTTCAAGACTTCGGTGACAACCTCGTTCTGGTCAACATCATCGGCTTCAGGAGCAAGCCATTCAGCTTCGTCAAAGATGAAATCACTCTCTGACATCTTGGCCAATTTCTTCTTCTGTAGCCGTCGGGCTTCCTGCTCCTCTTCCAAGGCGTCGGCTTCCGTCTCGAGGTTATCGGCATTGTAATATTCTTTTCTAGAGGAACCCCACCAGTTAGAGTCGCCTTCCTCTCCTTCCTCCTGTCCAGATTCAGAGCCATTGTCACGCCGTCCCTTGGCGGATTTCGTAGGCTTGCGAGTGTTATCATCTTGGTCGTCGCCCTCGTCATCATCCGAGTCTTCGTCATCGTAAGCAAGTGCTTCTTCGTCGGAGTTTTCCAAAAACTCGTCCTCCTCTTCTATCCGTCTCTGCTTTTTGGACTTCGGACCATCATCGAAAAGGATCTGGTCCTTGTTTAAGAAGTATTCATCTTCCGAGTCAGCTACGTCTTCGTAGCTGTTGATGGGACCGAGTCTTGCATCAGCTGGATCGTATTCTCGAGGGCCCTTTGGCTGCGAAGGGCCGCTGGAGGCCTTTCTCTTCTTTCCCATATTTAAAATGTTGTAAAGGTGAAGCGGCAATTGGAGTCGCAAATGTGGATTGTAAAATTGAATTCTAAAGCCTGCAAGTCAGAACTTTTTTTTTCTCCCCACGTCAGTTCCAAGTTAGCGGCTGAATTTCTTATCGTTATCGCCTTAGCCCGTACAGAGTAGTGTCGCGCCTGAACACCAGTGCAGGTGCTGGGCAACAGCTGTAATAGCGAAGTGGACCTTCTAACTTTAGCGCCAACAGCATTGCCTAATTGGTACATCCAGCACCTGGAGACAGCTAACTGGGCGGCATATCTTAGCGCATTAACGGACCCGGTCCCTTAAAAGACCCCTGAAGGACAAAAAGTTAGCTTGTGATAGCTTCATTCATCATTTGCCAGCTCAGCCCTTGCCTTCCATATTAATTGCGGCACGGTGCATCAATAACTTACTTCCCACACTCGATGAAAGTCGAGATGAACACCTAACCTCACCAAATTCTTCAATCAATGGATTTCATTTCCTCCTCTCCGTGGACCAACATCGCAATTGCCATCTTAATTGTTCTAATAACCACCGTGACAATGGGTGCCTTTTCAAGCAAGAACCAGATGCCCGTGGAGGGCAAGGTGCGTAACATCCAACCAACCAACCCACCAATATCTCTAATCAGACCAACTCTAACACATCCCTCCCCAGACCATCCTCATCACCGGAGCCTCAGAAGGCATGGGCCGCAGCGCCGCCGTGCAACTCGCCGCAAAAGGCGCCCACATAATCCTCGTCTCGCGCAGCGCGCCCAAACTCGAAGCCGCGCTCGCGGACGTCAAAGCCGCCGCGCGAGACCCGTCGACCCAACGATTCACGTACCTAACCGCCGACGTATCGCAGCCGGACTACGCCGCGCCGCTCCTCGCCTCCGCCGTGTCCTGGAACAACGGGCAACCCCTCGACATCGTATGGTGCGTAGCCGGGACATCAACACCCGACTTCTGGCTCGAAGTACCGATCACGCACGCGCGGTCGCAGATGGACATCAACTTCTGGGGGTCCGCGGAGATGGCACACGCGATCCTGCGGCAGTGGTGCGCGGCAGACGCCCCCGTCGTGCCGGAGCCGAAACACCTGATCCTGACGTCTTCGGTTCTAGCCTTCTTCCCCGTTCTCGGGTACGGGCCGTATACCCCCGCGAAGAGCGCCTTGCGCGGACTCGCGGACACGCTAGTGCAGGAGCTGGAGATGTATCCGCAGAAGGTGAAGCTGCACGTGGTGTACCCGGCGTCGATCGGGAGTCCTGGGTTCGAGCGGGAGAACATGACGAAGCCGGAGGTGACGAAGAAGATCGAGGAGGGCGACCCCGTGCAGTCCCCCGACGACGTGGCGGCGGGTGCTATACGGAAGTTGGAGCAGGGGCAGTACTTCATCACGAGTGCGTTCTTAGGACATCTGATGCGCTGGGGTGCTCTGGGCGGGTCGCCGAGGAACAGTTGGCTTGTCGACACGCTTATGTGCTGTTTCCTGCCCATCATATGGATATTCGTGCTGCCTGATATATACTCCAAGATTAGGAAGTATGCCAAGGAGCATGGTCATCCTGCTACTTACCGGACTAAACACATACAGGATGTCAAGAGCTAGGTTAGGAAGATGGGATTAAGGAATCATACTTAACTCTAGTTCTATCAAGTCTCATACTACTGACCCTGAGGTTTACGAAGTATTTAGGTACGGAGAATAATGAATACAATATAATAATGAAACCCTACCTTGAAGGCGTAATTCACTTTCAATGCCTCAGTCTCCGTTTTACATCCATCTATGGGAATTAAAGACTAGTATATGATCGGTAAATTACTTCGTCAACACATCCATCTAGAATTCCTAGAACTTTTCCAGACATAATGACAAGCAAGAAGTGATTTGGAACAGTCTCGACCGGGAAATAGTCGTTTATCTTAGCCTTTGAATCAGAACGAGCGGATGTAAATATAGTTGAACTAGACAAAGATTAACAACTAAATTCGTGTTCACAGACAGGACAATGCATGATAATTTTGTAAAAAATAGTCACTTAGAATCCAGGTATTCCGGGTTACGACGTTCATGTATTAGACGGAGAGTGCCTTTGCAACTATCGAAGAAGCTATAACCAGGTACGGCCGCCAAACCCTTCACGTCCAGGCCTCCCATGAATGCACCCTAAACTCCTTGCTTCATAGGCAACCGAAGCATGCCAACGAAAATCATCAAAATTTGATGAACAAACATTCCACCCCAATATTCCACGCCAGATGCGACCAACAAGCTTGCAAATATGACCTATGAATGCAGTGTTGGTAGAACGGGTCGAGGGACATCGTACCATGGCAAGGGAAAAGAAAAAGCTTCTCGAAATCCATCTCAATTTCCTCAAGGTGAATCCATGTTTCCTTACTAGGGTACGATGCACATCTCGGTAACGACGTTACTGGGGAGGGAAGAAACTTGACAAATCAACGTCGTCCAAACTGGCATTCGGATCAAAACTTATGTCTCCAAAATCGATGTCGAAACCGATGTCGTATCCGGAATCATTGACAGATCCGACTAGGGTACTAGATCCGGATTCAAATTCGGAGTTGGGCGTAGAGCTGACGACCGATTCAGGTTGAGTGTGTAAGTCGACGTTGGTATTTGGTTCAGGCATCTGCTCACGATGCGCCAGTACACCAGGAAACGGCGGTCCTATCTAAGGCACCACCTGCCCATCAGCTACCGGCTGAGGATGTCCTACCTAGGGGGCACCCTGATCGTTGAGAACCGGTTGATTGGCATCTTGTGCATTGGCCTGTGCCTGGTTCTGTTCATCCTCGATTGCCTCCTCATACTGAGCGATCTGGAAGGCTAACTGTCGAGCCGTAGCTTCAATCATAAGCATCGATCGCGCCTTCTTATCGGCACCTCTAACGAGCGCCATCGCTTGCTCTACGGTGTAGCGCACAACGGGGTCAGCAGATGCGGGCGCTGCGAAGTTGAAGGGGGCCATTGCAGCCGGAGGCGCAGTGGGCACGGGGAAGGCAATGCTTTCGTTGCCAAGCATCTGAACGCCTTGCTGACCCTGAGGCCGACTCTCTAATGATTGGTTAGCTTCCTAGTATTATATATATGATGAAACGGGAATAGCATACCATGAAGTGAACATCGCGAGCCTGAGGCATTAAACCAGCAGTTGGAACAGCTTTGGCACATCTGTCCTTCAATCACGACACAGGCGGTCCACGGCCCATGGCCTTTCTTGCAGTTCTTACAGTTCGGGACTTCTTCACCTGCGATGTGCGCAAACAGGGCCTCCACATTACTGCGTCGCGAGAGGTTCAGCTGCTGCTCGGGACGTCGTTGCTGCGCGAGGCGCACGCCAGGCTCTCCAGCCAAACGCTTTGCCAGTGCACTCTCGACAACAAACTCAGCATAACCGGATTGGCGAGCAAGTTCCTCAACTGTAGGAACATGGGAGCCGTCATCCATATGAGTGCCGCCAAGATCGGGATGTTGGTCATTGGCTGTGTGGACGCTGCTAGCTAGGATACTAGCCGCAGTAAGGTCGAGCTGCTGCTGGTGCTCTTGCTGCTGTTGCTGATGATGATGATGCTGAGCGGCGGCGGCGGCAGCAATGGCGGCGGCATCATGATCAAAGCTAGTGTGGGGGTTATGCTCATGGTCTTCATCAGCGTTAGCATCTTGGTCAAGGTCGGCGAGATCCGAATTGGAAAGACCATGCGCGTCGGATACGCCAACTCGGCGACCAGGCCGACCGCGAGGCGTGCCAGCCAATTTGGTGACTTTGCTGGGTCGACCGCCCCGAGCTGATTGAATAACTCCTTTCATCACGAGCCAGGTGATGACGAATTGACAAAAAGGTTGTCTGCTGGCTGGCAGTTGGTGATTGAAAGAAATGGTGTGCGGAGGAAAGTGATGAGATTTCAGCTGTCAGCAGCTGCACTGGGTCTAAAAGGAAAAGGTAGACGCGTGCGTGTGGGGAAAAACTATTATCCCCTCGACCCCTCACCTGACTTGCACTCGCAGATGCATGTGCAGGTGACAGGTGCTAAAATAACGGTACTTAGGTACTTAGGTACTAACCTGTATTCAGTTCCATGACCAGGTTACTCAGCAAGGCTAAACTACCTACTGCATATGCGGGTATATGCAGGTACCTAGCATAACCATGGAAGATAAAATTAACAGAAAATAATCCCTCGCTCCTATTTGTTTATCAATGAGCAGTGACTTGGTCAGGTACATACGGAACAAATTAATATAGAATTAAAGAATCTGATACTGGTAAATGCATGCCATGTTGTCGATTTGATAATAAGTATGGAAACCAAGAAGGTGCACTTGAACATCGCTCGATCGTATTGGGAGTGAAGGGATCATACATACAAGACGACAATGAAATACACAATCAAGTACACATCGTCTTATGAACTTGATAAAAAATCCATTCGCTGACTGCAAAAACACTTTCGCAAGGGTATACATATTAAAATACTGGTTGGTTTTTATTGACCTTTACACAGATCCAACCGTTTTGTTGAGGATCTGTTTCTCCAGACCCTTTTTCCTCCATGGTATAGCTTCATCAGTCATCCTCCCCCTTACGGAACGGTCTCAAGATACCGTTTTGAGTTACTTGAGTTACAACACCTGGCCGGATATCGGCCGTACACAGGCACCCCGTATGCCTGATGCCAGAACGAAAAGAAAAAAAAAGATGAGAAAGAAAAGAGACCGGCGTGACCGCAAATTCATAATTAAACAAGATATGTAATCTGCCATGACTTTAGATGCAAATGTACTCCCTACTACCCCACGACTCCCAGATCCTGTGGTAAACGGTGTCCTGAAACCTCGGGTGAAGCCGGCAAGGCGGCACTAGAGAAACGCAATCAAGGAGTATTTGAGATAATTCAGGCGCAAAGCAAACACATGGAAGGAGATCGTCGGCCAAGTTCGTGGTGAGTACAGGTCATGTCGTTAGCCAGATCTATGGCATTACTGGCAGCCATCGAATGTGCGATTGGGTATTTTGGTAAGCTGCTGTTCTATCGCGGGTTTCGTCTCTATGATCAGCCCTCCTTATAATACAATCAAATGAGACCACAGAGACGGAGGTTGTCTTGGATAATAATATCTTGAAACATAGTTAGCAATTGTGTCAAGAATCGACAGCATAAGACACAACGTACCGTTAACTGCAGCCATAACGAATCGGATCTGCGTTGTATCCGTCGCGCATGTGAAATGCGTGTAGATCTGCTTAGTCTCATGCTGATTCAAGCTAACGAATCGGTTGAGAATGTAATCACAAGCCGCCGCGTAGTCGTCACCGCCCTCATAGTCAGGGAAGTAGTTCTTCATCGGGCTGATAGGCAGCTTCTCCTTGAATCTATCGATTTTGTTCAAGAACAAGATGATTGAGGTCTTGATGAACCACCGCGAATTACAGATGGAGTCGAATAGAGTTAACGCCTCTTGCATACGGTTGACGGTCTCGTCTTCGAACAGTAACTGATCGTACTCCGATATGGCGACTAAGAACAGGATGGTCGTCACGTTCTCGAAGCAGTGGATCCACTTCTTTCTCTCTGATCGCTGTCCACCGACATCGAACATTCTGTATGTCAAATCGCCGATGATGAAGGTCGTTTCGGTGATACCGGTAGTCTTGACACGAGATCGGAGGACATCCTGGTCGTTAGGCATGTAATCCGGCGCGGCAATACGAGCGATATTGTCGAAGTAGCTATAGACATCAAGGTTAGCAGACTTATTGCGGGACATAGAATGATGAAGCACGTACTATCTAGCCGAATCATTTAGTTGGTATTCTCGCGATCGCTTGAAACATTCTTGGACACCACGGTCTTTCCATAGAGCCTCGATCGCGTTGCCGACCTCCGGGGGTAATACGTCGCCTTCGATCTGAGCGGGTTGCATGAAGATTGTCTGGACATGGTACTCCATTCTCTGGTCTTCTAATGGCAACTCCAAAGACTCCATGGCTTCTAGAATGACGCGCATGGACTGGACGGTGTTGCTAAAGATGATTTCTTTGAACGACTCTCGCTCGTCGCGTGAGTAACCACCCTCGTTGATGATCTTCATCTGTTTTAAGATGGTCGACTTTCCGGATTCACCAGCACCTACAATTGTCAGGATATTGTCACTCGTGACGCGCAGATGGCTATAGATGATACTAACCCAGAAGAAGCATCTTGATCTCGTTCCGCTGCATCATCTTGTCCCTTTTGAGCTGGTTCTCGATCTCCTCGTTGCGGGCCTTGCCCTCCTTCTCCTCCGTGCTCATTCCGCAACCCATTTTGACGGAAAGGACTGGTACAAATTAAAACTAATATAGTGGTGAAAAGGCCGACGAAGATCGCAGGTGCCCTATGGACAGAATCGTTACTATATTGACGCAAGGGGTTTAAGTTAGCAGTGGCCTCGACCCTTCCAGGCACCGATGAAAACACAGAGCACGTTACACGACGATGATTATGAAAACATTCTCTTCGTAAAAACACTCGCGTCGCTTGAACAGACTGAGAACGGGTTCGATTTTGCTGAGCGATGCTTGACAATAGTCGTTGAGGCGCTATGGCGTTTATAAAACTAAACAGGGAAAGCCACTAGTAGGTCAAGTACTTGCGCCGAGTTTGGCGGAAGAGGTCGTGTTTTTTGCGGCCAATGAGATGAAATCAAGATCGCAAACAGATAGAAAAACTACTCACCAATGATGGTCAATTGAACTGGCAAGTAAACTCACGATAGTTAAGAGATGGTGATAAATTCGCCGAAGTAAAAGAACGGCGAACTTGATGAGAAAAGCTGACAACAGAAAGGAAGAAGGAAAAAAAGGGTGGCCGCGAGAGATTGTGACGGGGCGAGGATGGATGAGAATGGATGACAAAGTGGAGCAACTTTACGCTTTGCCTTTGCAAGTACAGCTTTGGTTTTTGTTGCCGGAACGCCCCTGCTCTGTAGGAATAAGTTTGAAGAAGGGGGGAAAGAAGGGGGGTGAGGATCAATTGGGAAACGGGGGTAGTAGAGACAAAGCCGGGGCTGGGTTAAAAGATTTATGGAGACATTGACTCAAGACGGTTAGACGTATCACAGATTATGCGAGGAACGATGCTTACACTATTCCAGAAGTTGACTAGTTGGATGAAATAGAGTGACATGCACCTTCCATTGACCTTGCGATGTCAAGAACCTAGCAATCCACTAATCCATTCAAGTGCAGAATGGATTAATCCAGTGTAAACTGCTAAGGGCAACTACTGTGCGATGTACCCTGAGGATACATACAATCATCCATGTAAGTCTACATTGTCGACATAAAACATAAATTCAACTAATACATGAAACATTGATTCAATCAAACAAGATAGAAGATGGGAGACTCAGCGCTCTGAAGAAAGATTACAATATTTGTACGATCATAATTCGACATCCGAGCATCCGAGCAAGTGAGTATCCCGTCGCCACGTGAGAAGGAGAATTTCAACAATCGTCAAAACCCTTTCTTGGTTCGCATCTGGCTAAGGTTCTGATGCAATTTCCACGCCGCCACAATTCCTCGTCCCATACGGGTAACAAGGTAACAGGCAGACAAGGTACATGGTGGATAAGGGATGTGACCTCGGGATTGATACTGGTTTCTCTCTCGCTCGCTGCTTACACGCATATTAAGCTCATGTCAGCAGCAAATAGTCGACAATCGCAGATGCAGAGATGAAATTGCCATAAAAATACTTGGCATCTTACTGGTTTATCTTGCTATTCTCGCTCCAGTTATCCAGTTATCCAGTTAACATGACCAGCAGTTCTTCATCCACGGGCGAACGCGGCTTTTATTAGAATAGGAGATGACCGACGGCCTGGTAACTGGAAACTGGAGGGAACCACTACATCATCCACAGTAACCAAAATACTGTATCTATTGAAATATCGCAGATCGAAAGAAGCAAGCTTCCAGCCTTGCCAGGCGCCCGGACTCGCCGCAGTGCATATTTCTATTGCGTGCCCAATCACGGATTCATCACGGCAGAAAGGTGTATTGTATTCTGCAGCTCTAATCCCACCTAACTATATAAGCTAATGCAGCGTTTTTATACTAAATGATTATATGACTTATTTTGAATCTACCTATTGACAAACGAGGCATAGCGTGCTTAGTATAGTGTCAGTCATCCATAATGGCAATACTTATAAATTCTATTAATGGACTTCTCATGTTCGGTAAAGGCTTCAGCTACAGTTCAGAAGTAATTTGGGGTTCGAAAATTGAATTTATCATATAATGATTTGAGTCAGGTTTGTATAACATAAAAGGGGTCGATATATTTCCTAAACAGTTTAGACTTTGTCGATTTATTAAATGATTTATGTACTTATAGGTACCTATCTAAGTATCTATATTTTAATAATTATGTCGCATCTGAATTGTGATATGTAACTGTAGTCAAGAAGACACTACAGAGTAAATTCATCTGGGGGGGCGAATGATATGATCATTAAGATGAGTTCACTGTCGTCTGCTCAACTGACATTCTCAAAGGTCTGTTTAAATTGTAAATTCGTGATCGGTAAGTATTCTGTTAATCTGGCATTATGAAGAAAGCATCCAAGAGTCAAAAGCCTATCTTAAAGTCCTTTAAGCACCATGATCCCATTTCCCCATTTCATTAGCCTAGAAGCGTTTCATTTTCCCTCGTCAAGTCATCATCCAAACTGTTCAATATCCAAAGCGACATTCTAATAAACCACTTTAGGTATATGACCGCATAGATCAGGCCGTTAAAATCCATATCCTCACATGACGATACAGCAGTCCCCAAGCTTGCGGAAGAACTTCGATACCAGACGGTCGATTTCGTCGGGTTGCTCCTGCTGCTGCTGCTGCTGTTGGTGGTGTTGCGACTGCCCTCCGTGGTGCCCGTGTTGGGTCTGCTGTTGCCCTCCATGGTCCGGCCTACCGCTGCCGCTGGGGTGGCTGTACCCGCCGTGGTGGGTTGGCGGCGGCGGCATCACAGCCTCACCGCCCTGGAGGTTGACTAAGATATCGATAAGCATTGCATACTTCGCCATGGAGTTAGGGAGAGAAGAAATGCGTACCATAGATGCGGCCTGTGTTTTCCTCTGTGGCATATTTCAGCCCTAGCTCACGGCATACCTCTTCGACGCGTGGCTTCAATTTCTGAACGTGGTTGGCGCTGTGGTTTCCCTTGCCCACAATGCTACGCTCGAGTTAGTATATAATGGAATCATAGACACCGAGGAATTCGCATACACGTGGAGGTGGGTCTGGCCGTGCTGCTGGGCGTAACGAATACGTCGCTCAAGGATATCCTCAGCCTCTTCGACGAATTGGCCGTGCAGATCTATGGTGTCGTCGGCTACGCGGTCGGTGGCATTGTTCTCCCGGAATATGTAGTCACTCGCTTGTTTGTTATACTCGTCCATTTTGGCCGCGTGCCGCTTGCCCTCGTTGCTCAGCTCCTTAGCTTCGGCGCCATCGCCCCGCTCGTAAGCTTGGTGCGCCTACATGTTATGCTATGTAAGTTTATGTTCATATGATAGCTAATAATTATACCTGTATTATATTCATATTGAAGGCTTTGAAGATGGGAGAGTAAATGAGCAAAAGTAGAAGTAAATATAGATATGTACCCGGTCGAAACAACTGTTCCGTTTCGCGGCTTCCGCCCGTGCGAGGTCCCGGAGCCGGTCATACTCGGCCTCGGAATCATTGCTAGCACTATGATTGAAGGCTATGGTGGCGGTTCGCCAATTGTATGTGAGCTTGTGGATCTAACATAGTTGGGGTGTTGCATCGTGGACAGGGGAAGCAAGATGAAGGAGCACATAATGCTATGAAACGGTGGTAGATGTATGTATGTGGTAGTTATGCAAGGCATACATACCTCTATCTCCCAATCGTGTTAAAGGAATTGCCATGATGTCAATTATACACCGCGGTGAGCAAAAACGGTGCTGGGTGGTAAGATATAGTCGTTAGAGTAGGCAATTTAGGCATGTGCGGTTTGTGTGCGTCGGTTACGATATCAGATTCATGTGAGCCTCAAGTCTCACAAAAAAAAAAGCATGCTAATAATAATAACAACAAAGGCTGCCCAACCTGCCAGTTGGCGCTTTTACTTTTTGCGGAAGCTTGATTGAGCTAGTGATGCGAAGCAGGGCAGTGGATGATCTGCAGCTCACCCGTTCTCCAATGCCGCTACTGGTGGCTGGGAAAAGCCTACGTCCCGGTTATGTAGGTCTGTAAATTCCACCGAGACCTGACTCGCGAATCACGAATCGCCAAAGTAAAGGGATGTAATACTATATTACTCGTATAGCCCACCATTAAGTAAAGATAGTTTAAAAACTAGTCCGGATATTTCTTCTTCCTTTTGTTCGAAAGGCCATTTAGGAAGAAAGGATGGCATTTAGTGAAGAATTCCTTCAACTTATTTTCTGCAAGATGACATATTGGGGTGTGTGCCCTGACAGCTTCCAAGGTTATGGAGGTTCAGTTAATGCGGGCATGTCACCTTAGAGCCAAATAGCGCCGATTGATTCGGTTACATATCGGGGGCTTCCAGAAGGATTCTGCATTAATGCGTTCAAAGCATTGTCTATCTCAAACCTAGGAGATCTCGAAACAGCTTTATTGAAACCGAGAACTATATTAGATTTACGTATGATATTCCAATGGATAGGGAGGCAACCCGGTAATTCTCCGATTATACCTAAATATGAGATTCGAGGGGCCGAGGCAGGTGAAAATCAGTTAGAGCTCCAGTTCAATCGTGGAGGTAAAGCTAGGAGCTGGAGATATCTTCCGTGAAAAACTAAGCCAAAATCTCCTCTTAGCTTGGACCCCGATTGACCACGAGGGAAATCGATAGGTTTTGAATAGCGTCATTTAGTTGCAACGGCGTAGATTGCAACCTCGAAAGAATACATAAAATATGGTTGATTGGTCACCTGAATAAGCTATTCCCGCCCCCGGCTCCTACTAAGATTATTTATTTGAGTCTTTGAGGCTGGGTGAAGAATGCAACAGCCACTTACCTGACTGCCTGGATACTATGTACATACGAAGTAGTACAGAGTACACCGAACCCCGTGATGATTTGCAAGAAGTGATGAACCGTAAACGTCCCTTTTGAGAATTAATTAGGTACAGCGTAATAGCTAACCCACTTTAATAGCTTGGTTAATATGAACCCTGAAGAACTGGTCCTCTTGTCATCGTGAACCATGAACGAATAGGGATTGGCGTCAGGGGCGGTAGCGCTTTAACCTGTAACTAATCCACATAGGCAGATGGTCAGATGAATCGACTTCTCGCGTGGGTGGCATGGTTTATTTATATGGTTAGCTCAATATAACCTCATTGTCGTTTCAAGAGGTTGGGGAATCCGGTTACGTACACCATCTTGAAACTTAAACGATCCTACATATCGAGATCACATACGCATTACATGAAAATCCCAATTCTTTTCATCTTAAGAAGTTCCCGACAAACCATTCGCCTATTCATCCTAAGATCCTTAGAGTGAGCTACTCTTCGATGTTTTTTTCTTCTTTTTCTTCAAGGAATGAGTCCTCACCATCTGCCATGCAGCCCCATGCGTAGGTGGCTACTGCGGCTGTGCGGGTCCTCGAAATATTGGATGAAGACCCATCTTCACTGGTAGGTACTTTGATAATTCATTAATACCTAGCCACTTGCTCAGAATATCGATCTAGTGATGGCTAAACATCCAATCTTCCTACCTACATAGTAGCGATAGGATCAAAAATATAGCAGGGACAAGCTATATATTTAATACTAGGTATCAGCTTTGGCTTAGGTACCTACGTAGTAATTATTGGATTATGTTTCGGCTCATGAGTTCTTGCAACTTATTATTAATATTATTTTCTCTTTTGACGCAGCTGCGCAGTAGTACCAATAAGTAGGTATGTACATTGTATATCTTCTCTTCCTAACCCTTATCTTGTATTTTTTTTCTAGAAGCGTTCAATGCTACAGCCCCAGGGCTGATCACTGCCAAGTACTTCTAATAATATCCTCCGAAGCCTCCGTGAACCTGTACACGTTCTACTGTTGCTGTTCAGGTAGTTTAACTAAATTATAACCCGCTTCAACCACTTCGCTGGCGCTCACTGAACGAGAAAATCCCATCCACTGTCCCTCTCCAATATAGTAATGATAAAAGCCCAGGATAATACCATCGTCGTTCCAGATGGTCGAGCCGCTTGTACCACTGGGTGGGCGCACTTTATACTCGTTGCCTTCTTCCTGTCCCATGTAGTTCCAATTGTACACAATATATCGCGATTCGTTCTCAGCGGGGTCCGTCGATGTCGCCTCGAGCTTGACCGACTTCATTACCTCACTACCCTCCATTTTCCCAATGTAAGGGCTATTGAGGTGACAAAGCGGCCAATTAAAGATGTCCTCTGAAGTTGCCAGGCGCACAAACGTGGGAGCAGCACCGCTACTATCCTCGAATGTTTCATTCTCATACACAATATCGTCGCATAGCCCCAAAAGGCTAATATCGGTAAAGGGGATATCCATGACTACATGGCCAATAATCCTGTCTTTTTGTGTCACTTGCCATACATGCGCACCCTCGCCGATTCCATGGGAAGCTCCCACCATATATCGAGAATCGACAGTATTCCCGACCAAGACGCCTGACGTTGTCGAGAACACGGTCAGGCGTCCATCTTCCGCCAACATCTGACTGCAAATCATAACTCCGGGCCTCAGGGCGTCATATATGGTATTGTCAAAGATCCCTTCCCTTGGTTCTGACTGGATATGTCGTACAGGCAATGGGACTGTCCATGAGGGTCTATGCAAGTCGCGATCATAGATATATCCGACAGGGCAGTTAGCGATACGGCCAGGCAAGTTAGCCCTGATGAAACTCATGATTATGTTGTCGTGAAGAACAATGTAGAAGGTCCGTTCGCAGGTGAACATGATTTCGATGATCTGGATTTTGGGCATCTTGTTCCGGAATTCAGACTCAACACTTGCTGCTAACTCACGAAGTAATCTGTCGGAGAATTTATCGATCGGATATTCCTCGCATATAGAAATGGATAAGTTTCCTAGATTTTGTTGAGGGAACATAAAGGCACGGCCCTGCGAGCCCTCTGCCAGGATAGTAATGGGTACGTTGCCAACCGTTAGAGGCCATGGGCCGCTAGGCAATTTTTTGACTTGGAAGAGCAGATGAGATCGATACCGAGCCTCGGTGACATTCGTGGTTCCGGGGAAGATATCGTAAAGAAGGGAACAAGCCTCGCCTCCGAAGATATCAATTTTCAGATCTCGAAGGTTGAAAGGGAGTAGTACATGTCTCACATGCCAAGGAGCCTTATCGTCATTTTCTTCCTTAGGGGAAGGATGTGTGTTCACATATTCATGTATTATGGAGGCGATATTATCCGGGAATAGTTGCCTGGGCGCAAAGAACAAGTTGGTAATAACTTGGGCGCCTTGGTAATTGTGGAGAAGTGTCTTGTCAAGTGTTGTGATCACCAGTACTCTTTTAGGAGAACACCCTTCGAACAATGGGTTGATTTTACGTCGGGTTGTCTGCACCGTCGTGGAGCGAGTCGTGGAGCGAGAGGAAACCACTGCGAATTTTCTAGTGTTGGTAGGAGAACTCATGTTTGTAGTATTGAATAAGAAGACAATAGACAGATTGGATTTGGTTTACGACAGTACAATCATGGATGGTTTAAATGACATGTAATATGATGAGTAGTCGAAAGATGAATGATGAAGAAAAAATGGGAGTCCTGGTTTACCTACCTGTTGAAATATAGGTATATTTCGAGATTCGAGAGGGAAGTTCCTACTCCTTATAGAACTGGAAGGTACCTATCTATCTAGTAATTGCCGTGCTCACTTTAAAGTTATGGATAGTTCATTCCAGTCACAGGTAAAGGCTTAACTTTAAATCATCGCTTACTCCTAGAGGCCATTGTAGATAGCTATTGTATTTAAAGTTTTTGGAAAGGGGTATAAAGGTCTCTATAAGCTCTAAGAAATTCCCAATCCAATGTTTTCATCAACTTTCAAAATTCTTTTTTTCTTCTAGTTATCTCTTATAAATTTATTTACCCAACCAAGTTGTAAAGCCAATCTATGTGTACAGATATAGTCATGGTCAATAAAAGACAACAGACTCGATGGGGCTCGGAAAGCGCTGCCTCAAAACTCCACGGTTTCACGCTGTCTATTACAGGCGCTATGACTAGAGAGCAGATAGAGACATATGCGCAACTCGTACGAATCGAAGAGATCACCCAGAAGCTCAAGATAGATGACATCGTGCCTACTGACCGGCACAGCAGATCCCCATCGCCCGGACCAATATACGACAGCGCCGGCCGGCGCATCAATACACGTTACCGCCGGCATTGGGAGAAACTGGAAAATGAACGCCACTCCTTAGTCCAGCAGGTCTCGCGCATTATTCCTAGATATCGGGCGCCAGAAGGATATCGCTACAACCATATGACGATTAGGGAAAAAGTCTACATCCCCGACAAGCAGTTTCCCGAGTTCAACTTCATAGGTCAATTGCTAGGACCCCGCGGTCGCAGTCTTTCTGACATGAACACTCGGTCAGGGGCCAACATCGTGATTCGTGGGCGAGGATCTACTAAAGAGGGACGCCGAGGCCATCGTCACCCCCTAACAAATGAAGAAAACGAACCTCTCCACTGTCTCGTCACTGCTGACTCCCAAGAGAAGATCGATAAGGCGAAGAAGCTCGTCGATGCCGTCATCGAGACCGTTATCACCACACCAGAACATGCCAACGAGCGCAAGAAAGAGCAGCTCCGTGACTTGGCGAGAGCGAACGGGACCTTTCGCGATGACGAGGGCCGTGGCATGGTAACGTCGACTATTACTAACAGTCACGCTCAGGTGATATGTCGAGTTTGTGGTAACGGGGGTCATATCGCGAGAGATTGCTCTGACAGAAGGGCCAAAACGACTACTACTCCATGGCGAAATGATAATCAACTCCCCCCTTGGCGATTGCGAAGTGCTGACGGAGAACAGGCGATCACTGATACAGTAGATGCAGCTTGTACGAAGTTCCTGGAGGAAATGTAGAGCTGATGATGGAGCAGCGTTCATGCCTAAGTGCTGAGAGTTTACTAACAATGGAATAAACTGAGGAATCGTCACTAACATTTATTAGCCGCGATCTTAATTTGTTGATAGCTTTGTACTTACCTAGGTACCTATCTCCTAACCGAATACCTATGAGTCCCAAGTCAGATGAATCTATTAAACGGTTATGTTAGCAGTGACATGAACCGTGATCTAACAATATGCTGTATGTGGATGCATTCAGTATACCCTCTACTAATTCCCAGGTTGTCTTGGACGAACAGTATATCACCTTTTAGTAAAACCTTACATGCTAGCTGTCGCCAGGGTAATTCCCATTCCGGGTTTTCCTCGACTCCTAGCAATATTTTGTCTTCGTAGTAGGAGATTAACTTACCTACCTACACCAATAAGTAATACGGGCGGGTTTCTATGAGCGTTGAGGTCAAGCGAGGATATGTCAATGAATCCATTTCAAAAACACTTCCTCCCAAGTAGAGACATCGTATACCATATCCAAACACCTCACCCATACGATACCTATTTATCATCCATCTCCCAACCCGCCACATTCTCCCTATACTCCGTCATCTCCCTCCACTTCCTCGCGAACTCGCGCATGCCTCCTTCCCCAGCCAAACTCGCATCCACCACGTCCTTCGGCAGCTTATGCGCCGAGTACTGCGGCGAGCTGAAGTTGAACGCCGACGGGTCCTCCTTCTCAACCAGTCGCAGCTCCGGTGCAAAGTCCTCCTCTTCACTCTCATCATCCTCATCCTCCTCCAACATTCCCGGCACCTCCTCATCAACCCCACCAATAACCCCCAAAACCGGACCATCCGGGACTTCCATCCCAAGCAGCTCGTCCCAACCAAACAACAGGCTATCTGTGTGCGGGGCCCAGGGATTAATATCGATAAGGCGGGCGCGGGAGAGCGGCTCGTCCTCGCCCTCGGGGATGTACACGTCGAAGGTGAAGTTGCCGTCCGGGAACGTGTACCGCAGGCTCTTATTAAACAGCTGCCCGATCCGGCCCACGATATCCGCGCGCAGCGACTTCAGGAACTCGTAGAAGTTTAGGTCGCGCTGCGAGATGGCGATGAGGTTGCGGTGCTTGACGAAGCAGCGGAACTCCATTGCTGTGTGCGGGTTGAAGTAGGAGCGGAGCACGAGGACGGGTTTGAAGGGCGGGGAGGTGGAGGCGGAGGTGTTGCTTGTGGGTGTGCAGTTGTCGAAGGCGTGGTCTAGGTCGTGTGTGATGAAGCTTGAGCTCTTTAGGAGTAGGTAGATGTCGTTGGGACACGTGCATTTGATTGTGTTCTGGTGTGGTGATATCCAGGCTGCGTCTTTTGGCGCTGTCCAGTTCAGCTTTGGCGCCACCGCGCCACCTAATTCGGTGATCTTGTCCTTGATGGTCTGGTGCAGCTCGGGGAATCTCTGGTTTGGTGGCAGACTTGGTGCTTCCTCTTCATCGTCACTGTCGGAGTCTGATTCGACTTCTTCGATAGGTGGTCGAAATGTCGAAGGTGCTGATTCCCATTCATCGTTCTCCGGCTCCGCTCTATCGTCATCGGCAAGAACAATGCCATCTTCGCGAATGTAATCTATGAACTCTGGTGAAAGCGGGATAATCCGCGATTTTATGCATGATGTACGGTATCTGGTAACTTGTAAGTTCTATGTAGTGTATATCAAGAAGCTAATCTGTAACCAAGTTGACTCACTTAGGGAACCAAGAATCGTATGAACAATTGATTATATGATCCCTTGTAATCGGAGGGAACTGCAGGGTCGAATTTGACGGTCCGGGGACGGATTGAGGATTGGTTGTGGTAGATACAGGCATCTTCTATGCTTGTTCCCGAACGAATCTGAGAAGTCTCTAGTAAATTCCGAATTCGTTTATAAAATAGAACTCATAACTAAAATAGAGAAGGTAGAGTCTTTATATAAATATTCAAGGTTTATTATATCGCCTCCCCAGGCACTGCTCTAAATTCTAGTTTGCGACTCATACTTTCCGCCGAAAACTGACGTATAGCGGGGCAAAATTGCGACCCTCAGGGTAGCTCCAACCTAAAACTGCAGCCTGTGTGGAAAGACCCCACCATGCTAATTCCGCCATCAATTACCGCCTTCCTTTCTCTTCACCTCTATTATTAAGCTACTACCTGCACCTAAAGCTATCATCATTCTCATCCTCATAGCTAGGATCGACGTTTTTAAATCACGAAAGAAAGAAATCATGTCTGACAACGTTGGGCTCTCAACGCCGCGAGGCAGCGGTACGTCTGGGTATGTCCAGCGCAATCTAGCGCACCTAAAGCCGCGGGACCGCCCAGCGCCCTACAGCACTAAGGACTTCGACGCGATGAAGCACCGCCAGCGGCAGCCGGACAAGGAGATCCTAGAGCATGACCGAAAGCGCGAGGTCGAAGTTAAAGTGTTCGAGCTGCGGGACCAGCTCGAGGAAGAAGGGTATGTCTTGCATTGGGTCTTGGCAATTGATTAACAAGTAAATGACTAACTGACATGCGGTAGAGTCGACGAGGATGAGATCGATAAGCGCTGCGACGTCCTACGTAAGGAATTGCAAGAGAAGATGAATAAGGGCGGCCGAGACGCAATGCCGCGGAAGCACTTAAAGTCACACCAGGTCCACGAGCTGGCCGACGCGAAGATCAAAGAGAGCGAGCGGTTACGGAACGCGTTGAAGATAAGCAAAAACTACGAGGAGGGAAGCCATTGGAAGAGACAAGAGGAAAGATTACGGAAGGCCATTGATAGGGAGGCATCCGACCAGAAGGACAGAGACTAGTCCTGAAGACGTCCCTTTACTACTTGAAAACTGGCATTGCACGATTATTCACGAGGTTGCGAATCGGCGTTAAGGATGGCTTATTTTGATTGATAGGAACAAGGGGTATCAATTCCTGTATGACTTCACGTTACTTTGAGCGCTGCAGGCATATGTACATACGCAACGCAACGCAATTCGGAACCCGATGAAACGCGTGTTTCTTTTTACCACCGCTGTCTATTCCTGTGGGTATCATGTTTTAATTGGCCGCCAAGATCTCCGCCGCGTCTACTGGGGGAGCATGATCCTCCCTTCCATGGTTATTCCTCAGTTTCTCGGCTTTGAGAGCCTTTTCTTCTACTTCCCTCTGCCTCTCGTGCTTGAGATACGTCGCATAACGTAGAGTTCCTAGTGTGCATACTGCCATGAAGAGGATGCCTAGGACGGATCGGCGAATTAGCACCCATCTCAAACCTTCTATGTCCGATCTGGAGTCGCTGTTTAGATCCACACTAATCTTCAGGTTGAGCTGTTGAATCTTTAGAGGTCAATTAGCATGTGAAACAACAGAAAATTAGACGATGGCTAACGAACAGCGCTCTCCATAGTCCTCTGCTCCTCCCTCACGTTCATTCTGCGGTCGTTGAACATGCCCTTAACATCGTCCTTCAACGTCATGAGATCCTGGCTCATTCTCTGGTTCACGATGTCGACTTCGTGCTGCAACTGGGTTCGCTGCTGGCGTGTGGTCTCATCGGCGCCCTTCCTATTATTTTGAACTTCGGCGCTAAGCTCCGAGCACGCTGCACGAAACAGGTATGTTTCCTATGCCTCGTTAGTAAGAGACAAGGGCTGATATTAAATGACCATCTCACATTTTCAACATCACTTTTGCTGATCAGCCCTTCTTGGGCGACATCTAGGTTCTCGGCTAGAAGTCCTCTGATCGCTTTCATTACCGTGATGGCTTGGTCTTTACTGTATCCGCCAGCCTCCAATTCTTTCACCAAGGTATAGCTGTCAAAATGATGGACATAAGGAGGAGTCGAAATATGAGGGTGATGCGTATCTTCGGGTGGTGGCATATGCAACACTGCTTCCATTGGACCGCTCTCTTGCATCTTGGCCTCTGTCGCAGCCTGCTGGGGAGATGAAGGTGGTGAGTTGGATGCCGTAGGCGCTGCCTGCAAGATCGCCTCGCTCTTCTCCAACTCTTTTGTTACTACATCTTCCTCCTCTTGAGGCCCTTGCGCCGTCTCCTTCTCCTTCTCTTTATTCGCACTCTCTTTAGTAGCTGGTTCGAAGCTCGGGAGTTTCGACGGATCTGTGCTTGGTGGTGGAAGGTTCACGACGTCTGGCGTAACTGGAAATGGCTCTACGGCTTTACCATGCCTTTCGAAAACAGCCTGCCTCGAAGGGGTTGTTGAAGAGAAAGCGGCCATGCGTGGTTTATAATTATTGGGAGACTTGCGACATCGGATCTTCACTCTCTGGGCTGAAGACTCGCCGAAACGAGCGGTCCGGAATAGGTGAGGATATAGGAACGTTAACCGAGCGGTCGGCATGGTCGTTAGCTCTTAAGAGCTATATGTAAGTGATCAAAAAGTACTTGTACAAAGGGAACATATTGTCAACGAGACAAGCTGATAATAAAAAGAGTTATGTAATTGTCTATTGCATCGCCATAAATCATGTTTGGGCAAGAAAGTCCAAGGTTCCGATCCCACGTGTAACCGTTTAGCTTGCGTGGGTTATGGAGCCACAGGTCATTTGAACCTGGCTAGAGACGGGCCAGCGGGTTTAGGGCCGTTTAGATTCATTTTAAACTTTATCCGTAACAGATGGTATAAACACAGTATTAATTATCCGTTTATGCCGTTTATGCAGCAGCAAGTAATACCGTCCCGTTGTTACCTCAACCGTTACCCAAGGTGGAGAAGGGACCTCTCGTCACCCCGCAACCCGACAGTGAAAACAGTCGAACCCCTGTCGGTGTGTTAAATAGTTTGCATGCAGTGCCAGGTCACTCAAATCTTTCCACCTTCAAGTACGCCTATCTCCTTTTTGCTTTTCTGCATGACCACTTTTCCATTCAAGGATAACCTCTTGTTTTTCTTCTTCATTTTTTCTCTTTTCATCTATTTGTTGTTTGTGGTGCCTTTAGGCCCATAAGACAACTCATGAGAAGGATATAACCAATTGAAGCTAATTCGCATTCTTGTCGAAGCTAGCTGCTTAATATTTACCAGCCCTTTTAACCTATTGTTAGGTACCCGGATCCATTTCTACCTCCGTCCTGGTAGATAATCGTTCGTTCTACATTCCGAACATCCCAACTTTGCCGTCATTCCGCATTCCAACCGATCAACGGATTTCTCTGCCGCATCTTAACCTTAACCTTATCTGATCTGCCCGTTAACGAGACTTTCCGCGGCCATGGCGCCGGCCGATTCATTATCGGCGCCCGGGACGGCCACCTACGCCTCCGATACTTTGGTGGTCGGAGATGGAACCTGGGATTTCACTAAGAATACATTCCTCTTGCCAAATCTCATGGGCTTGAATATTGATACTATGCGATATAATGGTTAGTTAATCTTCATATTTATCATCATCGCAAATCAGCATTGGTAGCTAACAGCTGTAATTTTTATAGGCATGGGTAACCGCTTTTCAACGGTAGAACAGTACCATCAATTGATTACCGGCCATGGAATCCTCGCTGTTATTACATTCCTTTTCGTTATACCGGCTGCGGTTATGTACGCAAGATTTAGACCCCACGGTTCTTCTCTTCGATTACACGCATATTTGCAAGTCTTCGCCGTCCTTCTCTCTACCGTCGTATTTATACTCGGATATTTCGCCGTGGGCCCAAGTCGAAGTTTGACGAACCCTCACCATGGAATCGGAGTAGCCATATATACTATGATTATGGTTCAGATCGTCGGAGGCCGCCTAGTGAAGCATATTCGTAGGAAGTCATTTCGACTCATGCTTCATCGATGGCTTGGAAGAGCGGTTGCAATCCTAGGAATTGTACAGATCCCGCTAGGGCTCACACTCTATGGATCACCTCTGTATACTTTCATCTTATTCGCTGTGTGGATGGCGATATTATTTCTCATATACTTCGTCCTCAGCTGGCGACATGAGAGCAACCGCGAACGTACTGCTTTCCATGGCGATCGATCTGAGGTTACAGAATCAGAACGGAAGTCTGAACATGATGGAGGTTGGCTAGGCCCGCTAGCATTAGGAGCTGGCATTTGGGCACTCATGCGTGGAAGAAAGAAGCATGAAGACGATCTAGACGGAAGCATGAGTAGGAGTAGCCGTAGTCGTGCTCCTGAGGTCATTCCGTCCCAAAGAGGCTCCGAGAGCTACATGGACGAAAAAATCTCTGAAAGAACCGATCGTCCCCAGGGTGGTGGTATTACGAATTGGCTTCTCGGTTTGGCTGGACTGGTTGGGGCTGGGAGCTTGGTTAAAGGGGCGCGGGATAAGAGAGAACGACGAAGATATGATGATGAAGAATACTCAGCAGTCCCGACGGATACACCCAGTCGATTCAGCCGTCCTAGTCGGACTCGAAAGACTACTACCGACCAGTATACTGAGAGTGAATTTAGTGACGATCGGACAGAGTTACATGCTCGCCCAAGACCACATACTCCATTACTGCCTGGTCCTAGAAACCCTGCAGCCACGACTGTTCTGAGTGGTACAGACACCGAGCCCATGACGCCGCGCCCATTGCACTCTCGACCACCTCCTGCAGAAAGCAGTTACATCTCGGATTATTCGTCATACGTGAGCCCGTCAAGGCGAGCCGCAGAAGACGAGAAAAGTAGCGTTGCAAAGGGTGTTCTCGCTACCATTGGACTGGGTTGGCTCGCTAAGAAAATGAAGGGTAGTCGAGACGAAAAAGCCGAAGAGGAACGCCGAAGGATGGAGGACGAGAGACGGGATGGACGTCGCGGCTCGAAATTTACAGGAGATGGTTACAGTACGCCAACAAGGTCATCGCGACGTCGACCACCTGCACCATCTGCTCTAACCGCCACAACTTATACCGCTGACACCGAATCATCTATGCTTGAAGCTCGCCCTCCGGGAACGAGCGTTAGTGGTCCGCCAATGCCGCCTCTTGGTCCTAGGGGTGCACAAGCTCATGCTCCAGCTCCGGCTCCGGCTCCTGTCCCTGTCCCTGTCCCCGGCCCGCATTCACACTCACATTCGCATTCAAGGTCAAGATCGAGATCAACAAGAAACAGCGGTCTGGCGGATCCCATCTCGATGCCAGCTATGCCACCGGACCCACACGGCGTGCTCCACCCAATACACTCTGCTACCGACTCTTTCGCCTCGAGCGGCGGTGGTCTTCATAGACAAGGGTCTTCACGACACCGTAGTAGAGAGGATGCCGCCGCGGCTGCTGCTGCTTCGAGTCTAGCTGCCGAAGAAGAAGATCGTCGCCGAAGAGATCGCAGTCAATCCTCCACCCAACCTGTCAGTGTAAAAGTAAGATACCATGATGACCGAGATAGGAACATAACACTACGTCGTCTTACGGAACAAGAAGCGGAGGCATCACGACGTGGTAATCGTGGAAGGTCGGATTCTATTAGTTCTATATCCGACAGCGAAGCACCTAGTCGACGATACCGACGCGACTCAAGTTCGCATAGGACAGGAGACGAAGCTGCGACGGAGAGATTGGTCTCCTCCGAACCTATGTCACCGCCTACCCCTGTTGCTGCCGGAGGTAGACGTGCCGGCAAAGACTCAGCTTATTACTCCGGTCAACCGGGTCCCTCAGGTGGAATGGCCATGGCGAACCCGACTATCTCTAGCATAGCTACGGACAGTCATGCATGGAGCGGGATGAGCCCGTCGGCTAGCGGACAGACGGGTACTCCAGCCTCGATAGCACCATCAGCTGCGGAGCGGAGACGACGACGACGGCTAGAAAGGAGAGACCAAAGACCTGGATCAGGGACGGTCGATTATTCCTAATGTGTCAGCAACTGCGTATAAGCATTTTCAATACGCATTGCCCGGTGTTTTGGCGTCTACTTTACTTTGATGATTCGACTCGTCCATGAACTTGAACGTATTCCCAGGGAGCATTGTTCGGCGAATATCCATCTTTCTAAGAAATTATGACGTTGGGAATAAGATATGTCTCATGAACGAGTTCGAAAAAGGGTCTTTTTTATGCATGATGATATCTCAGGATATCCAATCGGTTTCTTTCGAAGTGATGTATTGTACTGAATGGTTGGTTGGGCGGATGGATGGACATAAAGAAAGAATGATAATTTGGACGACGATACCTTGATAGAACCAATTGTATGTACTTTTTTAGGGTCTCAGGACCTGTTACATTCACAATACGAAGTTGAAACTTCAACTCAAGTCTTAGATGATTCGGTCTTTGTGTTAAAATTTGATTCTGGCTTTAAACATTTGGTAGTGTAATGTCGCGGCCGATGCTGACGGTTAATTGGACGAGAACCGGTCTGACCCACGTGCAGTCGCGCTGTATCGATAAGCTCCCGCAACCTAAATTCGCGATTCTGAGATGGGTAACGCGCTTATCGTATCATTAATTCTATGATTCTTCACATATACCTAGGTGAATAGCCCACCTATCTGCACACAAGCCAATAGAAATAAATAGCCTCCAACTTCTAGCACTCAACTCTTTAATTTACCTCCTAGATCACACACACATACGCCTACACACCTAACTCCCAAAACAAAACACCACCATGGCAGCCGTCTCAAGCGGCCAGAACTCTGCCTCTCAAAGAGAACCATCCCCGCCCCTACCGGCACGGCACACACCGCAGACCCCAGGCCTCCGCGCGTCCAGGTTCCAGCAGGTGCTTGACTCGAGCCTCTCACACACCCTCGGCAAGATCAGCTGGGACAACTTCGCGGCGTGCTATCCTACGATCGCGGCGCAGGCCCCCGCTGTGCTGCGCGCGGTGCAGAAGCAGATGGTGGATCGGTTGACTGCGCTTTGTAAGGTGTGTTTTTCCCTTTTTTGTGCTTGTCGTGGAGGGGGTTTTGGGGGGGACGGGGAAGGGGTTGTTTTAGGGATGGAGGGGGATGAGGAATGGGTATTTGTGGCTTGTGGTGGAATTGGAAATGAAGCGGGCGAGGGCGAGGGCGAGGGAAAGAAACGTGATGGAGTTAATGCTAATGCCTTTGCAGAAAGAATTCGATTCCGTGCTGCAGAGTCGCAACGTTGTAGGCAAACTCAACGAGCTCGAGAGCTTGATGAGCGAAGCCGAGCGCAGGAGGGACGACGCTGGCGTGGTGGGAGCGGAGCCGCCAATCCCGTAAGTGCACATGCTTTCTTGTTGTCTACCCTGTTATATAAATTGCAATTGTGTCATGTTCTATCACGTACGACCATAGGAGCTAGAGAACTCGGGATCCCGTCCGCTCTCCCATAGATAAGCTGGCTACCGCCGGATTAGTAGTTGGGTCGGTGACGACCAGCGAATCCCCGGTGTTGTACGTTTACTTTTTCCACTTTTTTCTTAATCTTTTTTTGTAAATTTCCTCCACTCATATTTCTTTGTTGATTTTTATTGTCCGATTCTATAAACTAACCCAGAAAGACCGCACATGCTACCACCAGATCAGATTCTAGCAGCCCATTTGGCGCCGCATCTAACACAGCAGCAATCTCAACTCAACGCAAAACTGCAAACGGTACAAGCCCACAACGCAAAGCTTTTTGGTGATATACAGAAGCAGCGCGCAGAGATGCAGTCGCTTATGGCCCTCTTACAGAAGATATTTGAGGACATCGACGAGGCTAATGGCCAAATCGATGACGTTGCTGACGACCTTGCCAAGGAGACGAGGATTGTGGAAGCGGAGATGACGGAGCCGTAAAGATCGATCATATTACCATTTAGTACGGTTCTTATGTCTCCATTTTTGTTACGATTCTACAGGTCCTGTAAGACAGGAGGGATGATGCATGGCTCCGGCGTTGCGGCGTACGACATGGCTGGCTGAGCTGGACTGGAATGCCTAGTTCGGGCTAGCTGAACATTTCCGATGTGATAGATATAAATATTACTCCTCTTTACAAGAAACAATCATATTAAGAATAAATGTCCGAACTGGAACTTCATGATAGGGGGAGGGGTAGCAGCAGACGCCACCGCATGAGTAATAAGTGATGATGGTCCTCATCACCTGCTGCCATTTCATTTATTCATATTATATGTGAGCACTTGAAACTTGAAGTCTAAGAAGGAGTGGTCACGGATTGGTGACTTTTACAAGCCCTTACCCCTTATTTTGTTACATGACGAATCTCACCTGCAGGCAGCATGAACTATACCTAACCGATTTTAAAGTGGTGATACCTACCTAGCATCTCAACTGAACCTATCATCTAGCTATCCATGTACCTAGTACTTAGTATCAAACATTCATAACCCATCAACACAGATACGGCCTTTCGAAGCTCCGGGGATTTGAATTAGCACGGACCTCGCGGTACCCGTGTAACTTCGGGATGCTGCATATAATCTCCTGCAGGATGGCCAGAACGACGCGTCGAGAAAAGATGCCTAATCTACGATCGTTACAGCTAGCAAAGAGACAAGTTCCACCTTGCCGCTCAACCAGGTTGTACATCCCGAGGCTACAAATCGAGATACGCACCATCAAGGTCGTTCACTTATAACATTACAATAATACACTTTTAAAGATTCTTAATTTCTTTGCCCGTATTGTACAACTGTACAAGTCTGGTCCTGAATTTCCCAATGCCACCCTTTTCACTCCTTCCATGCAGATGAGCGTTAACTTTTCCAGCCGTCCATCAATGTACAAACCCCCAAAGTAGAGGCGGCATTAGCTTAAGGATGATCGTGCAATGATATATGTGTGCTCGAATTAAACCCGACTCTCGGAGACACCGCCCCAGGGGAGATGCTCTCATAGTCCCGGGTTTAACCCATAAACCCTCCCACATCTTAACTCCAAACCCTGCATCTAACCTTTTCCGAGGTATGATTGCGAAAACTCCCCGTCCATAAGGATTTTCGAGTCCGCAGATAGCCCCGTACCCAGTCTTTTCACTTAGCTTCGTAAGATCTCGTTGCCTTAATAAGGCAATCACGCATTTGTTGCTTGCGAAGTACCTCTTCCTCGAGGTGCGCCTCCTCGACCACGACCCTGACCTCCGAAGCTGCCACGTCCACCGCCTTGGCTGCCGGATCGGCCCTCGAAGCCACCGCGTCCTGGGCGGCCCTGAACACCGCCGCGTCCTGTAGTGTAGTTGCTACCACCGTAAGCACTTGCTTTAGGACGGCGGGGTTCGACAACAATGTTCTCTCCATTAACCACGTGAGGATTGGCAGCTAGAGCAGCCTGATAACCTGCCGGCGTGGCAAACTCAACGAATGCACAATTCTGTATTATGTTAGATCATACACCACAGCTAATTCTGTTATGAGAACATACCTTCTGGCGGTTGATATCAAAGTAGATTAGTTCTCCGTGTTGTGCCAATGCTAATCTCAGTTCATCGTGCTGCACTTTGTCTGTGACGTATTTGACATAAACCATAGTGCCGTCCTTCTCGGCTTGGGGGCCAGAGATCGACTGGGGCCTGTTCTGCCGCTTCGAGTCGTTGCCAGCTGTTTGCCATTCCGTAGGGGTCTCCTTGACGGTGGCGGCAGGGGCTTTGGCCTCGGAGCCTTGAGCTGGTGTAGGTGATTGGGACGGAGCCGGCTGGGCAGCAGCTGCTGCACGGGATTGTGGAGCGGCTGCGGGTGTGGCTGGCTTTGCTGCGAGAGGCACCACTGGTTTGGGACCTGCGGCGGCAGCGGCACGGCTCGCCCAAGTCATAGGCTTCATTGGTTGAGCGGGGACTGGGGCAGCAGCAGCAGCGGGGGCGGGTGGCTGACGCGCCTGCACGGGCGTTGGGCTTGGGTCAGAAGGCTTTTCGGGCTCTTTCGTGTCCTCTTCAGCAACTTCCTGAGCAGTTACTTCAGGATCAGGAACTTCGGGAGCTGCTTCGGCTTCCGGCTTCTTAGCGGCTTCTGGGATTGCTGCCGTTTCACCAACAGCTGTCTCAGCTGCTACGTCACCATTTGTTGGAGTAGCGTCTTTAGGTGCGCTAACTTCCTCCAACTTCTTGTCGATAACGCCAGCATCAAATGAAATAGGTTTCTCGACGGGCTCTACGGGTTGTTCTTCGATCTCCTCCTTCGCAACCGGGATGATCTGGGTCGCGGGTTCTGCCTGCTCATCTTGGATGACCTCAGTTGGCTCCTCGTCGCCCTCCTCTATATATCGAAGAATATCATTCAAAACGAAGTATCCAGAGGGTTGTTGAGCAAGAACGAAAGTTTGGACAAACTTCTTCGGGTCGCCAGCTTTGTTGGATGTCTCGCCGATCACTTGGATGACGATATTGTCGAATGAGGCTTGAGAATCGACGTTCGATACTCGAACCTTGCAGTCTTGAAAGTCTAGTTGCTTGATGCGGTCTTGGATGTTCTGAAGGGGGGAAATATTAGTACGTTTCGACTAGAACAATATTGCTGAGGAACTAACCTGTCTACCAACAGAGACGTTGGCGACCTCAGCTTCGAGACCATAGACGAACTGAGAACGCTTTCCATAGAACAACTACAACTTGGGTTAGCAAGAGCGTTTACGACAGATGCAATGTGCGACGATGACTTACGTGGAGTTTCTCGGGATTCTTGCTTAGAGTAGTGTAGTATTGCTCTACGAAGAACCAGGCGACCTCATCTTTTCCAAGATTGTTGGTAGAGTTTGAGCCGCTTGTTTGGTCGGCAGTGACAGCGCTCGTGGCAGTTGCGGCGATAGAGCCTGATGGGAATTGGTCTGTGTGAGGAAGGGTGCCGTTTGTCGCCATGGTTGCGCTGAGGGGTGGAAGAATTTTGCGCGCGTGGTAGAGTGGGATACCTAGACCTTCGAGAATGGTTCGATAAATAGTTCTCCGGTGAAATGGTATATGAGAATGTTACTGATCTCACGACCAACTAATGCAGTATAGAAAAGATAAAGAAGTTTTATACCAACTGCAGTGGCGCGACCAGAAATATTAAAACACGAATAAGGCCGTGTCTCACAGGAAATTAGGTAGGAAGAGATTCGGATCAGGTGGAAGGTAGAGGAACCAAATCAGGTCAGTTTTTTAATGTGAATGAAAAGAAGATGATAAATTATCTTCTTTTGGTGACGGAAAAAGGAAGGTAGTTGTTAGTTAAGAAAATGTGGAAGTAGTAGAGGCAGAGTGGGTGATGAAAGATGGGCGATGGATAAAATGGAGGAAGGTTTATTAGAGTTGTGGTGGAGAAATATTCGACTAGACGTGATTTTGATTTTGATTTGGAGAATTGTTTGGACGAGTTCGGAGAAGGTAGGTACGATGCGTGCGGGCTGCGGCCGAGCAACTACTATTACCATGTAACTAATACTTGGGTAGGTATGGGTAGGTAACTAAATGTTACTAGCGTAGGACGCGGCACACGCTAACGTAATAGGGTATCGACCTTCCACGGGTATCGAAACGGACAGAGATCTAGGTCCGCGAAGGGATGATAAATAAACCGAAGCAAAGAAAAGAGGACGACAATGATGGAGATGGCTAAGGAGTTGAATTAAGGAAAATAGCCCGAAAAAGGGTGGTGGCGAAGGGGCGAGCGATCTCTTGACTACAATTTATCAGGTAGGGTATCTTTCGAAGAAACTGGGCTGGGCTGGACTGGTTATGTCCAAAAATTAATTTTGCCGTGGCTGCGTGTAGAAATTTGCCTGGCGGGCTCCATCAAATTGAAAAAAATAGGTCGTGAAATGCTCAATTAGAGGTTTCCGGATATTTATCGGTATTTCTTTCATTCTCCCCTCACTATTTTGTACCCAAGTACGAAGTAGATAGTACAAATAGTACAAATGTAGTAAATTCTTAGTACCTACCAAGGAAGGTTAGATCATGGTAAGCTCCTCTTATCCCCACACTCTAAGCTTGATCTAAAGCTTGGGCCAAAATGTGGCCCATCCCTGCATTCGGAATTACTAATATCGGACGATTCCAACTTACAACCTTGAAGCAAACCTCCTTCCTCTTACTGTATGTAAATAAACAGATATTGGTTTCATGATTCTGCTTAATAGTGAAATATGGATGTGGTTGCTATTCCAATAAATACACCAGATTTAAAGTAGGTTAATCCATCAGTAAGTGCTCAAGTTAGAATCTAACGGGCAGTTGTTGGCTTAATGGATGTCTTTGTCAAGTTAGCGTACAATACCGTTTGAAGGGAATTCATAAGCGGATAGTTGTCAGCTGGGTATTGGCATAGGAGCGGTGTTAGGAGGTATATGGTATATAATCATTAGCTGTTACTACTGAGGCAGGGTACCTATAGATGGAACTATCATATATGCAAAATACCCGTAGGTGTCTGGAAAAGGGATCGAAATCCCCAGAGGCGAACCTCAAAAGAGTATCATATCACATCAACTGGAGCAAATCACAAAATAAAACCTCCCGAGAATAATAATTCTCACAAAGATACCATTTTAAATTTATACCTTGCGCAAACCCATCTAATACCCAACTCCCAATAATACTACACCAACCGATCCATCCATCCACCCCTCTCATCCAAACCAAAGCCAAAGCCCAAACAAAAGTTACAAACAAAGAAAAACTAAGTCTACAGTACCCTAATCCAAAAACCTAGACTCCTTCCAAGCCCTCACATACCCCCTAACAACCTCATCCGACACCCGTCCCTGCGCCTTCATAACCCCCGAATGCTCCTCCGCCCTTCTCGTATCAAGTATAATCCCACCACAAGCCATCCTTTCAAAATGCCCCTCAAGAAACCCAATAACTCTCGCAGCCGGGTTCTCCTTCTCGGAAAGAGACGAGCGGCGGACTCGTTCGACCCACTCTCGGAAAGGAATGATGCCGTGAGAGGGTATATCAAGGGCAGAGGCCAGGACCGTCGACATATGTTTCCATGGCTGGCCGATGGGGTTGTCGATGTGGTACACCGGACAAGCCTCCGTTTCTCCTTCAAGATCGTCGATTCTTAGCAAGTCGACCATGGTGCCCGCGCTTCGGTCTACGGGGAGCCAGTGTAGATCTCCCTGGAGATCGGGCCACGCCTTGAGTGCCTGTGCGCTTTTCACTAGGAAGGGGAAGTGCTCGACAGGGTTCCAGACGCCGCTGGTGGTCGACCCGGAGATCTGGCCGGGCCGGCACACCGAGGCTTGGAAGAGGCTCGGGTGGCGGCGGAGTGTCTCGGTGAGCATGCGTTCGCACACCCACTTGCCCTCGTTGTAGCCGCTGGGCATGACTGAGGAAATAGGCACGGACTGTTCGAGCACGTGGGGTCCGTCTGAGAAACCGACCACGCCGATGGAGGAGACGAGCTGGAAACCGATTTTGCGTTGGGTAGTGTTCTTTGTCGCCACATCGCGCGCTAGGTCTAGTAGGTTCCGCATCACCCTAATTTGAGGCTCGTAGGCCTTGAGAGGCCGTGTACCGCTCATCGGCCACGCGTTGTGGATGATATGTGTGCCATGTTCTGCTACCCAAGCGTATTCCTCGGCTGGAAGACCGAGCTGAGGCTTGGAGGTGTCGGTGTCGTATACCCGCAGCTTCGCGAGCGCAGCGGGAGACAGTTTGATGCCTCTAGACAACAGCGCATCTTCCTGTCGCTTGTGGGCGGACACATTGCTGACGGGACGGTTAATGCATACGACAGTGTCAACATCCGACCGTTCAGCAAGGGTTTGGACAAGATGTGAACCAAGACTGCCCGATGCACCTGTAACAACCACTGCGGCTCCCCTATCTGTGCGAGTAGCAGTAGTACAGTCTGTCGCAGCTTCAAGTAGAGCCGACTCCCATCCTATAGTGTAGGCAGCCACCAGGCGCTCCGCCTCCGCCTCACGCGCCGCGACATCACCCTTATTAAGCACTTTCGCCTCTGCGGCAGATGCGTCAGTTGTCGAGGCCGGAGCCGACGGGGGGCTAGGGACTAACCTCTTGGCGGCGGTGAAGTCCGACACGTCATCTGGGGTAGAGATATCAGAGGCAGAATCGTAGAACCGGCCCGTGCTGTCACCCTCTCCCGTGATGGCTGAATCATCGTCGCTCTCACTATCGCTAATATCATCATATTCCTCATGTTCCACACCGGGCCCCTCTCCGGCTCTAGCCAAAGCATTCGCCACGCAGGCAATGAACTGGCGGAGATTCGTGGCTTCCATCTGCTCGGCCTGATCAAGGGTGCATTTGAAGGTATTCTCGACCTCGCGTGCCAGCTCCATGCCCATCAATGAGTCGATACCCAGGTCAGCCATCTCGCTATCGAGCGTCATGTCGCCAGCCTCGATACCGGAAACGTTGGCGACTACATTGCGCACTTCTTCTGTGAGATCGTGTCTGCCGGTAGCCTTTGGCTTTCTGCTACTGGCCCGTTGTACCTTTGCCTCTGGGCGGGGACTCCTGGCCTCGATAGACGGGGTCAGAGTGGTAACAGGAGGTGCAGATGACGGGGCAGATGGCGCGGTGCTCCTCAAAACGTTCTTATCCGCCGTCACCCTCGCCAATATCCTGCCCATTGTTGCCTTAGCGACGCGAACATATTTGAGGCCCATGATGATCTCTTCTAGCGCCCCGGTCGCGGCGTCGAAGATGTAGACGTCCGTCACGTAGGCCTTGTCAGACTCGCGCGCGTGGCGGGCAAGCACGTGCCAGACACCGGGACCGTTTTCGCGACCGTCCGTCACCGTCTTGGCCTTGGGCGAGCGCATCGTCAGCTCGAGGCCGGTGGCGACGTACATGTCGCTCGCCGGGAGGTCCGTCAGCAAGTTCACGTACATGCCCGCGACCTGGCCGAACGAGTCGGCCTTGGGAACGTCGAGCCAGGTATCGCCACTGTGACGCTTATGTACGACTCCAGCGCTCTCGCCGTCACGACCCACAACGGACCGCACGCCCTGGTATACCTCGCCAAAGATCACAACGGGCTCGAAGGCCCGGTACACGTTGCGGCCCTGGAGCGCCTCCACACCCTCGTCATTCGGACCTAGCTGTAGGATGGCCTGGCACTGCGTATGGCTGACCGCGCGCTCGTAACGGCCGAACTCCTGGACGAAGGACGGCTCGGTAGGCGAGCATAGGTGGACGCGTCCCTCGGCGTGCTTTTCGGTAGCGGGCGAAGTAACGGAATCTCCTACGCTGTGTATGGTGAAGTAAAACTCCGTTTCGGTGTTGTTGAGAGGCTTTAGGTCTATAAAGCGGGTGCGCGTCGAGTCGGCGCATATGGGTGAATGACTGATCATATCTCGCACCACTGCCGAATACCCGCTCGATTTGAAGTCTGGGTGAAGACTGAAAGCAGTTTCGATAGCCATATCGATCTCTAGAGTGGCAGGACACATGGGCGCCGTCTGAGCGATGACGTGGGTTGAGAACAGACGTTGGTACTTGTCCGAGGCTGTATTGATACGGAACCGCGCCAACTTCGCCTGCTTCTTGCCTTTGTTGGCTGCATCTTCTTGGAAGCCGACGAAAGTCCATAGAGGTAGAGTTCTGGGATCATCGTATTCTTGAGGCCCCGGTTGCGACGCTCCTCCTGCCAACAGTAACCCATTACCTCCATCAGCGATCATCTTTTGGGCCGCCTTGATGACCTCCTCCTTGGGTGACTTGAGGTCAAGCCAATGACGCGACTTCTCGAACTGATATGGCGGTAGGAGAAGTTGTGTGTAGTCATTTGTCTGGAGTCGGTGGTGTGCCCAGAAAGACACGCGCAGGCCCTGTTTCCAGAGGGCCACAATCGCATCCGTGAGTCCGTCGAAACTCTTCTTGGTGTTCGTAATGGAAACAGATTGGAAATGGAGCGTATCGGAAGTCTTGAGGGCAGCTTGGGCATGTGCGCGTGATGCCATGACGGTAATGGTCGAGTTGGAACCCGCCTCGAGGAAGATGGCTTGCGGGTGCTTCTCAATGAGCCTCTGTACGGCATGGTCGAAGAAGACCGGCTGGCGCATATGGGAGCCGACAAAGCTCCAGTCCAGTTTGGCCGATGGATCGCCATGTTCGGTGGCACGTTCTATCGGGATAACGGGATCGTTGAAGGTCAATTCTTTACCGAGCGCTCCCAGGCGGTCCACAAGGCCCTCTACCAATGTGGAGTGGAAGGCGTTGGTGACATTAAGACGCTTACCCTTGATCCCCTCAATTATCTTGCTCTTCTCAGATAGCGTTTTGGCAAAAGCGTCGATGGCTTTCGTGGATCCAGCAACAGTGAAACTACGGCGGCCATTGTAGCAGGCGATACCGGCCGAGCCGTCGGATCCGAGATTCGACTCCTTTAGCATATCATGCACAAGCGCCTCATCAGCCTCCACAGCCATCATGGCGCCCGGATCAGATCCCCAGGCATCTCGAACTAGCTTAGCCCGACCAGCGATTAATTTAATCGTGTCTTCTAGGCTCAAAACGCCCGCTATGCAGAGCGCCGTAATCTCACCAAAGCTGTGGCCTACGACAGAAACTACCTTGTCGACAAGCCCACAATCTATCCAGCTCTTAGCGGAAGCATACTGCATAGCGAAAAGGGCAGTCTGGAGCTTGACCACATCTTGTATAGGTTCGGATGAGAAGATATCGGGGTAGATACTTTCCAGACCTTGGGACGTGATGGCGATGTTGCACTGATCCAGATGATGGCGCAAAACGCCAACGCCTTCGTACAACGCACGGTCGAGCCCGACAAAAGTCGACACTTGACCTCCGAAGCACAATATGACAGGTCGCTCGGACTTTACTGGGGAAATACCGACGCTAGCAGCCGTGCTCGTGGTGGCTGAGGCTGCCTGAGAAAGCTTCTCCTGTAGATCGGCCAATGAAGAACAACTGAAGATCAGCCCTTGAGGCAAGTTGGGATTTGACTGTCGCTTCATGTTGAAGGACACATCCGCGAGTGTTGCTTGCCCATCTTCGGACCCAGTGTGCGATTGTAGGTAGGGCGCTAATACGGTGCTGTAAGCCGCAATACTACGAGCGTCGAAGCCTGAGATCCAGAAGGGGAATCGTGGCGTCGCTGACCCGGCCGCAATGGTCCGGGTAGGCTTGTGAGCTGTGTGGGAAACCACCACGCTAGAGTTGTTTCCGCAGGCGCCGTAGTTGTTGATGAGAGCTATTTTCCTGTTCTCTCTCCAGGGTCGCAACGATGTGACCACCTCCATCATGTCTGATGGCTGTGCGTGAATATGAGGATTCATTTTCTTGAAGCTGGCCTGGGCAGGGATGAAACCCTCTCTCATCATCGTGAGGACCTTGATCAACGAAACGATGCCAGATGCACCTTCGGTATGACCAACGTTACCCTTGACCGAGCCAACAGGAACGACGGTGTCGCGCAAGGGACCGGCTACAGCCATACGGATGCTTTCATATTCGGCAGGATCTCCGACAGGTGTGCCAGTGCCGTGGCACTCGACCAGCGAAATGTCACGCGGCTCTACTTGTGCTTTCCGAATTACATCTTGGAATAATGTCGATAGCGAAGGGACGTTAGGAACAAACAGTGGCGTTGAGTTGTGGTTCTGGTTGACACCCGTAGCGCGTATCGTACCTAGGACCATGTTGCCGTCGGCTATGGCGGTAGATAGCTTCTTCAAGAACACATATGCGATACCGTCACCGCGGCAGTAACCATCGGCGTCGGTATCGAAAGGTTTGCACTGGCCCGTCGGGCTAATGAAGCTACCGGCGGCGAGGTTTTGCGTCCATTGCAAGTTTGTCAAGACGTTGACGCCACCACAGAGCGCGGCCGGGACTTCGCCCGATAGCAGATCCTTGCAGGCAGTGTGGAGGGCCACAGTTGACGACGAACATGCTGTATCGACCGTCATTGCCGGCCCGGTCCAACCAAAGTAATGCGATAGTCGACCGGGAATGAAACTTCTTAGGCCTCCGGTTGCCGTGAACGCACTTGTCGGGTGGCAGCCGATGTTGATCTCGTACTCGAAAGAGCAGAGACCGACGTAAACACCTACATGCTTTCGTCGCTTGTGCTCAGACACACTAGTAGTTGCTAATTCGTTGAAATATCCAGATTGTTCGACTGCCTGATACGCCCCCTGAAGCGAGAGACGCCCTTGCGGGTCTATAGCCATCGATTCACGTGGACTGCGCTTGAAGAACTTGTGATCGAAAGCGTCTGGGTCGCGCATAAAGTTGCCATACCACTTCCTCTTAGGGTCGGCATCAGCGTCGTCGCGGTACAGCATGTCGTGAACCATCCGTTCATGGGTGATCACCTCGTGTTGCGACTCCCCGGTCTTGAGCATCTCCCCGAATGATTCCAGGTCATCGGCACCCGCCGTCTTCACGGACATGCCCACTATCGCAATCACTTGCTCTGGATCTTGTTCCGGCTTGGCACTGAGCCTGCTCGTCTCTGCAGACTGATCTTGTACGAGAGTTTCCGAGTGGTCACCAGTGTCGTTACTTAGATGGGGTTTACGTGAGGATTCTAAAGACTTGTTTATGTGGTCTTCAAGGTCCTCGAAATGTACCTGCTTCGGACCAAAGCGGGCCATGGCACTGGTCGGCACGGGGCGATCGAGTCCAAAGGCAATGAGTGAGACGTCCTCCCCGTTAGCCACAAGCTTCGAGACGGTACTGGACCAGCTTAGCTGATTCGCCAGGATAGAGCGCAACACTACGCTAATCAAGTCGATTTCTTCAGCCGAGACTGGCTTCCCCTCGGGGTGGTCGAGGTAAGTTGGTAATGCCAAACCGGAAGCATCCGGAAACTGTAGCTCGGGCATCGCGTGACATATTTCAATTAGAGCTTCTGTATGACGTTCCCGCTCCGCACCGGGCGTGTGGAGCTGGCCTTTGAAGGCGAGCGGTATCGTTGTGATACCTGCTGCCCGAAGCTGTCTGATTAGCCTTGATGCGAGGCGCTCCGATGACGTCACGGTGGCCCGAGACTCGTCAAAGAGCACGGAGACGTAGGCATCAGGCATAGCCGCGACGATGCGCGCCATATCTTGGCCCTGCTTGGGGTTCCTCCACGCTGTAGCCATCGATACGGATCTTCCTTTGCCGAGACCTTTACTCCACGCTTCACAGGCACCTACTAGGGCCGCCATCATGACCCCGATGCGCAGTGCCGCAGCACCATACTTTTCAAAGTCCTGTCGGTTGTGGGAGCTCGCAACAGCTACAGCGGCGATCATGCCAGCACAGAAACCGACTGTCTCGACCTTGTCGCTTCCGGCAGACTGATGCTGCTGCACTAACTCTGCCTGGAGGTCATTTATACCTTTGGCCGGGTCGTTGAATCGGAACTCAAGATACCGCCAGTACTGATCAAGCTGAATAGCGATCATCATAAAGCCGATCCAGATATCTGGTATCTCGGCGTCTGAGGCTAAAGAGTCGTCGGCGGCTGTTCCATGTCGGAGCCATGACTCAAGATCGGCTAGGAGACGGGCACCGTCCACTGTTCCAGCCATTTCCGGGATCTTTTCTATGACGGCTTCCCAGTACCGTGGCATGTCTGTCAGGGTATCCAGCATCCATTTTGCATTGGGACCATCCAAGATCTGTCGTACATGCTTTTCTAGTGATTTTTTGCTTTGGGGACCGATATGTCCTCCGAATACAAAGCTTTTAGCCTTGCGTGTGTTTAAAGAAGTGGCGGGTAGAGTGAGGGCCGTCATTGTCACTCAATGTCCTAAGGGGGTATGTAAATGTTGAAGTTATTTAAGGAAAGCCAGATAGCATAACGAATGATAGAATGTTTAACAGAAGTGGTACATAGTGGTTTGGTATCAAAGTGATGTGAAGGAAATCTAAGGGATATTGGTGTGCTCTTACAAGTTTGTTTATGTTAGTGACTGGCTAACATCGACTTGATATAGGATAGAGGCTTCAAGTGACGCCTCATCATTATCTGCGGAGTGTGATATCGGAGCCATTGTTTTCGTCAGACGCCAACGAGCCAGAGCATTGTTCCTCCAGAAAGTGGCGTCCTCCACGTCCCAACACCAGACATTCCTCCTCCTCTGGACCGGAATAGTGGCTACTAGTGGCACTGGTTCGTCGTGGTCACCATTCGCTGTTATTTCGTCCCGGAGGTGGGAAAGGTTGTCGTAAGCCTTCCTCCAGCGCAAAAGTTATTGCGGCGAGGCTTAAAAAACCCTTTGCCCACTCTTGCTGACAGCGAATCCTTCCAGTCATATCAAATCGTTTATAGCAGATTCTTCACGAACATTTCAAGGGGAATTAAAATTCCGGGCTGGGCCGTAAGCGATACTATTCTTAGTAGGAACCAGCCGCACGAATACCGATTCCGTTGCACAACTCGAACGATTTTCAAGGTCGTCAGTTTATCGACCTGTCTTCAATGCGCCGTCAAGTTGGCTACCTACTTGTGTATAGACATGATGTTTGCTATCTGGCCAATAAGTAGTCAATGGAAGGTAAGTATTTATTGTTTGACTTTACCGTTTATTTTCTCAATTCAATCTCCATCTTCATCGTTTTAATAGGTCTTATCATTAACATCTTCGCCATGTCTAACAGCAACAACAACCACATCAACGGCGGTATACCTCCTCTTGAGGTGGCCATCGTGGGGGGTGGCATAGTCGGTGTCATGACGGCGCTGGGCCTGCATCGTCGGGGCATCAAGGCGACAATCTACGAGCGCGCATCGACCTACACCGAGGTCAGCGCCGGATTTGCCTTCACTGAGGCGGCTCGAAGGTGGATGGAACAGCTAAACCCTGATCTCCTAGAGATCTTGGGCCGTATCAGCCAGAAGACAGACGCCAATTCCAGCAACAGTTACTGGGACGGCTATAATCCACGAACACGAGAGGACGCCGAGGATGAGTCCAAGGCTCTGCTCTTCCGGACACCTAATAACAAGCTCTTGTTCTGGGGCTGCGTGCGCTCGCAATTCCTCAAGGAAATGGGGGCCCTACTACCCGAGGGGGCTGCCGTGTTCGGCAAGCAGCTCCTGAGCTACGAAGACGACGAAAAGAACAACAAGGTCGTTCTTCACTTTGAAGATGGTACCACGGCAAAGGCTGATGTTTTGCTTGGCTGTGACGGCGTCCACTCGAGCACCCGGAAAAACATGCTGGGTCCTGACCACCCAGCTAGCCGACCGGGCTACACGCACAACGTTACCTACCGCACCATGGTTCCTATTGACGTCGGTGTTTCTGCCATGGGCGAGAAGACTGCTCAAGGCGGCTGCATGCACTGCGGCCCAAATGCATGCCTCCTAACATATCCTGTTCGTAGACATCCCCATCCTACCCGCCATACACGTGCATAGGGTTGCTAATGATGATGAACTCTAGGTCCAAAGCGGAACACTGCTGAACATCGCCATCTTCGCTTACGATGCCGAGGAGTTCCCTGATCCCAAAAGGATGACAGCTCCGGCTAATCGTAGCGAGATCGAGAAAATCTTCAAGGACTGGTGTCCTCACGCGGCAAACGTTTGGAAGCTCTACCCAGAGAAAATGATCAAATGGGGGATCTACGATATGACCCAAAACCCTCCACCAACATATGCAAGCGGCCGTGTCTGCATCGTCGGCGACGCTGCGCACGCTAGCACTCCATTCCTGGGGATCGGCGCCTGCACGGGTGTCGAAGACGCCCTCGTGGTCTGCAAGGTTCTAGAGTCTGTGCAGGCTCGACGAGAGACCCTGAACGGCGAGACTGCCGCTGATGCTCTCAGAGAAGCGCTACAGACCTATAGCCGAGCCAGGTTAGAGCGTGGCCAATGGGTCCCTCGCAACTCTGGTCAGATTGGTCGGATGTACCAGTGGCGGGATGGGCGGGACCCTGAGGGGCTTCAGCAGAAACTGGCGAAGGCCGCGCAGGCGATTGTGAGCTATGATGTCTTGGCGCCGTTGGCAGCTTGAGGAAGAGTTATTCTTAGCTGCTGTGTTGTATATTCTGTACTAGACGATCTTTGTAGAAAATAGATTTTTAGGTTATCCCGGTTAATTGCTGTTCACTCTGTAAATTGAGGTTATCAAGGTCCAAGATGACAAAAAACTTTTGTGAAAAGAAAATCTTCAAGGTTTCAATTATGCAACATTCTTGATTATATAAATCTTTGAATTATGTAAACCATATGATTATGTAACATTCATTGTGAAACCTTAGCTTACTTAAATGTTATGTAAAATTATTGATTACATTAAGGTGGACCATAAGCCCGTATCCGCCAACCCGCCAATTCAATTAATGTATTAAAATGTACATAGTATTAATAAGCAGTATATATGGAACTTACACTGTGCTTTATGGTTTATAAAGCGTTATTAATGTTTAATGATAATATTTTTAATACTTAAGTAAATATATAAGTATTTATTATAAATAAAAATATTTTTTATTTTATAAAGTTTTTAATTTAATAAGTTAAAACGGTAAAATAACGTTAATTTTTATTATTAAATTTTACGGTTTATTAATAAAGAAAAAAATAAAATAAAAGTTATATAAATAAATATTTATTAAACTTAAAAAAAAATATAATTTATTTTTACTTTTTATTAAATATATATTATATGTTATTTATTTTTTACTTTATTTTTTAATTTTACGTTAATATTTAAATTTTATAATTTACTTATTTAATTAATTTTTTTATTTTAACGTTATATTTAAGTAATTATTTAAAGTTTAACGTAAATTAACGTTAATAAAATTAATCGTTTCGTTATAAAAAAAATTATAAGTTTTTAAAAAAAAAGTAAATTATTTAATTATTTATATTCGAATTTTTTTTCTTTTTTTAAATAAATATTATTAAATATTAAAGTTATAAAACTTTTTACTTTAAATATTTAATTTTTAAAAAATAATTAAGAAAAATTAATATTTATTATATTAAATTTTTAACTTATTTTAAAATAAATATATTTTATTTTAATAATAAGTTTTATTTAAGTGTAAAATACGGTAATATTTAAAAAAACTTATAAATATAATAATATTTAAATAAAAATCGAATAATTTTTATTAATTATTACTTATATTTTTATTATTTAAATCCCCGATATTATTTTTTTCGTAATTAATATTTAATTTTTAAGAAAGGTTATTTATTAATTTAACGTATTTAGTTTAATTTTTTTTTTTATTAAACGAAGTAATAATAATAATAATAATTAATATTAACGTTAAAAAACCATTATTTATATAATTATTTTAAAGCTTTATTAAAAACATATTAAACGTATTAAATTAAGTTTTATATTTTACATTTAAATATAAAATCTTTATAATTTATTTAATAATTTATGTTTTTAAATATACGCCGTAATAATTTATGTTATATTTTTTTTACCGAAAAGCGAAAAAAAAAAAAACGTAAAAAAAACGGTATTATTAATAAAATTAAACACGTATTTACTTAATAAAAGTTACGTTAAATATAAATTTAATTACTTTAAAATATTATTATTAATATATAACATCGTTTTTTAAGTTTATTAAAAATATTATTTTTTATATTTTTATAATTTTTTCGTAATAATAATAATAATAATAATAAAAATCATAATAATTAACTTTATTATAAAATAAAATTAAAAAATTACGAAATAACGACGTTATTACGTAAAAAGTTTTTAATTATTTTTTTTATAAAGAATATAATATGTATATAAGTAAAGTTTTTTATTTATTTTATTTTTAAAATTAATTATAAATAAAATTCTTATAAGAATTTTACGGGTTTAATTTTAATTTTATAAATTTTTAATTATTAACTTAAAAAAAAATCGATGTTTAATAAACTTTTTTTACGTTTAAAATTTTACTTTTAAATGATAATTTAAATTTACGTTTTTTTAATTTTAAATATTTTTTAATAAAATAAATAATTTTTAAATATATAACTATTTAATAAGTAAGTTATTATAAATAAATATTATAATTTATTTTTTTAAATAATAATTATTTACCGTTAAATATTAAAATTATATATACACGTTTATTTAATAAATAAATTAAACTTAATATAAATATTAAAAAACTAATTATATTAAAAATACACGCATTATTATTTATTTTACTTTATGTTATTTAAGTTACGAAACGAAATTAAAAAACTTAAAAATAATAACGTTATTATGTAAAGAATTTTTAACTATTTTTATTATAAAAAATATGATATATATATAAACGAAGTTTTTTATTTATTTTATTTTTAAAATTAAAAATTAACGGAACTTTTACGAACTTAACGAGGATTTTATAAGTTAAATCCCGATTTTATAAATATTTAATTATTAATTTTTTTTTTAATTAAACGTAAAATAATTTTTATAAATAAAAATATAATAAAAAAAGTAATAAAGTAAATAAGTATTTAATAAATATATAACTTTTATAACCATGTTTAATAATATAAAGTTATAATATTTTTTTAACCGATTAAAACCGAGTTTTTATAAAAGTTTTATTATTTTAATAATATGGTTTAAATTTAAATATATGTTTTTTAATTAATCGAAATATTTATTAATAAATTTTCGCGTTTTTAAAATTAAGCTTAAATAGTTAAGTATATAAATATTATTTGCGTTATATAAAACTAAAAAAACGCCGGTAAAACGTATATATATTATTTTATATATATTAAGTGGAAAATTAAATACCGTAATTTAAATTTTTAAACTTAATTTTAAAATTTATATTTTTTCGTAATGTTAAATTTTTAATTAATTATTTCGCATTTAAAACATTTTTAAAAATTTAATAATTAAAATAATTTAATTATTTTTATAACGCGTTTTCGAATAAACTTAATTATATTAAAATTAATAAAAAATTAAATCGAAGTTTTATAATCGAAATTAAACTAAGTTAAAATTAATTTAAATTAATTAAAATAATAATTAATTTTTAATTTTAAATATTATAATTAAATAAAAGTTTAAAAATTAAAAAAAAAATAACATATAATTTAAATTAAGCGTTTTTAATTAAATTAAATTAAAAAAATTAAAACGTTAAATTAATTAAATTACGAATAGTTAAAATTAATCGAATATATAATGGGATTTTAATATAATTTAAAACGCGTTCGAATTAACGTTAAGTTTTTTTTCGATATAACACGTATATTAATTAAAATTATATAACGTAAATAATATTAATTATAAATATTTTAATATTTAATTATTTATTTTTTTTAATTTTTAACGAATATATAGAATTTATATTGTTTTTAAAAAAAAAAAAAAAACTTTATATTATATAAAATGATTTATTTAATTTAATTTAATTTAATTTATAATAATATATTTTATTACATTATTATTAATTTGTAACGTTATTTATAATGTTTAAAATAAAAGTTAAAAATATTTATATAATAATTATAATTATATATATAATTTTAAATTTAATTTAGTTTAATTTTAAATAATATAATTTTTATTTATATAAAATTTCTTTTATTATATATATATTAAAAAGTTTTAATTTAAACATTTAAAAATTTATTTAATAATAATTTTTAAGATTATTTTCATTATAAAAATATTATTTATATAATAATTATTTTAAATTTATATATATTTTATATATTTTTTTAAATATATTAATTACATTAAACTTAAGTTATTTTTTTTTATAAGTTAAAAATATAAAAATAAATATTTAAGTATAATTAACACGATATAACACGTAAAATTCCTATTATTTATTTTTATAAGAATGTTTTTTTAAATAATTTTTTTTAAAACTTTATTTATTTAAGTTATTAATTTAAATATTATTTTTTTAAATTCCCATTTTATATTTATTATATATATTATAGAATTAAAACTTTAATTTAATTTTTTAATTATAACGAAATATATATTTTAAGTTATAAATAAATTATCGTTATATAATAATTTACTTATAATTAATCATAATTAATAAATCGTAATTATTTTTTAAAAAATGAAAATAAATATTAATATTATTAAAAGTAATATTTACACGTTTAATATTAATTACCACGTTTAAACGTAATAAAACTTAAAATTAACGTTATATTTTTAAAAATTAATATCGTAACTTTAAAAGAAAATATTACTATTTTTAAAATAAATATTACCGTTTTTAAGGAAAATATTACTATTTTTAAAATAAATATTATTACTTTTAAAATAAATATTACCGCCCTTAAAGTAAATATTACCACTTTTAAAATAAATATTATTATATTTAAAATTAATATTATTATTTTTAAAATAAATATTATTATTTTTAAAGTAAATATTATTAACATTAATATTTAATTTAATATTTTTAAGTTTCATTTTATCATTTCGTAAATTTTTCTTTTTAATTATTATTTTTATATATTAAAATATTAATTATACGTTTATTATAAAAACGAAAATATAATTTTACATTTCGTTAATAATAATATTAATAATTATATAATTACGTTATAACTTTTTAAAAATTTAAATAATATAATTATTAATAAATTTAAAGTAATAATTAGGAAAATTAAAAATATATTAAGTAAAAGTTTATATATTAATTTATAATTAATATTAATTATTTTTTTAAATTATAAATTAAATATGATTTTCCGTAAGTTAAATATAAATAATAATAAGATTTATAATAATAAATTATAAAAACTTTTATATATATATAATGTTATTTCGTCGCGTAATTAATGTTTTAATGGAATTTAATGAAAAATAAGTTTCGGGTTTAATAAAAAATAAGTTTTAAATTTAATAAAAAATAAGTTTCGATTTTAAGTAAAATAAATTTTAATTAAATAATTTATAAATGTTTAAATAAAATATAATTAAATATATTAATTACATGTTATTTTTTTTTTTTTTATATATTTAAATAATATAAAATGGTTAATTTATAAAATTAAAAATCA